AAACGAAGTCCATCGCCTCTACAACCGGGTCAAATCTAGACGCCTCAGGGTGCAATATACAGTGTCCATACAAAAGGTCGATCCGCACGGTGAATCAAAATATAGTTTTGAGGCGAATCTCACCAGCTCTAAACCCAGAACAAATCTCAGCACCTCAGGGAGCAGGACGAGCTCTGCAGATCGGAGGATCGACTCGGCGCTGCATCAGTTTTGCATAGGAGATGCCCTGAATTTTTCATAACGAGAAGATGATTTTCAATCCCGGGGAACGATTCCCGGGCCCCCGATGGGATATCAGGGGGAGGTTATCAGAAGAAATCGCGAGCGAATCGCCCGGAATGGGACGTCGAAGAGGCGACTTCCCTCTCGGCGTTCTCTCTCGTGGAGAACATCGACCATCGATCGAAAGGGCCGGTCATTTGCGGACGTGATACGTAGCTGCACATTATGCGCGTTTACATGCACTCCGGGGGACGTTGAATCTCGGCCGAAGGGCCGAAAGTCAATTTTGGTTAACCATCGACCTTCGAGCCGCCACCCATCGATCGACCTCGACACGCGCTGCCGGATGTCGCCGATGTCAATTAATGTTAATTTCATTTATGAGAACCAATGTCTCGCGGGGCCTTCTCTTCGGAATCGACCCTCGTCGAGCCGACGTTTTCCTCGGAGGCCTTCGTACTCCTCAATCGACAGCCATCAAACATCCTGATCATGAATTTAGACAAAAGGGGGAACTGGAGAAAAATGCTGCACAAATCGTGAAAATGAATTTTCAGTTTAGTATTTATTATTTTTTAACGGAATACATTTTTGAACTGGCACTTTTTACGGCACGGCAATGCTTGTAAGTTCGCGTATTTTGAGAAAAACTCGATTAGGAAGGAGAATCTCATTTTTTTACGGTTACCATTTACATTCATATTTGAGTTTTAATAATAACACAACTTGCATAAATGTTTTCGTTACCGTTATCTAATTTCAATTTGTTGTTTGAGAAATCAATCAACGACTGGGCTCTGACTTGGCGAAGTTAATGTCCAAATCGCCGCTCACTATTATTGGTATCTCACCAGAATTCTTTTTTTCGGTTAATTACTGTTTACATTCATTATTGTCTCTTAATATTGATATACTTTGTGTAAATGTTATTTTTACAGTTTATTAACTATATAATGAATAAGAGAGACTTCGTATAACAAAAGGGTAAACTAAGGTTTATTAAAAATGGGGTCAGTCTGTAGGGTGGCTTTCGCCCTTTGTTATCGCCGTCGTCGGTTACAGACTATCGTCCCATTTCGCTTCGAGACGGCTTTAGACCTCCGTGTCCTTTACATTTCGAGACACGTGGATCGCACACGTGAAAATCCTCGGTTTCCTTCGAAGGACCTTTCCCTTTTATTACTTTATGCATTGCCAGCCGCATCCTGGCAGCCCCCTTCGAAGCTTTCTTTAAAACTACTTTCCGTTACTACATCGAATAATTAATTTTATTTTTTAACATAAAATTGAAACCAAAAGCATGGTTTCATAATACCCTGACGGTAGATATGTATGGGGTGTTTTTATACACTTTATATTCTACGCTATAACGGCCGGTTTAATTTTTGTCAAAGTATAGAATAAAACGTGATTACGCACGAATCACGGTTAACGCGGCATCTTCAAGATAGTAGGATTGCTCCCCCAGGGTGTGCCAAAGTTTCCAGTTGAAGTGCTCAAAATCGAGGCACTTAACCCGGAATTTCAATTATCCATGGCGTACCCCTAATCAGCGGGTGAACCGCCACGTATCGGTCGATCCAGAAGCGATTAGTCCAGGTGCAGAATCTTCCCTCTGTCACCGAAATCGAAATCCATCCAAAATGTGCACCCGTAAATCCCATTTACCCCCGAACACATTTTTCTAACGAAACTTCTTATGACACGGTAATTGATACGTGTAAGTTCGTTTATCAAAGAATCTTTATTCGGAAAACGAAACGCCTTTGTTGTTACATTTAATTACTATTTACACTAATTTTTCTGATTTAATAGTGACACAATTTGCGTAAGCACTTTTTTTAGAGCAGGTGCTTTATTCTCTCATTTTATTATTGCCATTTGAAGTGAAATAAAAATAATAAACATAAAAAATCACGATAACGCCCAAAGTGACCATTTGAGCATTTGGTGAATGAATGATTAAAGATAATTAATAATGCCCAATAATTCTTTTCAACTTAGAAGTATCACTTGCAATTCTAGTGACGGCCATGCACCGATTTTTTATTTTCCGGAGGCATTTCTCAGTTCTCCCTGTCTAAGAGCATCCAACGTCCCTCCCTGCTCAAGTAGGATGTTCAAAATCGCGGCGCTTGGCCTCGAAATTTCAATTACCCGAGACCCTCCCCTAATTATCCCGAAAGCCGTCACGTCCCCCGTTTCCGCGGTGCATACCCCTGCCGAAGAATTTTCCTTTTGGTGTTTAGGGGTTGCGCGTCGCCTCTTTAACTTGCACTTAATCCGCGAGGTGTCTATACCCGAGGCATGCTCGGTGCATCCGTGTTAATTACGCGTATTGCGAGGTTCGATCCCAGGATGGATGAGAATGGAAGGTGGGGAAGGCTTGCAAGGGACAAGAACCCCTAAACGGAATCGCGAGTCCCGGGAATTAAGATCCGATATAAAAGTAGCATCTCAGAGATCAATCGTTTATGAAACTTTTCTTTTAAGCAGGCGTACCGAATCGTTTAAGATTTTACCGCGTGAATGTGCAGGCCTTAAGAAGGTCCTAATACCCATGAAATTCTCCTTATTATAAAAATCTGGAAAGTATTTATAAACAAATTTTAAAAAATTAAATTTCCTGGGAGTTAGGACCTTTCGCGGGACCTTCGTGTTTACGTGGTAAAATTTCTAACGATTCGATAGACTCTGATCGGAAAAAAGTTTCATAAACGATTGACCCCTGAGTTGCGGATTTCATGTCACCTTAAAGCCGTAACACTTTCGACAGCCACCCTGGGAACTAATTACGCGCAAACCGGAACCAAGAGAAGAGGAAAAAACACCCTATCCCCTCGAGTACTGAGACCCGGAAAAGTACACCAATTATTAGCCTCTTGATCATTCCCCGGATGTCGGGGACCTTTCGGTCGCGATTAAAACCCCACAAAGTAGCGGAGACCTTAGATTCGACCCTTAAATAGCTATTGTCGGTGTTTCGGGCGAAGAGGAGAGTCGAGGGCGAGGCGTCCCACCCTTTGACCGAAGGAGCCGCTTTGTCGTTTCAGAGCTGGAGAAGCGGCCGCTGCCGCAGCTGCCTCAGAGCTCTGAGGAGCTGGAGGATTTGCAGAAGCTCCTGCACTTCCCCGAGGAGGTGGCGCTCAGGTTGGCGGAGTGCGAGTACCAGCTCTTCTACCAGGTGCCCCCCAACGAGTACCTGCGCCACGTTTCGCAGGCCCTGACCACCCAGGTACACCAGAGGGCCCCTCGGCCGCCGCCCCCGCAGCCGCCCTCGCCCGGTCGGCACCGCGTCTTCAGGGGCTACCCGGGCTTCGGACCCTCCGCCGCCACCACCACCGCCTCCACCCAGACCGAGGAGGAGTCTTCGTGGCCCACCACCCCGCCGCCCCTGCACCGGCCTCCCCTGTTCTCCTCCGTGCAGAGCCTCATCAACCGATTTAATGAGGTACCCGCCACCCCGTTTCATCCCATTACTCGGTCTAGGCCGAATCCGTTGTCTTTACGCGAAAAATAAGGAATTTACAATTTATCAAACGACAACATTGCCGATCAAGTTTTCCTCTTCCTGCGGGAATAATTGCACCAACAGCAAAAATGTTTGCCATTGTATGGAGCGTAGGTGTAGCTGTTGTAGACGTATTTATAGAAAACGATACTTCCTAAAGTAGCTAACGAATTTGTAGTCAGAGCAGAATGAAGAAGAGTTTTCGGAGTATAATTTCGAATTGGTTTAACAGCGAGCTCGGAATGTAGGATTGGGTGAGGGAGTAAGAGAGGATTCTGACGAGAGAGTTAGGTTCTATTTGGACCGGTAATTGACGGGGTTATGATAATCTCGTAAACTTTATACCTCCATTTTCCTCCATTTTGCTCAGGATTCCCAGATAATTCCATTATCCGCGGATGAGCTATCGGCTGCGATCGATCATTTGCATTCCACGAGAGCACGTTGTACTTGAATGACCGACTCTTGTTCCGCAGATTGCACCGGAAGCGATCGATTGGTTTTTAGTCACCATTGTCTCTTGCAGTCCAGACCTACATACATGTAGTGATTAAATATAATAAGCGACTCCTTCGGTCTTCGCTCTTTATTAAACATATAATCCTAAATTAAATTCAGCACAAAACTGACAACCTTGTGATATAAATGTTAAATTATTTAACCATTTATCTACGACGGAGTCGGACGTGGAGATATACCATCTGTACGGATAGCTCGACCAGGGAGTGTTAATATTTTATTTGAACACGATATTCATTTGTCGCTTTGAATACATGGGAACGAAGGGGGCCACTAATGTTGCGCTTCGTAGACAAAACATCGATCAGGCAGAAGCCACTTTAGCGGCGTTTCGTAATTAAAGGGTTAATAAACGCTCATTCGCCATTCGTCCACGTCAATTTTCGTAGTTAGTTACCGTCCATATCACTTTGTCAGCAATCTTTTCAAATATATCTTGGCATGGCACCGTCGACACGAGAATATATACTGTCGTTACCTCTTTTATCTAATTCAGCCTAATAATCTACGAACTCGTAAAACATTTTTCTACGCTTTCCCGGGTTCCTGTGACATCGTTGGGAAGCATCTTATCATTTATTTTGTTTCCCTACTTGGTAATTAAATGCCTGCTTTTGATCACCAGGTGAGCACATGGGTCACCCACGTGATAACGAGCAGCCCCACCGTGGAGGAGCGGCAGGCCGTGCTCTCCTGTCTTTTGAGGGTGGCTCAAACCTGCTGGAACACCGGGAACTTTAATGCGGCCATGGAGATCATTGCCGGCCTCAAGTAAGAGATTTGTATTAACTCTAACCTTTCCGCACAATGCACATCCAACTAGGGGATTAGTTAACACCAGCATCTATGTAGACCGGCAACCCTAAATAAGCTCTCATAGCACCCTTCGGGAGGTGTTCCGAAGAGAGAGTCCCGACATCCTGAGAACTATTTCGAACAGATCCGTTCACCGCGAAATTGAAGATGGATGCAATTGTGTTCGGCCAATATTCCTGGAAATTCAATCAATGCAAACGCCATTTACGTAGTAGAACGACAGTTTGCAGCAGCTAACTCATTTACTCTTGTGCCGGGTGATCCAGAATTAAGATGAAGTGAAACCCGCCGAGAAACTTAATCACTGTCGGTACGAACAAATTCTGCTAGCTGTTTGAAACTAATAACTATTATAATAAATATATAAAAACTATTTGAAACAATTCGCCGCGTTATCTACATTCGTATTTAAATTAATTGTGTCGTCCTACATTGAGAATTGTAAGGAGTAGCATACTCCATATGTCGTTTCGTCCAATGCTCATATGTTGATCTAAATATGAGGGCACACGCCATATTGATTTTAATCTTGGATATATTAACACATTTTTATTCGAAAGTATAGATTTCGAACGTGTCAGGAAGTTCCTTAGGTACTCGCAATTAATGTAATAAAATTTCAAACGGTCTGGTCGAATACACTCAGAACAATGTGTCTTATTTAAATAGACTGATTTGAGACGAGTTTCACTTCACCTTAAATATCTCGATCAGATTGAATATCTTAACATGGTTAGATACCTGTTCGTTTGCTGCTCGAAGCCTGAATTTGTTTGAGAATTTTCTATTATTGTATAAGCGTGTTCAGGAAAATACCAGTTTCCATTTCTACTCACCACTTGCTGCCGTTAAAGCCAATCGCTCTAATGAGGGTGTTGCGTGTTGCCTGGTAAATAATTTATTCAACGACGCGATGCATTAACTCGTGGGAATAAGCCATGACAAAATAATTGACAACGGTTGCCTCCTTCCGGAATGTCTAATTGCTCAATAACCGAGTTCAGTCTACCTCCGCGGTACAAATAATTCCATCATCTACTCTAAATGGAAATGAAAACAAACTGAACATCAAACAATACCAACGAGACAAAGCTACAAAACTTGACCAGAGCCTTTATCTTCGAAATTTACATTATTGGACCACCTAGAATTCAAAACCACCGACTCGAAAGAAATTCTGTTGACACTTACGGTCCTGTAAACTTCCCGATTGAACGAGCATAGGATATAAAGATTAAATTTCCAACTCGTAGAACTTTCCAACGTTACGTCGTCCTCCGAGTTCTAGAATTGCGTATCTCGCAATTTATTTCCATTCGTTGGTTCCTACTCTCTGTTCCCTTTCCACTGTCCCAGATTCGTGTATTCCGCCATTCATTTCGAATGATTGGGTCCACCTTCTTGTTCTCCATTTCCTACTTCGATATTCTGTACCCCTCCACGGTTGGGTATCGTTTTTTGTTCCGAATTATGTACTTTTCAATCGTTATTCCTTTTCCTTTAATTACTTTCTGGCTGTAAAAGACCGTTTTGGAAATAAAAATGAAATTTACTGTATTAATAAATTCGTGAAATTCAAAATTAGCTATTATACGTCATTCGGCGTTTGTAGGTATAAAGGAAGAGAATACGACGAACGATTGGGTTAAATTTTGCGACCGAAAATCCTTTCTTATCTGATAGTGCCGTTTGAAAAATATTTTCCTTGTGAGCGAAGATTCTTTTTATTGTCGGGCAAACAACCAGGGTGCTTCGGACGTCTCGAATGGCTCGTCGTCGACGTTATGTCGCAGAACGACTGCGATTCCCTCGGAATCGTGGATAACGTCGATCTATGCAAAGATCTAGGCTCACTCCTAATCTCGCGCGTATTCGCGATTCGCCTTTACGAGCTGAGTATCCTCCTAAGGGAGAAGAACGGCGAGTCGTCCGACCTCTTTTCCAACCTCCTCCTTTTTCCCAAAGATCCGAGCCCGAGATCCTCCGCCTTTTCCTGCGCTTAGAGAAATGGACGATGAAAGAAAGATATCCAAAATGATGAATCCTCTCCTGCCCGAGAACTTGGATTTAAAAGGGGTGCCTCATCCCATAATCCACTTCCAAGACGATACAATTTTCATCCCACCTCATCGCGACTATTGCTACAAAATAGAGTCTAACCGCAGGATTTAAATTTCTCGATCAATAAATGCATTAATAACAAATCGGTGTTAAGAAAACTTCCAAATTAAAGAGAACTGTTACGTATTGTTGATCATTCTGAATTATTCTTTCACGAAATGTCCTCGCGCGTTCGGTACTGGTAGTCTTTGATATAATTACTTTCATTTTTATTTCTATTATTTTTACTTCAGTTTAAATATCGATTGAATTGAGGGAATAACGCATAAAGACGAACATAAATTGTAATTGACTTAGCAGAAATTGGGATAAGACCCCAATGATAATGAGCAGCGATTTAAATATCAGTATTTCCTACCCAGAAGCAAATCGACTTCTTAGACAACAGATTTAAATGAAAGAATGCTTGAAATGAAACTTATCCGTAAATTGTATCAATACTAAAACCCAAATCGAATGTAATTAGTAATTATCTGTAAAAGAAAGCGATTCTCCTTCCTAAACGACTCCCTTTTATAACACGCAAGCTTACGCGCACTACCGTGGCGAAACGAAGTGTAACTGGAAAAAGTCGCGCGGATTTTGTGCCAATTTTATCGAGGCGTGTTGCCACAATTTCATGGATTTATCCATCTCAGCCGGTGTCTTGGAGGTCTTAAAGTTTAAGGCGGTCTCACTTCCCGTCGTTAAAAGCGGATGCGAGGAAAAATTCTAAATCCACCTTTGCTCCGGGGTTCAGGAACGAAAGCCCCGACAGGGCAAGGAACAGAGGATGTGAAAGTTTCGCGTCCGGTCCGGACACTCCGGACTCGTCCGACTCCTTTCCGAGTCGTCTCGAGCCGTTTCGAGTCGTTTCGAGTCGTCCGAGTCGGTTCGAATCGTCCGACTCATCTCGCGAGTCGTCCTAACTCCTTGGCCAGATCTCGCGCTGCACTCTGCATTATTAAACCCTGAAAGACTCTTCTGAATCCGTCTTGTACGCATATTGCAGCCCGAGTGAGTTCCGGTGGGTGTCCATTAACCGCCCCCAGGGGCCGACGTCCGTAAACCTTTATGAGCTACCTCAATTTCCGGGGACGATCCAGACATTCTGACCCGTTTGTCCAGGACCTGGTCCGCGGCGGTTTCGTGCTTTCCAGCTTTCGAGCTTGTCAAGCCTCGAGCACTCCTCTCCGAGGACGAGATCTCGTGACGCCCAACTGCCGAGTGCTTTGTTAAAAAATTTCATACGTCTACCTTTCCATCGGTCACAAAAATTAACTCGAATTATTTTCTATGTAACGCTACGCTTTTAAGCGCTTAAACTTGCATTTAGCGCGAAACTACCGAACTTCTGGACAATTCTGATGAGGAAATGATGGTACACTGTAGAAAATAACCCCCCGGCTCGATCGAACCAGGAAACTACCCCTGAATTCTGATATCGTTTGGGGAAAAACAGAACTTTAAACAATTAAAGCTCGGATCGTAATTTAATAGGTGCTTTCACCTGGATACCCATGAAACTCGAAAATTAGTCGATAACCATGAAACTAATTACCCACCAGCGGCTGAAAAAACATCGATATCTGAAAACCATTGTTGCGCATATCTGATAACCACATAAATCGTATATCATGCTGAAAGGAGTCGTTGACCGTATCTCGGTAATTACAAATGTTTTTAAACTAAAACTGAATCACTTCCTCTATACGTTGATCCAAGCGAAACATTTAAGTTTCTCATTTGCACGATTTTTATTTTCAGGTATTACGATTCTTTTCCGAACAATGTATCTCAGCTATCACGTGGTATCTTGAACGAACTCAATCATCTTGATCGTTATTCCTACTTTCACGTTATTTAACGTTTTTCTAAAATTCTCGAGTCCTTCCAGTCGTTCCAATTTTCGGCGACGATCCGAACATTCTAATCCGTTTGTCTTGATCTTGAGTTCGCGGTCTTCGGTAAATTCGGACGTTTTGATTACTCAAGATCGTCGTTTCGAGTCCTCCGAGGAGTTTCCGAACACTTCCTCGAGGAATAACGAAACTTTCTACCACGTCGTTAAAAAAGTGTGTAACTAGTTTTTCACCAGGGAAATGCCGTTCTTACGCTTTCCCGAGTTCGTTTGCTCTGCTCGGAGAGAGCGCCCTTCTTAAACGCGTTACTTGCCCTCCTCTTCCAAGAACCTCATGAATTTCAAATTTGACCTTCACCGTTCCCATTACCTTCGCATTGCACATTTTCCGTTTAGGGTGATGCAGAACCTATTGCAAAATTTACGGAAAGTCCAACGTCGACGGAACTTCTCAGTTCGCCCCACAGTGGGTTAGAATCCCAAAGTCCTTACCAAAAATCGAAAAACCAACTTCGTTATATTCTGTTTTAATTCACACAGTTTTGTAAAGCAGGGTTTCCTCCGTGTAATACTGAAACTACAGCTACCTAGGTTTTATACCTTTTTTGCGATTACTCTTTACCAAAACTAGTGTTGTAATACTTAATAATGAATCACTTAACATTTAATTAATAAATGACAATGCATCATACTTAAACGTAAAGAAGCAAGAATAACACAAAAAGGTAGCGATGGTATAAAAATGTAAATGTCTAAATTAAAATGGCAAAGTGATATCAGGCGGTAAAAGAAGCAAACGTCCATCGACTTATGTATTTGGTTTTGCGTTACGATTGCAATGCTTTTTCTATCCGGATACATTTAGAAACGTAATATATAATGTAAACGGTCAGCTTGTACTCGGCAAGATCTTTTCTTTTTTTTTTTTTCAGGGCTTTTGTCAAGGTTTTTAAAAAGATCTCACGTATTACTGGTAGCGGGTACGAATTTCGATTTACCAAAATCAATCGAGGAAGCGACACTTCGAAATCGCTTTAAGTAATGCCGGTAGAGTAAAAGTCCGAGACGGAGTGAAGTCGAGCGATTAATGAGCGTTTCGATCAAAAGACTCGGTGGCTCGAGATGCAGAAAAAGAAGCGCATCTCGCGGTGCATTTCGGTCTTCTCGGGACTCACAAGAGTCCAGGTGCACCAGGAGTATGCTCAGAGTATTCCTCGAAAGAGTCAACAATGAAGGAGACGAGGAATAAAAGAGCAATGCCGGGCGCTGTTTGCCGCTCGCTCCTGCTAGGATGCATTTTGAAACAATGCAAGTGCATGAAACAATCGTATCTCGGAGCTCGGAGAGCGCGCCGTCGATTCCGATCCTTCAATTCGGTTCCCAATCAATCTCGATTTATTCGCAGCCATATCGGGCCAGTTTCAGGCCAGATAGTCCATGGCTGCTATATCGAAGGTCGCGTTTTACTCTCCTGTACTCCTGCTTTGTGTCTCCTCGAGATACAACACGGGAAATTAATGGGCGATGCGTTCCACGAGCAATCTGCCCATGAATAAAAGCACTCGTAAAGTAAGGATCGTTCTCACAGGATTCAGAACAATTCCACTTAAAATAGAAAAACATTGAAAATCCCTCACTGAATGCCCAAAATTAAAAGTTGAAAATGAAGGGTGAACATTTTCTTAAAATTTAAACTTAAATAGCGTTTCCTGGGTATTTCTTGAAAATACTTAATTGGAACTAGTGGACCGATTTGATGGAAAGAAAACCACAAGAACTTACGTATCAGTCTAATATTTAGAAACGCTTAAATTAATATTACTCATAATGTGCGTACTTTATGTTTCATCCCAAGTAATCGGGAGGGTCTGGTTAGGGTCAGAAAAAAGGGCAATATCTACCCGCAATTATTACTTAACCAGGGAAACGGTTTTGGTCATCGATTCAGCCCCGGTACGTCACTGATAATTAACAAAAGAAATTTTTGAAAAGACCGAGCCTTTCCCTTGGAGAGCATCCTTTAGAAATACAGAAGCTGAATATTAATTTCGCCTCGAATCGGCGATGGCCGCTTAAGGGCCGGTTTCGCCTCGGAGGAAGGAAAAGTACAGCGAAGAAGGGAAACGAGATATGCCGAGGACGAGTGGAAGAGGCGGAAACGGAGAGGGCAAAAAATGACTGCGGCCTCGATGGGAACTCCTCTTGACCCTGTTTAAAGACCTTAAAACGAAGTCGACGGTAGCCAGGCCGGATCGAAAAGGGTTGGAAGACGCGATGTCGCGGCTGCCGGAATTTCCGCAGACCTGGATTCTCGAAAATCTCACCCCTTCTGCGGGGGTGGCATAAATTACGCGATATGCCGCGCCGGAGCTTCGCTCTAAATCAACCTAACATTTCCCTACGTCAGTCCAGAGAATTTATCCCAGAAGTCCTGCGGGACGAAGGGGATGAAAGGGGAAACAACGAAACGAGACGAAAGAGACAGAGGCGGCGAATCTTGGCCGGGAGAAGGCGATTCCGCGTTCACCTCGAAATCGGGAAAACAAGGGAAATGGAATCTTCGTAATACCTCTGTCTAGACCGAGAACGGGAATACGGACCGTGTATAATTCTTGACGGCACAGAACGGAGGTTAATGCGCTTTTTACAGGGGGTCGTAAACGCAACGAGGCTGAAGGAGTCAAATGTCGGGCTTTAAGCGACCTAGAACTGTCCACACATGAGGGAAATACGAGGTTGAAAAATGTTTCAGATTAAATTTCGCGTCTGATATGCAGTCTCTGTGATTAAAAAAAAATGTAAAGTTAGAGGTTTCGCTGTTTAAGGGGATATTTTTGCGTTTTCTTATTTTATTTCCATAGCGTAGGAATTGGCATTGCGTTTCAAAGCTAGCCGGCAGTCTTTGTAAATATATAAGAAAATATAAGGTAAAGGTTAGGGTTGTTTAAGGGTCGTTCTTTTATTCTTTCATTTTTCTTACAATATATTTGACGCTCTGTTTTAGATATGATACGCACTCCTTATAGATTTAAGACATTGTCAAGTTAGAAATTGGAGTTGTTAAAGGGTAATTTTTCTTTTTGTTCCATTTGAGGGAGGGTCCTCATCTGCCGTGCAGATTTATATGGAGAGAAATATTGCCTGATTCTGCGTGGGGGGAATATAACTCGAGAGATTCATTCGGAATGCTCGGGAGAAGCCTTTGGGATCGATCGAAAAGTGAATCGAATTTCGATGTATGCACCCCCGCGTGTTTCGGAGCGAGAAACGAAGTATCGGAAAAGGGACTCCGAGCTCCGATTCCGTGACTCCTTTAGTTACTTCGGCACGGATGTCTCTCCATGTCGGTATATTTTTGCTTTTCCTCCCCGACCTCGAGATTTCGTATAATAATACTCGTGGACTGGATTGAAAGGGACTTTGCGAGGGGAACGCGTTTGCAGAAAGATTGTGCAAAATTCCGAGACTCGTCAAACGCGACCACATCACCTCTGCACTAGATCTTAAAATTTATTCATAAACCTAATCCGATTTCGAAAAAACTTCCCGAGTCATCCAACACCCGAAAGCCCGACAAATATCTCGAATTTTTCATTTTTAAACTCACGGAATAACCCACCGCTTTTTCTTCCAGCTCAAAATTACGTTGCAAACAAAGCTCTGACGCGTCACACGAAAATAATTCAGAAAACACCACGTAAAATATTACAGCTACGCATTAAAACAATAAGTGAAATTCCCTCGCGCGGTACACATTAAAGCTGAAATGAAAACGTAACAGGGATAGGAACTGAAATGAAAAACGTGCACTGCACGTTAAACGCGATATTAATTTTCGACCTACCGATGAAATAGGTACTTCATAATGCATTAACTTTCCCTTCTAATCAATTTTCATCGTGACAATGATAATGTTACGTATACATAATCACCGCACATTACTGACCCGAGCCTCGCGAAAATCGAATATGGCTTGGATGCTAAATGAATTTCTCGCGTGTACATCCCAATCTCTCGCGACAATGATCGCGTAAACGCAACATAGTACATGCAGTTATGTACTCCATCAGAGAATGCTCATGTCCTTGGTCCCATGTTTGCTGGAATTTGCGAAGTTCCGCGATGGCTTGTAAGGCCGTTGTTGGCAAGTCCCGGTCATGGGACTTGCGCTTTTCGGGGCTTTCGGAGGACATCTCCTGCAGGTTGTGGCAAATGTCGGAGGTCGTATCCTTCGGGAAGTGATCTCGGTATTATCGAGCTCGTACAGTGGAGAAAGACGGAAATACTCCTACCAGGAATAAATTAGGACCCGATCATTCGGAACCCGCTTAAGAATAAATCTCGGACGTCTCTCTGGTCCAGCTTCGTTGGGTCGCGAGGTGTCAGGATTTGAATAATCGAGGATATCCCGACGCTTCATTCAGGGATGGAATTTAATTTACTTGCGGAGAATGCAAGAGTACCTTGCCAGAAGTTCGGAAAATCGCTCTATATCTCTAGTTCTAAAAATTACCCTATGACGTTTACCGGGAAGCAGACAAATTATTGCGTTTGGGAAGGGAAAAGTTTGCTTCAAAGTATAGCAGTGAAAGAATGTTGATTTATATCATCAACATGGATGAATAATACATTAACTAAAAATGAATACGTGTTCTAATATTACATGTATACTAAGGACAGATCTTATTTCGGTGGGATTCCCGACATGACACATCTTCGTTCGATTTATTCCTGCACTGAGGAAAAAGATTAGTTAACTGAAACAAATATGTATTGTTGCCTGAATCATATACGATTGTGAAAACAATTATTCTGTTGAGAAGAAAAACTGATATCGGGGAGTTAAACTAATCGTTGTTGATTTAAACAAATTTTGTATATTCGATCTGACATTTTTTTGGACACATTTGATCGGAGGATTTTGTTGCACCAATGCATATTTCTTTGAGTCAACCAACTTTTTTTTTCTCTTCAGTACGGAATAAAAATTTACTTCCGGAAGAAGATATTAAAGCCGATTGACGAAAACTGGCGTTCATAAAAAAAGGTTACGAAGTATGAGGATTTAAAGGAAAACCATTGAATTATTAGATCAGTCCAAATTTCTGTGACTTCCTGGCAATCTTTCAAATTCTGAGTTGAGACATAAGTTCGAGCTTTTTTTTTTCATTTTTTGAACGATTTGAACGAAAAGACTTCGACGAACTTATGGCGCAACTCAAAAGGGTATTTTTCTTTAAGCTATACTGTAAGTATCTAGAAGTCTTCATTTTAATGTTGCCGTTACAGGTCCAACAAGCTAAAGCCTTTCTGGCAGAGTGTTAACGAGACACTTCCGGTGCTGGAATACCTCTCCTCGGCCCTTTTGTCTTCCGAATATGATCAAGCCCTGGGCCGGGCCCTTGCGATGCCGGATTGTCCGGTGGTTCCATTTTTCGGAGCCTTCCTACGTGAGCTGCGCGAAGCCATCGCTGTGGAGTCTAAGGTGAGCTGTGTTCAAAAAGTAACACACCAAATATATATTATTTCTCCCTATAATAATCCACTCCTAACATGGTTATACCCTCAGTCCTACAAAACAACACCTCACTTAGCAACCTTACTGAAGAAATTATGTGCATCGATGATATTCTGATAATTTGCGGGAAATAATAGCGTATTAAAAAGATACACTTTCAAAAACGTATCGATATTTCGAACACTTTCGAATACAAGTGTGTACTGAAACCACAAACAGCGGCACTAGAAATGAAAACTATACTACATTTCGAAGAACATCGTTTCTACGTGAAAGTTTGTACAAATGTGCTCAAAATGTTGGACAAAACAGTAAGATGAGACAAGAAATCGGCACAAATGTTAATAAATGTATTGCAACGCGTTTTTCTTAAAATGCATACAATTGTGCACGGATAGGTAATCGAAAATAGGTATACAAAAGTATACAAGTTTTCGTATACGCGTCTTATAATAATCGTACATATGCCTCCGTACACAATTATCTATGAATTCTCGCAGACTCGTATGTACTCGTAAAATTGGTATTCGAAAGATTACAAAATTTAATATACATATCCACTGATATACGTATACAGTAAACTAAAATCCCGAAACCAATTATTTACGAAATTTCGAAATATTGTATCCTTAAAATCCATCAACTACATGTATAGTAAATTTCAAACAGATATTTTTTATATGTCAGGTGAAATTATTCCACATATGTCCTAACTCCCTAGTTTCTCGTAACAAATCGTCGGAAACTTCTTTTCGTCGATTTGAGGCATGTAGAAATTCTCTGTGAGAAAAATTGCAAGTGGAAAATTGAAAACTTCACGAGGAAAGAAGTGGCTAAAACAGAAATTCGGTTTTGAGAGTCTTCTTTCAAGGATGAAAATAAAATGGAAGCTTTAAATCCCCGAGAAAATTTAAGTAAACGTTTTACTTCAGCTACATTTCACGACTTTAAGTTTCCGCCTAAGTGGTTTCTCTCGCGGGACTCTTTACAACAGATTCAGCCATGTTTAACGTTAATTCCCGAAGCCAAGGTAAAGGCTGTTAAATGTTCCTCCGAGTCCATCGTTACGCTTAACGACGTCGTGCAGAGATTTTCCATCCCACGGTGTCTTTTGAAGAGGAAAACCCGACGTTAAGTGGCACGGCTTGCCGGAATATATGTCTCCATTTAGTTCTGCACGGGACATTATTCGAAGACCATTGCACCGGGCTTTATTTTCAAATAATCTATTCGGGACAGTACATTAACTGCCGCCCCCAAGCTCCGCATTTTCGATTGCATATTCCCTGGTTAATAGATACTCTGTTTAAATACCTCCAAATACGGCCCCTTCAAGAGCGAAAATTACTCCGATTGATGTAATTGATTAATTCGTTATTTCTAGAGCACTCTGAAAATACTACGTCTATTTAACTATTAAACACAAGTAGTGCGTGAAAAAAAAAACTGTTATAACGTCCCGTGAACACGAAGAGGTCATTTCAGACATTTTGTAGCTTCTCAAACGGATATAATATGTCAGCAAGCCACTTAAGAAATGAGCAAATATTTCAATAAATCATTTCAGAAGATTCGGGATGCGAAGCGGTGATTCGTTTAGTAGAACTGGAAGAATAAAAAAGTTATCGTGAGATATCATTCGTTTCCTGTTGTTTCCTGTATGTCGTTGAGCGCTCGTTGAGGCGTATCAACGGCGACCAGCGAAAACATAAAGCCGGAAAAGGAGCCAAGATGGAGGAAAGCGTGGTCGCGATTTGGCAGGACACCAGAAAAGTTCATCGATCAAATCCAGCTATCGTGTTCTTGCCCGGAAACCATCAAGGCGTGAGTCTCAAACACGGAACTTAAAGCGAAAAAGCACTGTCAAAAGTGACCGCTCGAAGAGAACGAATTCCACTCCGATCGAATTGGAAGTCCTTTTGTTTCCACGCCAAGTGCAAGCGGCATCCAAGAAAGAGAGAAACCCTTTTCCGCCATCCTCCACTCCCAAAGGAATTAAGGTTTTCTGCGGGGACGAAATTACGTTCCCTCGACAGAATTATCCGGTTACTTTAACGTTTCGCTCTCTTTACTCAAATCATAACGTCAAAGATGTGATATTTTTGACGTTCCTTTACAGTGAAGACCAAAGGAAATCGGGCACAATCCTAACGCGGTACGATTGTAATGTCGGTGATAAGTAAGTTAAATATTTATATAAAAGCTGGCAACATTGTCATATGTAAGTATGAGAAATTGTCTCAAACAATCCTCCGAAAGGTGACCTGTAAATTCGAAGCGGTTTGGGTGAACAATAGTTTTTCTACTCCTGAGGCATGTTATTGAGAAGTTTCAGAATGGATAAGTTATGGGTTAGCATTTCCTTTTATATGAATTTTGTCATATTTGCTTGTTGATAAGGTACCAGGGTAAAAGTTTATTTATTGTTTTCTATCAAAGAATTCCTATTATTTTAACTATCTTTACCTTTTACGTCTTACCTGTTACAATTGGCCCGCAAGGGGTGTAGTTGTAACAACTGTCAAGTATGACTTCAACCATTTCTTTTTATAATTCGTAACGAAAGTCACTGCAGTTAAGTGACTAAATCTCATTGCTCAAGTCACAACTATAATATTCTTCTTTGCTCAAAAATATTTGGGCGAAAAGCCAAAAAATCACTTTACTAATCATTGTTTCAACTGTACTCGATCTTCCCTAGTTGTTGAAAATCGCAGATCTAAAAGGAGAATAAACCTTAAAGTAACGTGCTTGAGAAGTAAGAATCGTTGGTTGAATTTTCTCTAATTACAATTTAAAGCTCTCGTTAAAATGCGAAGCAAACGCAAATTTTCGAGGCGCCAAAGGAAAGTTCGTTTATAAACCTCATCCGATATTCAATTAAAATGCTTCAAACTCGAGAACTGTTTCCGAGATTTAATTATTGTATAGTAACTGTAAACTTGAATGATTTCTACGATTCTCCAGTTTTCCAAATTTCGCTTAAAATATTGATATATCTTGCGGCAAGTTATACCATGCACCCATGTGAGGGAATCAAAGGAAATTGCAAATTAGCTTAGTTACTCTGCGAATTATGCTTACACTGATCGAATCATGTGCGAAACGTAAAGGGAGGATTTTACGATATCCGACATCGTGAAAGAGAAACCTATTCATCGGAAACGATAGCAGAGGATTGTCCTGTATTTACGGACATTATTCAAAGTGTTTATCAGGTCGTTATCGCTTTAATTTAATCATGCATTGTGATATCAATTGATCGCATTCACGCTGATGCTAGGCATCAAGATTAATCGATGATATCTGGAAATTCGGAAATTTTATCAGCGATGATTATACGAAATACCTGTGGTAACAAATTTCGCATTTGCGAAGGATCTTTCCCCAGATCATTTTACAGGTACAACTCCTGATTACCTTTGATGTTTTTATTTAAATAATCGGTAATGTTTTATCTCTGGAAGAACTTACGCTGCGTTCATCATCGAAGAAGTCGTCGTAACCCGAAGGAGAAGGAGAAGAAAATCACAAAAACGTCAAGGAGAGGGGTTTCTATCGGCCTCCAGCAGATAATATGGTTGTAGGCCGGCGGAAACTACTTGCTCTTGTCGTTAATACTCATCGTCTCAAATCAAACATCAAGATTTTCATTAAAAAGAAAAGCACGATACTTTTTAACGATATTTTGTTTTCAACATTCTTTCGTGCCGCTCAAGTTTCGCATTGAAAACGAACCTTGATCCGAAAATGAAGCTTCACCGATCGGCAAAATGTAGACTCTAATTATAATCCATAATTAATCTCTAACTCCGCCTGAAAACTGATATGCCATTTAATATTTAACGATCGAAGAGACTGCATTATTTGTTAAGCGAGTTAGATAGGTATTACTAATTATTATTGAATAATACAGACGCAATGTTATGAATTATTGATTAGCGTGAATTGTGAATTATTTAGTCATAGAATGGCGTCAATATCCAGGAACATTTGTTTTCGATTGTAGATGTTAAGTACGTATATTAAGACAAGGTAATGACCTCTTTTCTGCTCTTTACAGCCCTTTAAACCTTAGGAAAATATTATCAAACATTATAGACGATATGAACTTCAAAATTCTTATAAAAGTATGTGTTGATAACGATACCGATACCGAGCTATGTCCAAAGTTTGAATTGAATTACACGGGGTAACTAGAAAATGGATTAATAGCGCTTAAATTTCTATTTTAATTTCAGCATGCACTCCGTTTTCGTTCCATTGAAGGAAATGATTCTCAGTCAGCCTGTCTGACAATTTATTCACATATCTACTGTCACGGAGCAGAACTTTTCAATCATTAATAGGAAATCAGATTCGCGGTGTAAAAATGTAAATTTAATCATTCTGGGAAATTATGAACCGAAATTTAGATAAAAATGAATTCGATTATATTAAGGAGGAAGAAATAGTTTCCAAAACGGAGTAAATACTTGTATCGGTTTTCTGATCGATCCGAGACGTGTTCTTTTAGCGAAGTGATATTTGGAGACGAGAGGAATCACCAGATGACAGACCCTCGCCGAATGTCTCGCAGATCCCGACACGCTTTTCCACTTCGCGATGAACGAGTTTTTAACGCGGAATGGTACGTCAAGATCCATCGTCGGATCTCGAGACGAGTGTCTAAAAATGGCGACAATAATGTTAAGAAAGCCTCTCAGAAAAGCAATGCATTACTTTTGATAATTGTACACCCAAAGCGTTAAAATTCTCCCTTTTTTCTCTCACTTGTCGACACTTTCTCTTGTTCGGAAATTCCGTTTGAGTGTTCTTCTTTCTAACAATACTGTATATAAATTTAAATTTCCCCTATATGAACGTTCGGCACAATTGGAATAACCTTTTGCAGGGGATGGCGCTTACAGTTTCCAATTATACTAAGTTTCTTCAAATTTCTAAATTTTCAATCTCGCGAAAAAGAGGTTCTTTGAGGGACAAGTTTGGTTTCGTGTAGCTAGTGAGTGCTGACTGACGGTACATGTGTAATAAATCAAACAACGAGACTCGCGTTTGCGACCAAAGGGCTTTTCCGGACACCAAAATAAAAGGGACTCCAATCCCCGACCTTCTTAAGGACATGTATCGCATAGCTCTCTGTGTAATGCGTAGCTAAGGGTTCGACCAACCAATCGGGGGAGTTCAAACGCGAACCCAACCCCTAAGAGCGATTCGCAGGGTCGACGTTTCATTTTGCGAATTCCAACCCCCCATCGACGCGCAATACCCCCGACGACTCGATACCGCGGAATTTTAACATCCCCTTCGGTCTCGCGGACCCCATCGACTACGAGATACTCCGAAAAGCTCCAAGATTAGATACCTTCAGTCCAGACTGATTTAGACAAGAAGTAACGAAAATTCCTAACTCGAAAATGACCCAATGTAGGGGGTCGATCTAGACCATTTGCATAAATAATAAATCTCCGCTAAAAACGCTTTGATGTATACAAAATCTCGCCGCTTATGTTCTACGTTAGGTTTCTAGATTCATCTAGATGGAAGAAGTATTAAAATCATATTAAAAAACCAGATACATAAATCATTGGTCCGCTTGCACGCGACCGCAAAACCCGGCATCGGTTGTTTCGCCGGGAATAATGTAAAAAAGAATGTAACTTTCATTTATTTACATTATTACCATGGAAAAGACGCACCGGTTTTGCCGGTCTGGTGCAAACGGCGTTAGATGTCTGCTTGCCATGCGATCTAGCATCAACGTGTCATTCTGATATTTCCATTCACGAATGTTGACCCCTTCGTTACTTTTTTACCTTACCACTGCTCCTTTACATCCAAGCATAATGCATTGATATGTAACGATCGATTGTGAAATGTTTCCATACCGAGTACTATACCAGATTGTATAAAAAGCAGCTCGAGTTGAAATTTTGATCCCGCTTAGGGCCTCCAATTGTAGGACTTAAATGAATTTTGACGCGATATACTTTCACACGTTTGAGATCCTATTTTCGACCTAGGATATTTCCATTTCTTTTACTAGTACCTAAAGTAGAACTTAACTCGAATAAAGTAGGACGTGAAAGGTCGAAGGAGGACTTAGAAGGGTGAAACAGGACCAAAAGAGGTCTTACGTGAGTTATGCAGGCTTAAAGGAGGGCTAAAATCTCAACTCGACAGATATCCAGTAACATCCGCACTTGGCATTGTAACATAATGTCAATGCTTTACCCCGTTAAAGAAGGCGGTAAAATCAATTTTAAATTGAACAATATATAAATACTAGAAAACGTACCATACATCAATCCTACCCTTGATAACACAAATTCCGTTGCAAGAAATCGTCCAACCCTCTCAAGTACAATCATTGGACGACAAATACCAGACCGTTCCCCGTTGCTTCCTACCCCGATACCTCCGCAAGCACCCCAAGGTTGATCCCGACCACCGCGAAACTCTGTCCAGTTTAATCGAAACGATAGTTTTATTACGCGATAACTTTTCGCCTTTGAATCCTCGTTCCCAAGTGGCCGCAACGAGGCCAGTCTCCTCGTCGTCCCAAACTCGTGCAGACGTCCGCACCCTCTTCTCGGCCCCATTGGGCAAACCCAATAACGGGCACTCGGGTGTTCTCCAGCCCTTGGGAGTCGAAACGCCTCACTCGATAACTCGCCGCTTCGATTGCAGCACCCAGCCGAGTGCAGGGAGAAAGGGGCTTCGCAAACTATCGGTAGGGAGGGCGAATCCCTCGACAACGTGCCTTCGTCCTCGCCCGGCGCGAGGGCCAGTGCGGAAAGTGGCGGAGAGTCGCCGTCCGGATGGAGCAGCTCCAGGAACACTCCCAGGACCGGGTCCCTGAGGAGGCCGGAGAGGGCCGGGGACGCCAACGCGGTCCTGGACAAGGTGGCCCTGTTCCACCGACACCGACAGGCTCGCGTCAAGGAGGCCGCAAGCGGGTCTTCGGGGTCGCTCGCCTCGGCCGGCTCGGTCGGGCCTCTTCGTCGCACCCCCAGCGTCCTGGCCTCTTCGGCGCCCTCTTCGGAGCCCTCCTCGGCGTCCTCCTCGGGTCCCGAGCCCGCCCACCCTCTGGAGGAGTGCGACGAGAACGACTACCACCTTGACCTAGACACCTACAAGCCGGTTCAGCCCCTCGCTATCGACCATGGGATCGCCCTCTTCCCCGTGGCCGCCCCCAACGCCGGGATGGACCTCCATCTCCTGCAGGTGAGTCATTCGGTGTGCGTTTCCCGCGGAGGGGCTGTACGCAAATGGACCGTATCAAGTGGAAAAAAGATGTTTGCAGTGTTAAGATAGAACACTTATCCATGGCACGCCATTACCCCAAAGGACTTTTTGTGTGCATCTTTCTCAGATTCACGGGGTGAAGAAAGCTAGTTGATGGAATGGCAACTCGGGGTGGATCGTGCTGACGAGGTGCTGCTGGAAACCTCGAATTTGAGTTACCGGAGTGCTTTTGCGGTCATCTCGAAAATATAGAGTAATTAATTAAATGATTAATTGCCTTAGAGGGATTTATACGAAAGATGGCCTCGTGGAACGTGCCCTGGCACCTGTTGACTGGATTTTGAAAGATCAGGGGAGTGATGCAGGGATGGGGTGGGGTTACTCTTTTAGATGTGAGGGGCCACGGTTACTTTTCATTATTCCTGGGTGTTTATCATGCCAATAGAAACGCTTTCGAAAATAGTACGATTGCGTTTTGCTGCGTGGGTTGCGGGCTTGTTGGATCGGTATTTTTGTGAGGTGATATTTGGGGATAAATGTTGATTTTGCTAAATTAACAGTGGGCCTACATGCGCGACCGTACGTAATGGTGGAAATATAAATATACCCCTGAGTCCTGTGAACCCGAAAGGGTTAATTCCGCGGCAAGGGAGAGTAAATCGAAATTGACCAATCCCCTTAGGGAAATCGCGAAGCGATTCGATGCATCGGTAAATCCAGTGTTCCCACAGCCTCGTTGTGGCTGCATTCAGCCACACCGAGGATGCAAAACCTCAATAGTATCTGTAGTTAACGTGCAGAACCGGACGATGCCCTACTTAAAATTCTATCTTACTCAGCCATTTATATTCGAAAAATGAAATAACGTTTCGACATATCTTCCATTCATCTACCTCGAGTTGAAAATTCTAGTTCCACTACTGGCACTTGCCTGGGATAAATCTAAAACGCTCAAATGCATCCCAGATGAACATCAAAGATGGAAAATAAATGCGGCAGCAAGGAACACTCACTAACCGTATGAAACATTTTCGAAAGTAGATTAAATCCTCGTGCATCCCTCGCTCCGCCTTCGCGCAAAGAAACCCGGATTTTTGTATCCAATTTGGTTCCACGATCCGCAAAAGTTTGAACGATCGACCAATCTTCGATTCTCCGGGAGGCTACCCCACTTCAAAGTCAAGCGCCCTCGCGAGTACCTGAAGTGTATGCACGAGAAGAAAAAAAAAAGAAAAAGAAAACCATCGAAATCCTTAGAGAGGAAAAAATCCACCAAAAAGTAAACAACACCGTGAGGTCAAAAGCCCTTTATCCGGAGGTTTTGAAAACTCTTCAGTTTACTGTATAAAACATAATATCAAGGAGGAACGTAACTAACTCGAAGAAAGTCTCCGAGAACGAGCCCTCGCTTCGAGGGGTAGAACTACCCTTTATTCCAACAGAGGTCCACGTAAAGACGACGGAATATTCCCCGGCGTCCAAGTTACACCCGAGGATGTTCCGCGTTCGCCATTTACCCCCAACAATGACGTTTCAGGTGTTGCACCACGGCTCCACCCTGGTCCACTGGGACTGCGAAGGAGCCAGCTCTCGGACGGCTTTGGTTTTCGCGAGGATCGACCGAGCTTGCGGAACCATCGTCTGGGAGAAGCCTCCCTGGAGTCCCCTCAGGACAGCTCCCCCGGGATCCGGGAGCGAGTTCCTCCTGAACGTTAACCCCGAAGAAGGCGTGCCGACCGGGCTGGTCAGTAGATACGCCACCCAGCAGGACGACTGCACCCTGGTCAGCCTGGAGGAAGGATATCTGGACCTGACAGCGGTCAAGGAGATCACCGTTGGATGCTGCGACAGGGACAAAGAGGCCGACCTGCGGAGTACCTGCAGGAGATACGGCCTCCCTGCACCTGACTCCTGTATCGGCCTGATGTACGGCTCCAACCTGTCCGACAATCGACTCATGTTTCTACTCTGCCCACCGTCCCTCAACAAGTAAGCGGAATCTTTATCCTTATAATTGCTTCGTTTGCCTTTTTCTATTGTTTTTCTTTTTTTTTTTTCACATAGAATTACGACTTTGTTCTCGTTGCACGTGGGAGTACGCGCAGAAATCTATTTGGTTGAATCAATTCAATTTCTGTTGGTTTAAACGTAAAATATAGTTATACGAACAATCATGTATTTGGTTGATGTGACGAAATACTTTGGGTAATAATTTTTCGCTGATCACGTCAAATATTAAAGTCATTTCGTGCATGTAATCAAAATATTCGGTTCATACCTAAAGTATTTTCTGAAACTAACAAGGCGATTTAACCAAGACGCTTTAGTTGATTGGAGCAAGCAAGTTTGATCAAGTGAACTGAAATTCGGTTAACTCGACCAAAACGTTTTCTGAAAACATCTAAATGCAGTCAATAAATGAAACCAATTTTTTTTTCTACGTGTCCTAACTCAGCGCTCGAATGTTACGAAAATTAAACATGACGTACGTAGGTACGCGAGCGAGACAAAGACTACGTAATTCTACGTGTGATGCGATTATACCTAAATTTTTTTAAGTGAAACTTCTTATAGCACGGTAGTATGTGTCAATTCCCATGTTATATGAAAGGAGTCCGATTAAGAAACTGAAACGCTTTTCTTGATGTAACTCCTGTTACAATGCATTGTCTTAACGGGAACAGTCCTACAGGAATTAATAATGGACACTGAAACATTTGTCGAAACATGGAAGTGACTTCTCATCAACATGAGTCAGCATTTTCCATATTAGCACTCTATAAAATAATTCGCATCGAGCTAACATAAATTAATAGGGAGAAGTGATCTATTTTTAACCATTATCTCTCGATACTTCATTCTAAACGAGTCTATTACTCGAAACGGCATTTAATTACTTTCGCTTAAATAGTGAAGCACGCTTTACGTCGTTGTCTTGAATTTAGTTGACCAGCGAGATGCGGCGTAATTACAGAATTACTTTTCATTAAACAGTGAAACACGATTTAATTAATTAAGTGCTTTTAATACAATTACAGTAGCGCAGCAGACTGCGAAGAACGTCTATTGCACGGCGCTGAAGAGACAGTTTGCGAAGGTCGTCCTAACTATTGCTAACTTTAAATGAAGACTTCCTATTGACCGTGGACAGTCATTCGAAAATAAATAAATTTCGATACTATTTTTTTGTTTCACAAAACGATATTAAACGAGGAATTTTCATTGGTTGTGGATAAGCATTCGGAAATGAATAAATTTCGATACGATTTTATATAAAACTTCCCAAGCATTCCCTTCACGGTGTAAAAGAAATTAGTTCATTCAACAAATTCGATTGAAGATAATTGTTTTGGTTCACTTAAAAAAACGTTTCGGTTGAAAGAACCGAATTTCAGTTCCCTAGGTCAAACTCATTCGCTTCATTCAGCTAAAGTGTTTTGATTAAATCGTTCAGTTCATTTTAGAAAAAATTTTAGTTGTAAATTAAATATCATAGATAAATACCACATTTAGCTTTGATATTTTATGCGATCTACCAAAATATGTGACGTAATCGACATAAAGTTATTAACTAAAGAATTTTGTCATGCTAACAAAATATTTGTTTGGCCGTATAGTAATTACATTTTATGGTCGAATCAACAAAGATGTATTGATTCAACCGAATATTTTTCTGCATATAGTCTAGTAACGGGTGGAATGTTCGTTTTCAAAAGATTCTTACTTTAATGACTTTGACACCGCCTGTTATTTTTCAAAACTACTCGGGACGGAAAACCAATGAAAAATTCATTTTAATTTTTATTTCACTCGCCCGCAGTTCATTTCTCCGCGGTTTCAACTTAACGATGGACGCAGTTGATTACCGCAATATTTACGGCTTCGAGTTGGCCAATAAAATACCGGGTAATATACTGGCTGTCGTTAAATTGCGGTATTTCGCAGGGGTAAGGGTAATGGAAAACATCGGTGAAATTTCTACTAATTGAATCGTAACGAAACGTTCACTGGGTACTGTGACCATGGATCTTTCTGCAATTTTATCGAGCCAGTTTTTTTCACTCGCGGAACTTCGTAAAACTGCGCGTTCCATGTTCTTTGATCATCCAGGTTAACTTAGCTCTTCTTTATAAAATCGACCTTCTCTGATGAAATAATATTTGCCAGCAGAAGGCAGGGAGTCAAAATTAGTTCAACTTAATTCAATTCCTCCTTGCAGAAGCGACGAAGCTGCGTTCTGATGTACTCGACGAAAACGACGACTACTCAATTTCATATTCATTCGTTTCATTTGTTATTCCGATCCTTTTACGACGCGTTATGTGTTAATCTAATAACATAGAAAACGTCTGAGCGAAGCTTCAGATTTTCCAGCATCAAAATGAAATTTGCATGTTATATGCGTGTACAACGTTGGTAGAAATGTTTGTCAATTTCATACATTTTTAGTACTCAGAGTTATACTAAAATTACCAATTTGATATGATTTAAAATATAAGCAAGTTTTTGAAATTGATGTCAATTTATCCGACACTTTTTAATACAGTTTATAAAATTAGAGAGCCAGTACATTACATACAGCTAAGAGTGTATTATAAATTCAGTACGTCGTATCTGTAAAACTTGTAACATGAATTCATAATGTTCTTTTAATGGTGATATTTTCACATTTAGAACAAGACAATTTTTTTTATAAAACATTTCACATTTCGAACAAGACACTTTTAGACAATTAGAATATTCCGTTGTTATAACTGACGTATCCAAATACAGGAATTGTAAAAAAAAGAGATCAACATTTTGTCCACGAGTTCATGTGAATTGTGTGCGATTCCGCATACACTTAAAGTTAAATGAAAGCCGAAGTTAATTAAACTCATAATTATGAGTAACCAGACACTTTTTAGGGGAAAAATGCTCTTCTACCGCATTCAACATTTTTCTTGTGACATTTCCGTCCACCGGGTACTTTTGTCTCCAGTTTTACACTTCTTTCGCTAATATGCAAAATGATTTATCACTTATTCCGCTTTTCCCGAATATGAGGAGAATTCAAAGGACGAATTTCGGATTTTCTTTCCCGCGTCGAACGTTGAAATAATCGGTTCTGTAAAAGTTAGCTGAACAAAAGAACGTTTACACTTCTCTCGGACAATAGCATAAAGTTCTTTTGTCCTTTAACCAGTACTTGTCTTCGACGGTACAATTGTCTTTAGAGAATCAAGACCTTTTCCTTAGTTTCCCGAGTTCGTTTCGTAACGTCTGTACATGGCGGGAACGAGTTGTAAAGACTTAACGAATCCCTTTGATCTCGACACAGAGCCGAGATTTATAGTCTGAAAGTTACGTCGGAAAGGAAAGGTTCACCTCGTAAATCGATAGCCCAATTGACACGTATAAAAGTTTCGAAGACTCTAGGCTTTAGCCTTCCGGAATGGATTTAAAACAGGAAGGTACAGACTAAAAATCTCCGGTTAACTCTTCGATGCGAGGCTTTAAACAGTTGGATATCATTTTCCACCGTAAAATAACTCCTTATTTTTATACTTTATTTATACCCACAAACTGCACTGACGAGGCATTTTTCACGAAAAACCAATTAATTTCGCCTAGGAAGTAAAGTTTTCGCTCAAGATGTAGAGTTTAACTCGGTCGCGTTCTCGTTAAAAAAGAGAAAGGTTAATTGGGCATTTTAGGTTGACTTTTTAGTAAAACATTTCGTAGATTATTATCTACGAAATATTATTATCTATAATATATTATTATCTACGAAATGTTTCGTTTCCGTTAACGTGCAACTTGCGAGTCGGTGCATTTTTAGATTTATTTATTTATGATCGTTGTCCTCGCTTTCAGAATATGGTACACGGGCCTGTGCTGCATCCTAAAAGGCCTGAAGCGTCAGCAGCAGTTGACAGACCGAAGATCCCGCTGGTTGAAGGAAAAGTATCTACAATTGTTTTTCGAAGAACGTTGTTTGGAGCCAATGACAGCAGATGCCATCCGTTCTTTCGGCGGGCGCGACTGGTCGATGACAGAAAGCATCGGCACCCTGTCACCGACCAGCAGTTCCACTCTTCGGCGTCGAAACGTCAAAGGAAAAAAGACAAAATCCATCGGCAACATCCACGCGTTGACGAAGGTTCGTGGTCAGAATTTAAAATATCTTTACGATGCATATGACGATTCCAGGGAACTCTTGATTCTAACACAATAGCCGCCTATTACATAAGTAATCGAAATGTCCTATATGATAACATCTAATCCGTGAACAAAATTGATATTGCCCCCTTTGGAACCGGATACACCAAATCGCTGTAACTAGAACAAGAATCTGACATCTAATCCAAGAAACACACCCCACGCAGTGCGATAAATATAACGATCAATTAGATGTGCAACAGATCATTCTTGTATAAAACCCCAATCGGTAAGAAAAAGTTGCAAAATGTTCAAATCAGGTAGCTAATAACTAGTTGGCTAATAGCTAGCCAATAATCAAACCTCTAGGAGACCCACAAGAAGTTGGCAAACCCTTAAAGTTCTTAAAAAGTATCAACATTCTACACGCACTATAAAATTGATGTCCCCAAGATACACCCACCCTACGCGACGATGTGTCCCTAACAACCAGAGTAGCTAATGCAACGCTAAATACTGTAAAAAGAAAATACCAATAAGGATCCCTTAACGAATGCCAAATACAAGAGAACACTCCTGGACTTAATTTTCGACTTTAAGATGTAAGATCCATGCTCATACCTCACATTTGACGTTAAAAAACGTCTTTTGGTTGCAGTCTTTAAATTACTAAAAGTCCTCCTTTGACCCTAACAGCTGGTTGCACCAACGTTTCAATTGAAATGCTTAATCAAAGATTACTTAACGCGAGACTGGAGTTAATCGCTCGATGTCGGGTGGCAGCGGATTTCATCTTTAGTTAGCCTAATTTTTGTTAGTGCACTACGAATTTCGTTAATTTTACGCTAATCGCGATTTGTGTAACCGACCCTAAAAGTGAGGTATGAGTATTAACCCTTGATCGGTCAGAAATGTTGATGGATCCCTTTCCATGACGGCGTTCTTCAGGAACTGAGCTTCAAGCAGTACGACTCCTCGTCCTCGGACGGAGGTCTGAGTGCAGCCCCTCTGCGCCACGTGGCCGGCAGCAGGGAATCCTTGACGAGGATTATCCCAGCATCCCCCAGGTCCAGCAGGGACAGGGTACCACCTCGCAGCCCCCCGGGCTCTGCCGAGAGGATCGTGACCTCGACCCTGCCGTACTCCAGTTTACAGAGGTGCGTTGTCCTTGGATTCCGAGCGATGTCAGAGTGGCGGATGATGGGTCCTAATGAGCCGGAGGCAGCCTATTGTGTGTTGCCAGAGAGAAGGACAGGAACGGGTCCAGCGGACCAGGACTTGTCGCTGACTCGCCCTGGCAGGTCAAGGCCAGGGCCACTTCCATCATGTACGAGACCCAGCTCAACTTCGTCGAGTTCGTCGCCCTCTTCCGCTCGTTCAGCCTGAGGGCCAGGAAGGACCTCAGGGACCTCTTCGCCCAGCTGGCCATCAATTGCAGGAGTCAAAGCGATGGTTCGCTACGAGACTTCACCGCCCGTCCGCTGGTTCTCAGGCAGACTAGCGACAGCACCCCCCAACGCATCGGTACGCACCAAGTGTGTGCTCCTCCAGCTGGGCTGGATGTCCTTTCCGTGCAGTCGATCGAGATTTTCTCCCAATTGTTACTTTTGTCCCCTCTGGCTGAATTCGGTTAAGTTAAAGCGGGGTTCCTGATCCTGGCGTGGACCGATAACACCATATCGAGGAGTAATTCCGAGTCGAAACGTTAAACCTACTTACAATTAGAACCCCTAATTGTAGACCCTAAATGGGTTGGTAACGTTGTTGAAGTCCGACTTTTATACCCTTATGCTCTTCTCATCTTAAATTAAATCCTGTTTTAAACTTTTGTAATCCGCCACATCGAGTTGAGCAATTTCTCAGTTCTACTTTGATCCTGGTGCGTCCTACTTTAAACGAGAACACTAATTCCTAAGAATTGTAATTTTTACAAATTGATACGTGTAAGTACAAAAGACAGGGTAATGTTAGATAATAGAAGTAAATGTACATATTAAATTGAGGAGCAGGCTAGTTTTATTCTTATTCTTTTTTATTAACAGACAATTCAATTTATAGTCCATTGTCAATATGCGTATAAATACAAAGTGATGCATCGAGGCCAGAGTTTGGAGGACTACTCTGAGAAAATGTAGCTATGAAATAGGCGTCAGTCTCTAAAAGGGATATGATACTCAACGACGGAAAAAGAGAATAACTTTACAAATCGTAATTTTACAAACTGTAGTTACGGATCATATCTTTCTTAGGGAGTGGCGCCTATTTCACAACTCATGTGGTAATGTTTAATACTGTTCTTTCTGAGTGCAAACGAGGTCCCTATTTTAGGCTTAAAAATAGAAGAAATAAAAATATCTGCCCCCTTCAATGTCCAAAGTAGGATCTGGTTTGTACAGAGGTAAACCCTCTCTAAATCCTTTTAAAACCCATTTGAGGCCTACAATTAGAGGTTCTCGGTAGAATTAAAATTTCAGGTTGATGAAATGATTAACAATGAGATAAACATTTCTTCATTTGCAACCGACAGACTTGAATTCGTTGCTCGATACAGTGTGCGTGTCGCTTTTAGTTCCACTAGGTATCAAATGCATTAGTGATTGGTCTGCTCATCGATTTCCTCCCGTAGGTCTACTAACGAGGAACAACTCAATCGACTGTTACGAGTACAAGACGAGCAGCAACCTACACAAGAAGCAGATCTTCGACGCCGTGGCAGCAGCTAGTATCGTCAACAACTGCTCCGGCGTTGACACCTCGAAATCCCAGGTGATTACCCTGGCCACCTTCACCAAGTTCCTGGAGTCCCGACAGCAGGAGAAACTTACGGACGAAGAGATCAAGGCTCTGGTCAAGGTAAATATCCAGAGAAAATAACTATTCCATTGTGAACCCACTAAACAAAACTCCAATTCCAGCAACCTTCCTTCAACACATCTACTTCCCTTCTTGCGTCTATTCGATGTCACAAAAAATTGTATAAATATCATAAAATCCAAGAAAGAGAATACAAATTCCCAAAATGAGCTTCACCTATGAAGGCGGTAAAGGGAGAAATGATCCTTGTAAGATCATTTCGGAGTAATTTGAAGAACTTATATGTTCCGTGCGCGACACTCATGTATGTAAATTCATCGCGGACTTTGAAATGTCAGACAAATTCCCAGAAAGGGACTTACTGCCTGCTTGGGCCCATCGGGCCATTTCCCAATTTAGCAATTTTCTGACGCTGAAATCGGTTCGTAAATTTTAGTTTTCTACGATACGGTTCTATTGGCCCATACGTCCCATCGCGGAAGTTTAGGGTTCTTTAGAATTTTCTCGAGTTGACCGTCCCTATTCTTTACCGCTAACACGTGCGCGCAACATGCACACGTGCATACAACATGTTTTTTTCCATCTGCACAGCAACTAAAAATTTTCCGTTTTCACCCAACCGTATTGGACAGCTACCAACCAATCACGAGGCTGACTATTCGATTTTAACCGCCCTTCTTAAAATCAGTCAGCCAATCGCTATACAAGAAATATGCTACCACCTCCTCAAAAAATGTAATGCGACCGGAGGAGGAATTTTGTATTTTTTCTGTAAGTCAGTCAGTCTCCGTCTCTCGATAATTCAACGTCTCTCGTCAGCCTTCACCATCATCTCTGCAACAGTTATCGTTATTCACGCGTGAAGAGCTGACAAAATTCACGTGAGCAGTTGTATGAATATCCCATTTTGCAAGTCTACTTGCAAAAACAATCGGGATTCACACAACAACTGCCCGACAAACTAGCCGGGCAGAACACTATACGTATACCGACGGTTAGGGTCTTCAGGGTCCAGGGTTCAGAGACACCGGGGTGTAGGTAAACGTCTTCGAGGAATTCGAAGTAACGCAATCGTTTACAAAGAATCCTTGACCAAGGAAGAGAGAGATTGACACTTCCTCGGAGCATACGAGTCTTACATGTCAACGCGTTAAAATACAGTTCACAGTATAGAGATCGTTGTGCAGCCGTAATGCAGTAAACTCTGTTTGCTCTCGTTTCAGAGACACGAGCCGGACCCGACGTTGCGTACACAGTACTGTTTGTCTTTCGAAGGCTTTGCACGTTACATGATGGACAAAGACAATTACGCTTTCCCCAACGAGTACGCGACTCCCTGTGACGAGGAGATGCAGCAGCCTCTTTCCCAGTACTACATAGCAAGCTCGCATAACACCTATCTCACCGGGCACCAGCTCAAAGGCGAATCCTCCGTGCAACTATATTCCCAGGTTGGTTGGAACGCTAAGTGATATAATTAAATATGCCTAATGAGGGAACTCACCGTTCAATTACACGAAGGGGATTAGAAGACGCGAGGCAAGTTTCCGCGATCGTAAAGCCAGTTCAGGTACACCGTGCAGATGAAACAGTGCACTTGGAGATTGATACAGTTAACTAAGATCATCCTGCGTAGATACAAAGTGTTGAAAGGAGACAAGTCGTGAGAACGTGTACGTAGTGTTTTTAATCGAAGGAGCGAGTGGACGAAGGAGCTGTATGACATTTATCAAATTTTGTTATATTTAGCTTTTAACCTACCTTTAATCTACCAAGCGGATACTTTTTAAAGGAACATACGGTAGATATTTAATTTTAATATCTGTAATAATAAAAGAGTTCCAGGATATTTCACAAAATTCCTGTTTTCTCGACAATTGATATTTGTCATCTAGCCTCTTCAATTAATGAATGATAGTAGGAGATGGATTCTCTGGAGAACGATTGTTTACCATTTCAATCCTGGTCCTATGTTTGGTCAATGTTCTCTTCTAGTGGTCAATGTGAATTTAATTACCATAACTGGAGATTGGCCGACGTGACGCCCCAAAATACTTCAAGTATTTACCTACCGTTTCAAAGAGCTGAGAAAAACTATTTTCAGTAGACGTTGTTTCGATCTCTCGTTTTTTGGGCGAATGAGTCGGTTGGGTTTCTTTGGGCTTTGAGTTCCCGTTTGGTCGGTGGATTTCTAAATGGAGGAACGGTGAAAAGAAGTAATGGTGGCAATGGCTTGCAGGTTCTACTGACCGGATGTCGCTGCGTGGAACTGGACTGCTGGGACGGGGATGATGGTTCACCTCTGATCTATCATGGACACACGTTTACCACGAAGATCCCTTTCCGGTCGGTGGTGGAGGCCATCGACAAGAGCGCCTTCGTCAGCTCGCCATATCCGGTCATTTTGTCCCTCGAGAACCATTGCTCTCAGAGTCAGCAAGCCAGGATGGCGCAGATATTCCAGGTGATCCATACACCATTAATCATCTAGAACCAAGTGGAGTAAACGTAAACGTTTCTTATATACTTGCATTTCTAGTGTTTAACGATAAATTCTTGACAATTGTAACAATACCCATATACTTCGAACTGTTTCAAGTTTTTTCGCCAAGTTTCACCTTTAAATGTTTATTTTCTACGTTTCAAGGGTTGCTTTCAATTATCCCAAAGAAAAATTAGGCTATGCAAAATTTAGCGGGTAATGGAAACCTGCATTCATTGCCCTATTAAATTCAATAGTATAATTTAATGGGGAAAACGTGAGCAGAAATGCAAATGAGCATTTTGTATGCGTGGGTATCAATTTATTTCTGCAGCGCTTAGACTGCAGCGGGATAAACTGTTCAACTGCATCACCCGAGGGGCTATTCACTATGAAATCAGGGAAAACGATTTCCTTCTTTGAGAACCGATTGCCTTTGATTTCTTATGATAAGCAATGAGATTGCCAAGTCAATGTCAAGTCTTGAAGGTCTTGATTTATCCAGGTGGCATGATTAACATCTATCACAAATTGTTACCAGAGACGATGTCTAAAGTTCTCCTTCCTCAATTTCAGACAGTCTTTGGGGAAAAGCTGGTTACCAAGTTCCTCTTCGACGCGGACTTTGGGGACGATCCTCAGCTGCCTTCTCCGTCGCAGCTTCGGTACCGCATTTTGATAAAGAATAAAAAACTGGTTGTTGATCCTGGGGGCTCCTTGGCCTATGCGGCACTCGGTCCTCGGGGTAAAATGTTGATGTCGGATCGGGCTTCCTCTATGAAGCAGATGCGCACAGATACGAGCAGCGCTTCGGCCGTTGAATACTACAGCGAGGGCGAGGATGACGAGGAGGGTGACGTCTATGACGATAACGAAGAGAACGCCGACGGTGAGTAATATGTGACACCAGAAATAAACCTCTACGGCTTGGATATGTTCCTAAAGAGTTACGTCAGGATGGAAATTTGAAAGAATCGGATTTCCTATCATAAGTTTAATTCATTGAATTCATAAAGCTGTGCGCGTAATCGACTCCACTGCAACGAGAATTGTCCGAAAAGGCTGCCAAAATTGCAGCAAAATTGCTCCATTGCAGTCATTTTGGTTTACAAAAGGAAAGGACATTGACACGTCCTTTATACTTGTATAACAAAGTCCCATCCATAACAGTTTCGTTCAAATTTTCCGTTTTTCTACAAAATATTGCAGATAATCGCAATGATTTGTAGACACTCGTCGTGGAATAATCCTTTAATTCTTGCTTCAAGGACATAGGGATATTCCGAAGAATTAATAGCACACTGTACGATAAATCCCCCTGAAAGGTGTATTTTCGTTTTCAGACAATTCCATCTCCAGCTACGAGAGGTCCCTCGGAAGCAACCAAATCCCCCACAGCCGCTTCAAGTCGGACACGGCCGTGGAAGACAAATCCCAAAAGCAGAGCAGTCAAATAGCTAAGGAACTGTCGGATCTGGTTGTATATCTACAGGCGATTAAATTCCGCGGGCTGAACACAACTCCAGGGACCTGTCCCATCGGGAAACCACGACACCAACCGCACACCGGTACGGTTCAAAGACACAGCATAGCCGGAATCGGTACCAGCAGTATCGCGTCCTCTTCGGGATCGCCCCAATCCCTGTCGACGTCGGCTTCGATAGCCAGCGGGGGCAGCAACATCGAGAACTTCTTCAGATCCACCCGAGGCGTTCCCGCCTGTTTCCAGTGTTCCTCTCTGAACGAAAACGCGGCGAAAAAAATTTGTCGCAAGCAACCCTTGGGAGTAGTCGCGCACGCGGAGACTCAGCTGATCCGCACCTATCCAGCGGGTATGAGGATAGATTCGTCAAATTTCAACCCGGTCATCTTCTGGGCCTTCGGCATCCAGATGGTGGCCCTGAATTACCAGACCGACGACGCGGCCCTCCATTTAAATGCCGCCATGTTCGAGCAAAACGGGCAGGGTGGATACGTGAGGAAACCGTCCGTCATGTGGGACAAGGGCCACATGATGTACAGGCGGTTCAATCCCTGGGACAAGGAATTCGACGGGTTGCATTCGGCACACCTAACGCTATCGGTGGTATCCGGGCAGTACGTCTCCCCCACGAACCTGTTAGCCAACACCTACGTAGAGATCGAGATGGTAGGGATCCCCATAGACTGTGCCAAACACAAGACCAAGGTCGTCCATAGCAACGCCCTGAACCCTATATGGAATGAGAAGTTCTGCTACCAGGTGATGTTCAAGGACCTGGCCTTCCTGAGGTTCAGCGTGGTAGAGGCCAGCTCCCATCACCTGATCGCACAGCGAGTCCTACCTCTGAAGTGCCTGAGACCGGGCTACAGACACGTGAGACTGCGCTCCTGCAAGAACAAACCCCTGGCCCTATCTACCCTGTTCATCTACTCGAGGATGGAGGAGGAGAGCCTGGACTTCAACGCCTGCTGCCACGATCACAAGGAGTCCAAGAAGACGTCCTCCGGCAAGGAGCCCGAGAAGCTGACCACAGTCGACCCGGGTCTCGGTGGAGTGACCCTCAAGCGGCGCATGTTCTTCCTGATGGTCTATCACGTGATCCCGGAAGAGCCGTACACCATCCTGAAGGTGACGCAGGAGAGCACCACCCAGGAGGTCATGCTGCAGGCTCTGCAGAAGGCAGGGATCTCCGCCGACCACGTGGACGAATACATCCTGGTAGAGGAGGTGTCCCGGGGCTGGGAGAAGAGGGACCGGGAGGAGCTGCCCACTCAGAGGGTCCTGGACCCCACGGAGCACCCGCTCCAGGCCCAGGCCCTCTGGAAGGGGCAAGGGCGGTTCCTGCTGAAGAGGGTCGGCGACGACCCCAGCAGCAGGGCCTGGTTGGCCTCCATCAGAAGCACGGCGGGCCACTCGAAACTTTGCGACAACGCCGCCCGGGACCAGGAGCAATCGCACATCTGGGGCGAGGCCAACACCTTCCTGGTCTGCATCTACAACGTCTCGCCGGAGATTCCGTACGCCATCCTCAGGGTGCCGGTCAGCAGCTCCGCGCAGGACGTCCTGGCCCAGGCGCTGGTCAAGGCTCGCAGGATGGAGGACCCCATGAAATTCGCTCTCATCGAGGAGCTCGAGTGGGGCGGCGCCGGCGCCGTTGGCAGCGGCAACCGACAGCTAAGGGTACTCAGGGATGACGAGAACGTCTACAGCACCCAGGCCTTCTGGAAGACCCTCGGTAGGTTCATCCTCAGGGAACGGGAGCAGGCCATCCCCAGGCGACACCTGTTGCCGGCCACCCTCGACAGGCTGAGCAAGGGCTTCTCCGTGGGGAGGTCCGTCTCCCTGCCGGGGTCCAGCAAGGAGAAGGTCCCCGTCGCCGAAGCCCTCTCGGACCCCACCTCCAGGGGTCTGAGGCATCGACTCCTCCTCTCGGGTCGCCGAAGAGAGGTCCACTCTGATGGCGAAGAGTGTCGAGAGTCCGACCTACTCAACGCCGCTCTTCACCTCAAGAAGGTTTCCTTACGCAAATTCCGCGTCTGGAAATCTTAGTGGACGTCTCTCGGGGGATCGTCGCTCACGTCCTTCCTCGCTAATATGAGGAAGTAGAGGATCGAGGGGTCGATCGGTCGATCCGCTGGTCGACCGATCGATCGCTCGCTAGTCGGTGGATCGTGCGAGTCGCGCAAGGATTCCACAGGGCCCGAACAAATAACGATTATTTATTTGCTATCATTTCTACGATTCTTTACCTTGAATTTCCCTAATTTTTAGTTCTCTCTTGGTTCGTGAAACAAAAATGCGATCGCACAACTTTGTACGCGACTTTCGTGAGTGATTTTAATTATAAGCATTGATAATGATATCAGTTACGCCGATGTTAAGAAAATTTAAACGACTTGTCGAAGGAAGGGTTTGTCTAATTTTTTAATTAACGTTCCGCTGATCATGTTACACTGCGCTGAGCGAAGAAAATTTCTTTCTAGGCGAAATAAATTGCGGCAATTCAAACCTTTCTTGCCGAAGAAATTTCTTAACCATGTCGAAATTAACTTTCGATATAAGAAATTATCAATGGCGAATAAATATTTTTTGAAGTCGATGCAAGATCGATGTCACCAGTAAGTGACAAAGTTTCGCGTGAAAACGTCAGGTTTACTGTAAATCAACTTTCATTCCAAGGCGTTTATATACAGAAAGTCTGACAATAACGAATAATAAAAGCTCAGCGAAGCTAAGCCAAAAGAAAAGTGAACATCATTTCAAACGTGTATTAATTTAATTCAATCAACCCTACAATATACTTTAGTTAGCAACAGCTAATAAAAATCTTATCGTCACGAAAATTCCATTTGTTTTCGTATAGAAAGTGACTTTTTTCGCTCAGAATGGTGCCGTCGACTAATGCCATATTTGCAAATGACTGTTTAAAACGAAATCATACGTAACCATACAAACCAGAGTAACTCTTGCTAGTTTGTCTGTACCGGTGTGCAAAACAACTAACGAATCCGAGCAGGGTTGAGTTTCCCTAGGATTTTATTTCTCCCCCGCTTTTCCCGGCCATTGTTATAGGAGCGAATATTCAACCGGTTAGCGGGAATTCGGGTTTTTATGGATTTCCAATAAAAGCCCTATTTCTCTGCTCGGGGCCTGCGGAATCCCGAGGAAATAACGCCGCGCGCGATCGGCCGGCTTTCTCCGATGGTCAATGCGTTCCCACGTAACGCATACGCGAGCGACGTCGCGCCGAGTAACGTTGATTTTTGTACAACGAATCTGGCAGCAGCTTAGCGTGTCGATTAAGTCAAATGTCGCGAGTCATTCCTTTTTAGAGCACGATCGTCCACGCCAAGCGCACGCCAATCTAGTCACGAATCGTTTAGCCGCATCTTTGCCGGTGCGGGCTGACGGACAAGCATCGCGCGAGTACCTAGAATAAATATATTAACATAGTCCATGTTTCGAAATTTCCCACTTGGCATTATTAAAACAAGCCACAAGAACCGAGTACAATAAGGGTGAAATTGATCGCACAATTTATTGATCTCCCTTTAGTGTAATTAACTATTTCATTGCGACAATCCTGTTTGATCGGGGCAGTAAGTTGGGAGGTGGACGAGTTCTTATGTTCTAGAAATAGGATGACCGAGATTATGAACGGCGAATATTAAATTTTCACGAAGAGTTGCGCCTTAATATTTGCCATAAATTCTATTATTTTGGTATCAACTGATTGCTTTTGGTCGTCTATTATGTGCAGTTTGGCTCGGTGCCCGTTTTTAACCTCGATAGAGGGAAGGGGATAGGATGAAATTGTTGTCAGTGGCAGGAAATTTCGAGACACGGCCGCAATGAAACGTAGATGAATTTCAATTAACCTAATGCCGGGACCCGTTCACACGATTTGACGGATCGGAAACGCCGTCGGTCGTTTAGAGATCCTAAGCAAATGCCGTTTAACGATCGTACCTATGCCCACCGTTACGCTAGAGGGTAGATCGATGTACCTATTGTTACGCCTGTAATGTCATCGTTCTACTTTTTATTCCTCGAGCCGACGAGGCCCGATTTCGCTGGATCGAGATGCGAGACGGTCCAGCCGAAACCTGCGAAAAGTCCCTGCATCGCATTTGAACGACGTTCCTGATGCAAGATACCTTCCGAAATCCGCACAAAGTACCGTGACGTCCAACTTAATACTCCGAGCCTGAAGATATCACAATTCCGACCTCTGGGTACAAAAATCAAGAATATCAGAATTCCACCTCTATCAAGTAAACTGCTAATCTCTTTGATAACCCTGAATGTCGAGATTCCATATCCAACTTCTGCGAGAATATTTAAAAACGACGTCTTTAAACATATCACTACACTCTCGCTGAACTTATCTACTATTTTTATTAAAGAACCAGAGTCCGGTGCGTTCGAGAAAAAATTCAACCTTTTTTTTTTTATCTCCATATACTATTAAAACCCGAAACACAACTTTTCCCTACGTCGCAGTACTTCTGGCGGAGGAAAATAAAGACCGGGGTCCCACTGAACGCGTTGGATGTCACGAGTGCGGCGCGTCAACGCATCGATAATGAAGAACTAATCAGAATTGCGACAATGTTACGTACAAGATTATATGCAGTCCTAATTAAAATTTCATCCTCGATGCGTTGACGCGTCGCGCTCTGTGTGACACCTAACGCGCTTAGTGGATTTCTGGCCAAATGAACGGAAAATAATCTTACAGGATCGTTAGCTCTCATTATAAGATCGTATAAAGGGGAAAAAAAGAAAAAAAAAGAAGAAAAACCAAAGAAGAAGGCTTCTCATCGCAACGTTGTACTGTCTATTTGCGACTACTTTAACGTTTGGGACCATTCTCATAAGATTATAACCGAGTTCTCGCGAAGCCACGATCAGTATTAAGTTTATATTCGGTGTGGAAACGTAATTACGAATCCGATTAGCCGAACGGACCGATCGGGCGCATATCCCCTGTGTACATATCCGAAGATAACTTAAATTAATGGAGAGAATGACGCGCCCTTTTCAGAGTGCGTCCACCTAAAATAATCAACGGCATACTTTTATATACGAAACGGCCGGAAAAGTTCCGCCAATGCCGGGCTGGCCCGGCTGCGGAAACTCCCAATTCTGACTCCAAGGCTCGTTCGCCCTCGTCGCTTCGTTTCCGGCGTTTCTTACGTATTCGGCGTCTCCGCGACACTCGCTTTTTCCGAGTTTTCTCGCAAAAAGAGGGCACTTCCCCTCGGTGGGCTTTAAACGGGAGCTGGGCACACATTCAAAGTGGTTCTCCTCAAAATCCTAAATTAACATTTCTCAACTCGCTGACTGGTTGCCTTATTTTATTTACTCTTCTAATTAATTAAATAATAGGTTTTCATTGCCTTGGTCAAATACGCTGCTCGCCAGAAAATTGCAGGACCCTCAAAATTAAATCGTGAAAATCAGGGACTGACATATATTAAGATAACGTAAAAAGGTGATGATTCGATTTTGGTTTCCAAAAATAGTAGTAATTACCGCGTGAGTCATAATCTTCCATTCGATATCGTAAACGACATGTAGTTATCGGATATATACGCCTTTGATTTTTAGATTAGTTTTTTTTTTCTTTTTTTTTGGAGAGCAGGGTATTTCTAGTAATCTGTTTTCTTTATGTTTTCATGATACCGATGGGACTTGCACCCAATCGTTTCTAAACATTTGGAAAATATTAATTTTGAGGCCATATTTGTGATATTTGTTTGTTAACCATTTTAATAGGCGGTCTCGCTTAAATGAACTTATGACATTTGCTATAACGATTGAATGAATTTTCGATATCGAGCGTTTTGGATCAATGATAAAAGCTGGATAATCATGACGAATCGTCAGACTAGTTTCGGCCTGACTTCATTAATGTTTTAAAATATTAATTTAACAGCGGCGAAAGTAGGAAAAATAGGTAATTGACGATAGAAAGATGGGAATTTGTCAGCTTAGGATGAGTTTCGCTAAGTAACGATTTCGAGTGAGTACCCAGATCCGTCTTAGAAGTACCTCCCATATAGGTTGAATGTTCCTTTGGGACGTTCCTAGGACATTCTAACCGAGAATCACAAGTCCTAATAACGTCCCATCGAGTACTGTGTGGGAATTCTGTCTGTAAATATAGGTCTGAACTATTCGTTTGAAAATCTCTCGGTGTTGCCATGTCTGTATGGCGAATGTCGCTCTTCGAGAAAGGTGCGACCCCTCGGACCTAAGAGAAAACACGGCGAAGGCTTCCCCAGGAATGAATAAATTCTCATTTAATCAAAACAATTAACACGATGCGGAGCAATAACCTGACTTATCAGAGCCGAATACAAGATACTTGGTAACATACAAATTTTTCAACAAGGAACATTTTTTCTGCCTACATTGAGTCAAGCCACCACCTTCTGTCAGCTTAATTGATTGACCTGAAAAATGATATATATCTCGGTGTATCGTCAGAGGCTTAAGAAATATGGTTAAACTGTTTCTCTTTAAGATGAATTCTAATCGATTGGTTGGACAGTAAAATTTGTAGTTTAAAACCTTATAAAAAAAGAATCACTTCTTCGGTTATTCCACACGTTGTCTTAAAATCAGATGTACTAAATAGTATGATAAACCCGACTCGGTGAAATTAAGTCCAAGATAATTTTTAGAAAATTTCATTTACAAGTTCCAACCAAGTGCAATTGATTTAGAGTAAAGTATATGGCTCGGTATTCGATTTGCATTATAGTTAATTAATAATTTACAGATCGATGGTTAAGAGTACGTTGCCAAAGGGGAAACCGATAGCCAGGGTGTCGCGTCCGATTGCTCGGAAAGACCAGAGTCCGTATTGTTGAAACGTATTGACAAATGGCATCGCGTTGTCGTTAAAAGTGACAAAATTGTTGGGGATCCAACAATTTGTCAAGATAAATGGGAAGTACGGACCCGAAAAGGACGCAGTTTTATCGTAGACATCTTAAGCCGCGTTATAGCTCGTCGGATACCACGTTTACGGTAGCATAGGGACTACTTTTTAGCGTAATTACACGAGTAGCATTTATTCGTTTTGAATAACATGTAACCACAGCATGCGGCCACTTTAGACTACGTAACTTATTGCGGATAATATTATAAATATTGTTGAAGATATCTACATGTAAATAAACATGAATGCATTTTTTTATACTCGCGCTGCATCCTTACTCGAAAAGAATCGGGTTCAAGATGGCAGCAAAAATGACTATGCCCAAAATCTCCGTTCCAATGTTAACATGCAAATTTATGTCCTGTCGGCTCATTATCTGTAAACGTGATTTTATCTTCTTCTACTTTTAACAGGTTTCCGAGCATGTTGGAATTTACGAAGTTATGATCGACACGTACAAGGCGTGAAAAGAATCTGGGTAAGAGTACAAAGTCAATTTAGTGAAAGTGCATATTGGAGATATGGTGGGTTGCACTATAGGCGAAAGGGCAATTTCTTGATTGGTGCCTCAAAAGGAGCCTTAAATATGTCTGGTAACCTTCAACTCAGCAAAAAGTTTGGAAAGAAATCTTAAATCCCTTTCCGATCACCCTCGATTCACAACGAGGGGCGCATTCTGCAATTAGAAGAAAAGAGCATTTATAATCAATCAGAGAGGAACTAATCAGACATAAAATACCGTTTACTCAATATTTCAAACATATCTATTGCACTAGTGTAAGGGGTGTACAATGGATGGCACGGATAATTGGTCAACAAGGGCATTTATTCAACGGTGATTCTTCGTCGTATGCCGGTCAGAGGCTACTCGTCTCTTCGCCCTGCCGCTCGGTGGCGCACCGTTCGCTGGCCCAAACTACAACAGCTTACATTAGTAAATACAGAGATGAGTTGGGAGATTGCTCACGGGCAAGATCGTGCGAACGCATTCTGTGCTGCCCTCTGGTTTCGTACGTTAGCTTCCATCGTTTTTTGCCCCCAAGAGCGGCGCAACGAATTTCTGATAGGAGCTCGCACACTCGCGATGGCGGTACCATCTACCAGTCGCCGTTGGCGGCTCACGTACTCGCGATGGTAATACCATGCGGCAGTTGACGGTGGTGGCTTACCTGTGCTTACCGACACTACTCGCTTTTGATGATAAGGGAAGAACACTCGTGACGCTCCATTTGACTTTACCTACTTATCTACTACTATTAAGTACATTGTTGCCTCGAAGTCGACGTGATGCGGAGCTTTGGGGCACGCGTCGGTGTCGCGTACGGTACCCACATGCAGCGAATCTGTATGAGTGCGATCGCTCCTAAAAATCTTAGCGCGTTCCAACCAGCCAAGCGCCAAGCTACGGGTCCAGACGTTGAGTATGTGCGCGTTCGGCGCTACACTTGACGAGTATGCGTGAGAGTCGAATATTGCGAAAAATCCTCCCGAGGCTTACCTAACTGCGGATATAAGCCGAGTCATTTCGCGTATGATTTTTACAATTTCCTACTAGCGTTATTGAGTGTTTTCAAGCATACTCGTCGAATGTAGCGCCGAACGCACACATACTCAACGTCTCAACCCGTAGCTTGGCGCTTGGCTGGTTGGGACGTGTGAAGATTTCTAGGAACGATCGCACTCTCACAGATTCGCTGCATGAGAGTTCCGTACGCGACACCGACGCGTGCCCCAAAGCTCCGCATCACGTCGACTTCGAGACAACAATGTACTTAATAGTAGTAGATAAGTAGATAAAGTCAAATGGAGCGTCACGAGTGTTCTTCCCTTACCATCAAAAGCGAGCAGTGCCGGAAAGCGTAGGTAAGCCACCACCATCAACTGCCGCATGGTATTACCATCGCGAGTGCGCGAGCTCCTATCAGCAGAGATGAACACTGCTATCAGAAATTTGTTGCGCCGCCCTTGGGGGCAAAAAACGGTGAAAGCTAACGTACGAAACCAGAGGGCAGCACAGGATACGATTGCATGATCCTGCCCGTGAGCAATCTCCCAACTCATCTCTGGTAAATAATAGTACAGTCCTCCAAGCAATATATAATAATATAGTAAATAAGAAGGACACAATCACCATATACGTATAAATGTGAATTGTACTAGAGAGAGAATGAGAGAGTAAGCTTTGTATTTATATTTATCTAAAAAAACAATGGTACGTAAAATGGAGACAATAATTATAAAGTACATGAAAAATGATATTGGTACAATTTGCATGTATCTTTGGAAGGGGCAAGCTGTTAATCGTAACCTTTTATGATGCAAGTAGCAGGTGGTATCAGTATAACCGATGCGTAAACATGCACACAGATAATAGATAATGCTTATCGCCGCCAGACCTCGGTATCGGCTAAGAGAAATTCATGTTCAATTCGTTTTTCAGATTTATTCAAAACGTTCGTCTTACAACGTCAACATCGACTACATCTGCTATTCAGAGTAAACTTAAACAGGATCCAATTGAAAGATAGAATAACTACCGATTTTTGGCCCGTCACTATGCCAGTAATTACAAGTGTTAAATTAATAACTAATTTATAACATCACAAATTGCTTTGAATCATTCAAAAAGGTAATATTGATATATTTGTGATTTTTTCTGAACAGCGATTGGAGTTCTCTTTTAGAGGTTTCATTGTTCCGGTGCTGACGCCATTTAAGGATGACAGGTAACATCAAACAAGGTACCATACCAAATTATTATCAATTGTTTGTAAACAAGATATACATAATAGTACAGAATAAGTACGTAAGTAGACGAATATTCTGGTTGCTCCAGTGCATTATTTTAAGGACTTGTTAAAAATTTCTCACTGTTTATGATAAACAACAAATTACTTAAAAATCGAATTTAATATTTATACAGCGCGAGAACTATAGATATATCAGTCATACCAAAATATGCTGCATATCTTGAAAAGAAGGGTGTCAAGGGAATTCTAGGTAAAACCTATCAAAATAATGATGTATTAATGAAATTTGTGAGTGGGGCGTTAATACTTACCTCTGTAACATTCTTTTGTATTTGTATACACAAGTTAATGGAACTAGTGGGGAAGGAATGTCAATGTGTGTAGCGGAGAGAAAAACTGTTGCTGTAGCATGGTCGAATGCAGTCAAAACTACGAAACAACACTTGATGATACAAGTTGGTGGAGCTCCACTTCCAGATGTCCTTGAATTGGTGAATAACTATACGAAAAAACACTAGGATAATGAAATTTTATAAATTTATCATATTACACAGGCAAAGCATGCAGAGAGTATCAAGGCGGACTCTTTGCTTTGTTTACCAGAATTGTACTTTAAACCAAGTAATTCTGAAGATTTGACTGAATATTTAAATATGGTGGGTAAAGCAGCTCCATCCACTCCACTTTTGTATTACCATTTTCCAGAAATGACAAATGTTAACAGTAAGTTGAACACACTTGTCTTTACAAAATTGTATCATACCTTTTCATTTCGTTATTTTTACTTACACTCATTACGTTGTTGAAATCCTATTTTAGTACATATGGGCCAATGCTTAGGATCACTCGGCGACAGAATACCATCTTTTGTTGGAATAAAATTTACAAGTACAAATTTGGAAGAAGTATCACAAGCCTTGAATGTCGATAATGGAAAGTATGCAATATTTCTGGGTAGTGACCAGGTAATGAAAGAATTAGTAATAATGGAGACACCATAATTTTTGTGAACAAAGACTATATTTTGAAACATGGATACTTTCTAAAGTTTTTATCTTCGTCAAATATTCTTTATCGCAGATTTGAGAAGCCTAATATTGGTTCAAGTACAGATAACAAAATTTTATTTTCACTTTAGATAATGGTCGCTGGTATGGCTCTTGGATTAAACTCATTTATACCAACAAGCGTAAACATGTTCCCAGAGCTTGCTCTAGAAATGCTTGAAGCAGGAAAAAAAGGAGATTTCACAACAGCAAGAAAATGTCAAGAGAAGCTCTCCAAAGCAGTGATAATTATATCAAAATATGGTATTAACAACTTCAGTGCTTTGATCCAAAAAAATCTAATATACTCTAAATCAAACTTTAGAGAGAACACGTAATTATACGCTAATATGGTTCCGAATAAATATTTTAGGCACATGGGTCCAAACAATGAAAGCAGCTATGAACATCTTAACTGACATCAACGTGGGCATTCCCCGTGCACCTCTCAAGGCCCTCTGCGAAGAACAAATTGCTTCAATGAAAAACGAACTTTCACATTTAAATTATAAAATTTAAATTTGAAAATGTGTATCATGACTCAAAAGGATTCTTGCTCAAGAAAAAAGGAACTAAAATCAAGAACATCATTAGATCGTCAGAAAAGTGTGTAAAGTCTATATACGATATACAAAAATATGGGTTTCTTAAGATCTTCCGCTATAAAGCAAATAATAAATGGTTCACTGTATATACGTACTTCTCTTAATTAAATAAAAAAAATGCCAGATCTCTAATTTTTCTCAATTCACAATAACTCCTTTAAACCAATGAAATATATTTATTTATTAATTTGTTTGCGTCGCCAAAATTTGCCGGCAAACATAAAAAATGAGGTTAGGACGAGCCTCACTTTCAAAATTTACCATCGAATTGCAGCGTTCTTAGAATTCTTGTTCTAGGTAGAAATGGAACTGACTCGAAGGAAATAGTTACTAATGAATGGCGCTTACATGCGTGCAAGTTTTTTTTCTATGAATTCGTAAGAAATACTGTGGAAAAAAAGCTGCAAAAATACATACCTACATTTGAAGAGACAGCACAGCAACGACTAGCAACCTGGCAATGACATTCTATTAGATTATAAATCGGTATTGCGCAACCTAAATAGTGGCGCCATCTCGACGCGAGAAAAGTAACTAATTCCATGAATCTACTTTTTTTTCAATGTGGAATTCTAAGCCGAAGTAGACATTTTATGTAATTCTGAATAAATTTGTCTACTATTTATTTAACATCTTTCGCAGCATAATGCCAAATTGTCACTACATGTAATACCTCATCATATCTACTATATCACATCTATTATAACTAGCCAACACTTTTCTTATCCGCAAACGACGTACGTTAACAATTCGAAAAACGTACAGTGAAAATATTACATGTACGTATGTTTATAAAGTAAGATGTACATACATTTGGTAATGTAAGCTAAACCACGTAACGAATTGATACACTAACACAAATATTAATATACAGACATGCCCAAATTAAGTAAATAAAAGTAGATCACTCAAAATTCCGTGAATAAATTCATTTCATTTTAAATCTACTAGTCAAATTTGAATCACCTGCATCTTTCTCTCAAGACACTGCCGATATTAGTAAAAATGACTCGTAAATTATTTGTTCAAGAATGAAAATATCAACAGCTCGTTGTCATCGAATTAATAAAAAAAATTCAGATACTTCGGACGGAAAATAACACCATCAGTATCGAAATGAAGCTCGATCTCTAAACTCGAGATGTTGACGAGGGCAAAGACCAGGCATCGACTTCCGCGGATAATTATCTTTCCTATCTCTCTCGACCTAGATTTAATCTCCTCATTGATGTTTGTTCTTGATCTTTAGGACCACCGCAGAGATCTCATTGATTGACAAGCTGAGATCCTGTTAAATCGATTCCGCTAAACGAAGTGCTAGAAGGAGTGAAATTAAATAGTCGGGAAAATAATTCATTCTCATATCACAAAATAGAACTACAGTTTACCTCTAACATAATTACACACATAGTACTAGAATAAAAAAGAGAAGAGTAACAAAAGGGTTGCACAGCTCGTGCCGACTTTCTTAATTTCTGCCGCCACTGACAAATTTAAAAACGATTTTAAAATACATTGATCGTCAGCTCTTTTCCACTGAGAATAAAAAGGGTCGCTCAGGAATTAGTATTTTTTATCCTACCCCTTTATGCGCTGACATTCAAATGATATTGCGTTAGTGAAAACGACGTTCAATTACAATATTTCCTAAAACTACATTAATCAATTACATTAAAAATACTCTAAACCAGCGACCCCCACTTCTCAATTCGTTATTTATACATCGAGTATTTCGTATAATTAATCATTCTAATCCAAAATAGATACAGGTAAACGTAGCCAAGATTTCACACCGTGAGGTATAATCTATATTGTCGATCTTCCTAAGATTATTGAAGTCAATGGTAAAAAACATTATTTACAGGCGGATAGTGCCTCATGAATTACCCGGCAAGCTTTTACAGAACCTATTTACTGATGACGAGGAATAACTACGAATTAGAGGAATTTACGGAAGCAATATTCAAATCTCGAATACAACATTTCTTTGGCCTTTTAGATATCCACTCTTTGATCCCAGGAATCTCGGAGATTTTGTCAGCATACTCCTTCAAGAAGGGATATTCTTGTAGAATGTCGAATCCAATGGCGACTTCAAAATAGGGTTGCAAGCTCACAAACATAAGATCCGCCCACGTCACCTATTTTCAACAGAAAGAATTGGAAAATTATATTTCCGTCGCAGACGGAACATCAAATTAACATGTCTAATAAATTCATTCATCTGGCTGAATCAAAAATTAAATATAAATTGTCAAACCCTCATACCCTATTCCCGTAAAAGAAGCCGCCATTCTCTTCGATGATCTTCTCAAACTTCTCTAGAAAATACGGAATCTTCTCCTTAATGACGATGTCTCTCTTTCTAGCCTTTTCTTCGGGATTAGTATCCCACAAAACCTCGGTGAAAACTAGCAAGTTCAAATCGAGACATGTGCGATTAGTAATACTGAGAGGAATACATTTTACAACCAAAAGTATTGAATACAAATTTAATTAAAGTGAGCGCAACATTAATGGTTTATCTGTCAGTAACTCTAAGTTAATAACTCTAAGTATCCATCAAATAAACGCACCCATTTTTTCAAAGAATGAAAAACAGTTTGATATTTTTATCCTTTACGTGATTTACTTATAATGGGCAATAGTAAAAAAAATGAGAATGAAGTTGAAGTGTTATAATTAATATGGGTGTTATATTGTATAATATTCAAAGGATTGATCCTGTCAAAACGTACATATTCGAAAGTCGTTGATTGAATAAGCGATTGAGTCGATCTCCATGTTTTCCTTATCATCTTTTCCTGCTAGTCCATATTGCTTCGCTAAATATCGGGCGATAGCCATCGATTGGTGATAGCGTTTCCCGTCGATCTCGATAACCGGTACTTGTCCAAAGGGCATTTCTGTGCAATAATCAGTGCCATAATGTTATAACAACGTCGGGCAAATTAATTTCCTTAGGGATCCGTAACATTTTATTACAGGATACCTGATTTCCTCTCTACACATTTAGGCTTAAAACATCTGATACAAATATTACATAATGATTTGTCTCTTTTTAACCTGAATTATGCCAACGAAGAAAGAGACAAAAAGATTTTCTCCTCAGAGCAAATCATACTTTCTAATACCACTAACACGAACTTAATTTATCGTGCTTATGTTTACAAAAAGAGCAACGATAATAAACTCTAGAATGAGATTTTTAAACCACATTAAGCGAGTCGATCTTTGATCTGAAACGGCGTACGTGCAGATTTCTGCAACTAAAGAGACTAGACTAGACAACTAATTGCCGTATCTTGTTTATACTAGAATAAAGCGACCACGTCCATTTCCTAAGGAGGACAATAAAAAGGAAAATTGAAAAGACGATGTTTCATTTATACATTTAAAGATTTTCACTAACTGAAAAATAGGAAATGTCCTAAATTCAACTGCGATAACTCCCGTATCACTTTGTAACAATTTAACGCGGGTTCTTGTGATATAAACTTCTAGAAATACAAATCTTGCTACTATAGGGTCTTTAAAATTTATCAACTTTGTACTAGCATATAATCTAATTTTGCAATGTAATGAAAAATAGGAATGTGTTTTCATTGTTTTTCCAGTTGAAAAATTCGATTAGTGCGATCGACTTTCATGATAATCTTACATGCTCATGCATTATCTTATGTATCGCGTAACATCATACTCTATAGTTACATAAATAAAAGAAATTTAAGGGGCAATGGCCGTCTTGTTATGATGCGGAAAAATCTACATGTTCAACAGCAATATCCTTCCTTACAGAAAAAAATATGCATACATATGCATAAATAACGTAAAAAACATCCCATCGAAGCTATTGTCGAAACTCATCCCTCGAGAGATTTTCAACTCGCTAATCATCACTTACAGAGTGATTTTCTAATTTATCACAAAGTTGCAATTAACATAGAAAACTGAAAAATCATTATGTTATGATATTTTCATGATACAACACATTTTAACATAGATCATTCATTAGGANTATATAGGCTGATCACCTTAAGGTGATACGAAAAAGTCGGCCTATATATATAAGAGGTCAAATCGTTGGTGAAAGTATTCTCCGAATTGGGTGTACCGATTCGTTTTATATTTTACCACGTGAATATGGAAGCCCTAAAGTAGGTCCTGAAACTTGTGAAATTTAATTTTTTATCTTTACTAAGTGGGGACTAGAACCAACATGGCGTGGTCTGTGCACGTTTTCGATGTTTTACGCTTCTCGGCGGCTTAGAATCGAAAATGAAGAGTTTCAAGGCCTACCTCGAATAATTCAGAATATCGTAGAATTGAAATATTACAAAGTTAGATGGGAAAATGTGGAAAATACTTTCACCAACGATTGCAAGAGAATGCTGGTTTGCCTCGGGGCTAACACATGTTTTTAGAGCAAAAATTTAGTTGCAGCTAAACGTCACAGATGGCGGCGTTGGTCCTGAACAGTCGTTAGAATAATGAATTCGCGGGATTTCGACAGTTTTACATCGATCTCTTCATCATTACTTTACCGAAATGACATATGGAAGGCTTCAGTTCGTATAATTCTCAACGTGGACTGTAAAAGACATCAACATAAATATAAATGTCGAGAACCGAACGCGCCAACTTATGTTGCCACTTGAGTATCCAAAATGACGTTATCACTAAAAAGTGTATAGATGAATTTTAATTTATCTACCTCGATTAAATTTCTCAGCACCTTTTATATCATCGTAAGGAAACAGAAACGACAAGAAAATTTTTAACAAGAAACGCCGAACGCAGGATGCGAAGTTCTAAACAACTTGTGGTCGCCGATAAATTACATCCCGAGTTTTATCTATAAAAAACAAGTAGAAATACGCCATAGAAATATTAACCCTTTATAACGTTAAATCAAGTAGAAGTCAAATATCTGTATATGTACACATTTTAGATCATATTTGATTTTTCCGGCATAACTGAATGTAGCACCTTACAATTGTATCACCCCTTTGCGACCAAGGAATTTATATATCAATCATAAATGAATTCTTACTTTGTGATAGAAAGTTAACGTTTACTAATTTCACATTACATCATATATTTCATATCTGAAAAAATAAATTCTCTTATAGAGGGTTAACCGCGAGGCCAAGGCATTTCGACACTCAAAATTGAATATTTGCATTTTTGGATGTCAAATCGAAGTTATAAACTTACAATTCTCAATCCTGACATCAGTGCAGATCGTATGAACTATACATACACTACGAGAAATATCTGTTCAAAATCTAGTATACATATAGCCAAGATTTTTTCAAAATATTGTATTTCGAAATTTCGTACACAACTATGTTCCGTATTTTATACGGTATACGATATATGAATTTCAGAGGCTATGTATCGGGGTTGACATAAATCCGGTTTTTTTACAAAAAGCCCAGCCCAATGGTTTTAACCGATTTGAACCATATTTAAACCGGGGTCTTTCCATTGTTTTATCCCTAGTATGCGCATCCCTACTATGCGCAGTAATAAAAATATGTTTAAATGCTACCTACACCGTAGATTAGTTAGAATTTATTTTCATTTGTTTAGATGTGAGTGGAACGCATGTGTAGGTACAGAGTGGATACAATATTAAAATTAATTCCACCCTACGTACCGATGGATTTTATAAAATAGTTTTTAGCAGTCAAAACCTTGGGTACAACCGAGTGGTTTTTTTTATGTATTTTATTTACTGGAAAAAAATCGGATAAAACCACTGGTTTTAACCGGAATGGGTCAAATTTTGCGAACCCAGGTATGTATACCAGAATCTTTGGTATACTAATTTCTGACCACATGTGTGAGAATTCATAGGCAGTTGTGAAGGAAGAACATATACAACTATCATTAGCATGGCCACGAAAACTCGGATACTTTCGAATACCGTTTTACGATCACGTACACGATACACAATTATATCCATTTAGAAAAAAGCGCCTAACAGTACTATTATTATACCACTTGTACTGATTTCCTTCTTCATCTAACCATTTCGTTCGAAATCTGAAATATTTCTATACAAATTCTCACATGGTGTTTACGGAATTGTAGTATCTTTGTCCGGCTTTCGTTTCAAGTGCTGCTGTTCCTGGTATCGGTATACATTTCCGTTCGAAAGAGTTCGAAATGTCGAAACATTTTTAACAGTGTAATCATAGCCACAGAAAAAGAAAAAGGTGAAAAAATATTTGAAGTGCCGTGAAGCCTTATTCGGTTTATGCAATATATTTTATGATATAATATTCGGTTTATGCAATATATTTGATGATATAATATTCAGTTTATGGAATATAATTGATGATATAAACATTTACCAGATTTCCGATCGAGCCAGTCGTCCAGGGTGATCCTTTCGTCGATGAAGGGCTGCCTCGCGTAGCTTAAAATCAGCCTCACCGCCTCGGCGATCCCAGTGGTCTCGAAATACGTTAACTTGATGTCCGGCATGTTCCTCGGATTCTGCGGAAGGAGAGAGATCCTTCTTAGATAAATGAGTCGCGACCGGACCCGGTCGCGATCGATTCGCGATCAATCCGCGAGGAAATCGCGGCCGATTGTGCGGAGGACAGGAGCCGATTACGCGAACGCGAGACTGAAATTACTCGAGGTGGCTTCGGATTACTTCCCGCTTAAAGGCTCGGATGGCTCTGGTTACATTCTCGATATGACTCGCACTAACTTCTCTTCTCTTCGCGCCAAAGCTTAAAGCATCGCGAAAGCCAAAACGTTATCACCGCAGATCGTTCTTCCCCACGGTGTGTCATTCGCGATGCTCCGCTAAATCGCGGTTATCGCCGCGAATCTCTCCCTATCGGTCGCCAGTGATGTTTCCGCATATCGAGGCCTTCACTGATCGAAAAAAAATCACTTTCTATTAAAAAAAAGAAAAAGAAAAGAAAATAGGGGGAAATTCTTATAACGAACAGATTTTTACCTGTTCTTATTTTGGAATAAAACGTTGATTCACTTCAGAAAAGTGGGAGACGGAAGAATTAATTAATTAATATTCCTGTACCAAAGTAGAATTTCATAGATTCATCGTAAATTATATGCTGTCTCTCGAAACTCTGTCACTGACCGATGTACTTTCTTTCTCGTCAACTTGGAATAACATTCATTTGCTATTAAGGTTTCATATCAAATATTAAATAGCTTGAATTAAATACAATATTTTATCGAAAGAAATGATATATCTTCCATAAATATTTTCAATACCTGATGGATTTCGCGCTAATTGAGCTCGTAAAAGATGTTCCCCTGTGATAAAATGGATAGGCCCTGAAATGTCTTTGATTCTGCACGTGGTTTTGTGACATTGCATTTAATACATTTCTTAATCATTTCGGTTGAAAGGAAATTGTATGTTTAAATATGATTTACTCTAGAAATAGAGAAGAAGAAAACACTGATTAAAAGTCATACATAAGAAATGAAAGATAACCTGGCAGGAAATATTCCACTCGGTATGTCTTTCACGTGGAATCCACCATCTAGCTAATTTCTCGTAATTTTAAATCGATCTACACGAGCAACACGTGGGGGAAGTGTTTTTCGCCGATGAATCTTAATTATTACATAACGTCGTTCCCATAAACGCATTTCTGTCTACAATTTCTGCACGGAGTCCCGCATTAACCAGATTATGGTATTATATTTAAAGCGTATTCATTCAGTTCTGTTTACTCCAACAGGTATTCTCCATGAATGGAGATTTAGCCATTCTGAATCACCCTTTACGCGCGACACGTGCAGCGCGAATTTCTTTCCTTCGTTTTTTGAACAGCTTAAACCCATGGACTTTTAAAATATTTCAAAATAGCGGGCTTATGGAGACTGTAAACTTTGCGATTTTTTTCACGGTGTACATGATTTCAGATAAATGGCGCATCAGAAGCAAAATGTTAAGGTAGTTTCCAGAAACTAGGACAGATTATTAAAGAACCAATCACACCAATCTAGAATGACATAGAAATCATTTATTCATTGTTTTATATTTCACTTTAATCGCTAATATCTTTAGATCGAACATTTTCGTCAAAAATTCCTACCCTCGGTTCTTAATGAATCTTTTCTAGTTTCTAAAACTACCTTAACTCTTTATTTCAAGTTTACCATTCTTCTAGAGTCATGTACACCGTGAAAAAATGTAAAAACTTCCAGCCTCCACAAGTCCGCCGTTTTTAAAACATTTTGAAAACAATTTTATCTTAAATTCTCCGAAAAATATCGAATAAAACAGCCCCATAAGCAAGTATTTCCTATTCTTTCCAGTCCCTTTCCAATTTACTTAGATTAAAACACATCCCAACCTACAAACCCCCTTAAGGAGATTGAAACCTTTCGCTGAACTGGGTGTACCGAATCGATTCACATTTTACAATGTGAACATGTAGTCTATAAATAAGGTACCGATACTCATAAATTTTCATTTTTTGTACCAAATTTTAAAAATACCTATAAACAGATTTTTTTTAAATTGAAATCTCACGAGTTTCAGGGCCTTCCATGTACTCTTTATTTTATCACTCTACTATATTAACGTTGTAAAGTTCACAAATGATTCGGTAAACTCAATTTGGAGAAAAGTTATATAAACAAGACCTCTTCGACGCTACTTTCACATCACGTTAAACCGCAGTTCAGAAACTCGCGTGTCCTTTTTACATAGCCGACGCTTTGTCTCCTGGATCGGCATTTCTACTGTTTCGGGATGCCGATTGGACAGGTAAATCGTGCACCTGCCGGTGATCCGGAGTGGCGTTACGCAATTGGCTGATTCCGGTGTAACCGGGTCGCTTATATCGGAAAGCATTGCGACACGTGTACGGATTCTCCCACGATGTTCTTACCTCCTGCATGCTACAATTACGCATTACGTAAGGGACCTATACCGGTCTCTCTCCCTCGCTCTCGGTTAAGTGATCGCGGCTAATTTGCGTCTCATTTTCCTCTCTCGAGCGGGTCCTCGTGGAAGAGGAGTCCATCGCAAGGATCGGGAGGATCATTAAAATCGAGGTTCGATCGAGCTCCGAGTGCGCTCTATTAGGATGCAAATGCACATTCGAAAAACCAGCTCCCCCTCGTCCCTTCCCGATGACGAGGGTCGGGATTTGCATGAGCACCGGGCGGACGGAAAAGTACCGTCATTGACTCGCCGCGATAATTTCGATTTTCAATGCGGATTTCCATGTTTCCACGCCGATAATCGGTCGCGATTTCTTGTCAGAACATACCGATGTATCGGAATTACTTTGATTGGAATTACTGACGCATCCGGCCGGCGCTCTAGCCGGTGACGTCAACATTTTATATCGTATTCATGATGTGAGCAGTTTTTACAGTCTTTCTACCATTTAATAGCTAATTACTGCGTTTCCACGCGCGCGCCGGAGACGTATTACAAACGAGATTATTCTAGAACTAATCTCTTTAAAAATTTTCATTAAGAATGCCCTTAACGACTGTGTGTAATTCTTAATGTCGTTGATAATCACCATTCTTAACGATGCGCGTTGAGAAACGACTCTTCGGAATTCGTCCAATAACGTTTCACGCGTATCATTACAGAAAAATTTGAGTACAAGAATACCTTATTTTTTCAGATCTCTGTATACCCATATTACCATGGACGGTGCAAAGTTTCTAGAGATTTTTAATGCCGTTCCTAGTGACGATGTTCTTACTAACACCTATTAATAAGCATTTCCCAAAAAGTATTCAACCAATTTTTCAAACGTTTAATTACCCGAACCATTGAAATTTGGGCGGGAGTAAAAAATGCCACGTATATTGCTGGTGTGAAAATATCCACGGTGTAAATTTTCTAGCAATTACCAAAGTCATTGTTGATGCCGTTATTAATAAAGCCTGTTAAGTAGCCCCCCAAAGTCCCCGAAGAAAATGCAACACGTATAATAACGTAAAGCATGAACATTTTAGTAGAAGGGAACAATGCCTCGCCTTTCGCATATCTCATTGAGGACCCAAATTACCATGCGCGATACGAATTCTCTCGTTTTTGGGTTCAGTGCCAGTACCGGTTATTGTTGAAATCAATTTGACACCCAAAGTACGCAAGCAAACCAGGTAAATTTTTTGGAGACAATGAAATAGAATTTTGCATAGCCTACTCCTTCTCTAACTCTCGTTTGAGATGATTCACGAGTCTTCCGAGTTTCATAAAAATTGGAGGCGGCAGCCTCGTAGATCTTCCTCCAAGGCGCCAAACAAATCATTCATCAGGTAATAGCGTAGTTGGTGAATAATTATAGGTCATACAATGACAGTCCCGTGTCGTTACACGGGCGATTACTTTTTCAGTGCAACCGATTATTCCGAAAGGCGATATTCTCGATGCTCGACCGATACCACGTGTACATTAGCGGAGACCTTTTCTCATTACCAAAGTCATCCTTTGGCTCTTTCGGCACGTGGCGGAGGCTGCGGTAATCCTCCGACTACGTGAGACCGCCAAGTCCGAAGTCTAGGAATCGAGAGTGTTATATCGTGTCCCGGTGACGAAGAGACGCTCCTAAGAAATTGTTTGTACACTTGCCCAACGACTGAATCGTCGTTACGGATTCGAATCGGACGGAACAGCCAAATGTCTCGATTTTCACCTGTGAATTTATCGGCGGTCAATCGCGCTAGAATGTCCCAAAAAGAATCCTGGCCCAATTAAAGAAAATCCGATACTAAGAGAGGGCGAGTTAGAAAATGGTAAAATATGTATATTACTGGGAAATGAAATTGGTCGGATAGTCGAACGGGAAATATTTGGAATTTTCAACAACTCGCGGGGTGATTGTAGCGCGCAGGTGATAAGGACGAGCTGGCACTGATATCGATCCTAAGGGGGGTCTCGCTAGACCTGCGAACACCTTTCGGTCAAATTTGATAAGTGGACCTTACATTTTTCATGACACCTCTTACACCTCCTACAATCTTCCACTACAATTGAAGAATAAGAACCAAGCTATCAAATTTTTTTTTTAACACTTTTCTATTTCGAGTTGAGTGGAGTGTGGCATTTTTTTTTCTTATTTTTTCTTTCAAACTGCCTCTCTTTTTCGAGTTTTTCTCGACGCGTACATGTAATTTATATGTCCGTGGAAAAAGTAAATCACCGCCTCGTCCTCCATTCTCTGAGTACAAATTTAAGAAACTTGGTAATACTTCCAACATTCTTATAAAATCCAATTTCTGTTTCGTTTCTGTCTATTCTTAGCTGCAAATTTATAATATCTCCACCATTCAATCCGTAGATTTTAACAAATAAATCGAAATTCCAAATATCTTTAAGCACTACGTAAAAAAGTATTCTACGTAAATATCAATATTATCCGAAATAGAATACATTTTCGCTAAATGAAAGATTCCTTTGATATACTTGGTACAGCTAAAAGAATTCGTGTAATCTTAATTAGATTCCACGCGCACACTACGAAGGAATATATTCCATTATCTGACCGATCGGCTACATACCAAGCTTTCAAATTCGTACTCTTAATGAAACTATTTATATCAATTAGATATGCTCCTTTCCGCTTTGCCGATAAAAAAAGTGACGATAAGAAATAAGTACTTTTTTACGTGAGTAATATAAACGGACTTCCTCGGAGGCTTGAAATTCGAAACCTCGTATCGATCGTTCGCAATCAATTTCTCGTATCTCTGCGAAACATTTTCCTTTTCCGAAAGTCTCCGTCTGGAAATATAACGCGTACCTCGGACGATATACCGTGTAATATGACATCCAATTGATGTCTATAAAATTCTACTATTTCTTATAAACGAGGAAACGTTAGCAAAGAATTTGTTTATGTACACGCTCAGCTGATAAACGAGCAAGTGTTAACTCCCCCGACAACACAAGTTCCTGACTTCGGATACATTGACCTAAGAGTCTCGAATACCAGCTGATCGTCTTAAAGTGAATTTAATCGCTTGCAATTACTTCCACGTGTACAAAGAAATTTGACTGTAACCTATTAATACTAATCAATGACTCGATTATCGATTAACCCAAAGCTGAGTAAACTCCTATTCCAAACGAATTTCGGCAAACTGTTAGCATAGTTGAAAATATGATTAGAAACAATATTTCGCTTTTAACCATTTTTAGCAAAAAGTTGGAAACAGTGAACATATTACATGTGTACACAGAGAAGCACAGTTTCTATTGGGTTAGCTAAACAATTTTGCAACACTAACGACACAATTTTCAACTTTATTCTTATTTATTGAATTACAACTTAAATGATATATTCTCCACTTCTAGTTATAATCCGTGTCCGTCTATCGAGTAGCTTCTTGATGCCTCTGTTCAAGTTTTTGTCAGATTTTAGAAATGAAAATATAATCTAGGATAGGAGTTTTTAGCCAACCCAATGAAACATAATCGCTCCTCTTTAGCGAAATCGAATTAAATAGGGATATTAATATAATAAATACTATTCAGAGATACATATAATGGGCTCCACTATATTCGGAACATTGAAAATAACCCAGATAACAATGCAAATTATCTGCGACCATTAAATATCAACGTAATATAAACGACGTCATTTTCCAGCACATTTCCGAGTATCTTAGGAACCTTGTCGGAATTTGGTCGAATAAATATCTCTTTGATTTAAATACCGCGTAATTGAGCCAAGTCACGTTTCCCCGATTCAACCGCTCGTGGCCGGGCTATGTAAACATAATTCAAACAACTCAACTTAGGTCAAACTAAGTGCACAATTACCCGACAAATTTGGAGAGATAATCCCTTTAGATCTAACAAACCTGTTCCCCTAATGTACAGGTGGAATTCCTCTCTTTGACCCTCTTCAAACAATTTCTATCGAAATTTCAGCCCCACATCGAACCCGCGTAACCCAAATGAAACATCTTTCGGTCCTGTTTCCCACATTAAGTCCTGCTTTCGACCTTGTGCATCTTATTTAATACGACGTTCTCCTTTAGGCCTACAGGTAGAAGAAATGGAAATATCTCTCAAGTTTAAGGTTTGAGGCAGGACCTCAATTATGTAAGAGTTACCCTAGTTTATATCAGGTCGATTAAAAAGTTCTGAGACACTTCTCTCACCTCTTCGACACAAGTGTTTCAGAACTTTTGGACCGACGTACTGTTATCTCAAGCCCCATTTAAGGCTCACAGAGGTTCTAAGTGAGATCGAAATTACTACCCGGGGAATAAACACAATTTAAACCAAATACAGAATTATCGAGTTTTCGAGCTTTCGAGAGAGCCCCCTTAGATTTAGCTAACTTCCTTCCCGAACGCGATTCCCTCCTCGTGTACCGGCGGAATCCGTACCGTTGACATTCCTAGTCGTTAAATCGCGCCCAACGATTCACGTGGGTAGTATTCTCGCTAGGTTTCTACACATCGAGCAGTACTCTCATTTTCACAGTCAGATATTAGAAATACACAAGGAAAGAAAGAATATAAACAACCGAAAGTGAAGGAAATATTTTTTCTCGAGCCTTTTCGGGACTCGATCGAATTTTTCGGCGCATTCCTTACCATCGGCAGGACCTGTACTTACGAACGATTTAATGTCGAACGAAATGCTCTCACCACCGGACCACCGATACCACTAACAATAAAGTCGCACCCGCAGTAGTGTTGAGTAGACTTTGCGACGCGGCTTGCGAGTGGTGGGACAAGACGGAGACTTGACTTGCCGAACGAAGACCGAGGGAATGGTAGGGAAAGTGGTCAGATGGAAGGGGCGAGGACGTCGAGGTTTTCTTGATAATGGGATCTTGCAATTGTCCTTCCGAATTTGACCTTTTCACTGCGGCAGGAGCTGAGTTTGAAAAACCACGAATGCGTCGGTGCACCTTCCTGGGATTGCCTCTCTACGTGAACTCACCAAGGCGAGCTGGTCTTCTCACCGCTGTTTGTTTATGTTTCTTCCTGCCTCGTTTGCGCTGGAAATTGTACAAACTTTCAGGCTTTTGAACCACCATCTTCTTGGCCGAAAACTACGAAAACTTGTGGCGACTAGGAGACCGTTCAAAAAAACGTGAACATCGCGTTTAGTACATCATATGACGATGTAGCTTAAGTGACAAATAATTCGGATGCTTATAGAAGTTCATTTGAGAACGATTTATATCATTCTGAAAATATCCGTAACATTATTTCGGCCACAGTTCGATGAGCACAAATAGTTCGTCGAGAACATTTTTTTCACTTTCAGGTACTACCTTTGAAAAGCTAATCTATTAAGTAGGGAATATTCCGAGGTAAATTTGTGTATTTATATTTAATATATCTTACGAGAAGCTATTCACTCGGGAATCGGTGAAAACGATTTCCTTGTTTGAGAGCCGATTGCCTTTGATTTCATATGATAAACAACAACGCGATTAGGTAACAAGTGGCATTCGGCCATAAAATTGTTAATGTTCGGTGATTTCCAACGGTTTCCAGTGATTTCCGCTTGCGATTTCCAACTGATTTCCACATCAATTCGAGCGTTAAAATCCTTGATTTCTTGAGTGAATACCCCCTCGATTTTTTAAAATTAAATTCAATGACTTCAGTCGAGAATGTTTTAGTATTGACAGTCATGCAGGGTTATGAAGATTCACGCTACAGGATTTAACAATTTTTGTTTAAATTCGAGAAAAATTGTTCTACTATCCACACTACATCCCATGGTGGTAATTATTAAATACTTACGTGACTTACTCATGCTGAACACTAAAATGCATCCTTCTACTATTGTTTAAATAAAACCTTCACTTTTAAACGGTCTGATATGAAAAGATACCAGAATGTTTCTGTTAGTTTAACAACAGAGGCTTAAGTAATGAAGACTTTGGATCCATTTAATGCAATGTACTAATGTATTACCTGATACACGTCGGACTATCTTATAATTATGTGCACGGAGATGAAATAAATCAACAAGGAGATATGCGACTTTTAAAATATGTCAATGCGTTTCTTCGTCACTCGACACTGCGTTATATTAAGTGAGCGGCCCATTTTTTCACTATCGCCATTATGGAAATAAGCAACATCACATATAGATTTACTAAGTTTTTTTTGCTTCATACCGTATCAAGAAGATAGGGGGCTCAGAAAACAGCGTGCACGCTCCAATTATAAGACCATCGGGACCTTCTTTTTGCATATCTTTATGTGCAAATATTCATCCGTGACGTCGAATTGAAAGTAGTATTTGATAAAATCACATAAATATCCGAAGCAGTTATCGTCCATTGGAATGTCCTGTGATTTTTTATCACCTAAAAAAGAAGACTGGTGACCTATTAATCTAGTGAAACTGCAGAAGGAGGTCGTCAGCGGAAAGCGTCAGTTGATAGACCTATTAAACATTTGAAAGAATATTTCCATCAGAAAAAAGTAGAACACTTTCAAACGAGCACGCCGAAACTAAAAGTTCCGTTTCGGTCTGTTGTTTAGCCACTCTTTAATTTTCGGAATCGATTGGACTTTTTCCTTCAATGTTCTCAAATGAGGACGATCCTTCGTGACATCGAACTCCAAGCAGTAGTTGTAGAAATCCAATATGGCGACGAAATATATGTCCGCATAACTCAGCTAGGTCAAAAAGGAACCTTTAAATACGTCCACCTGGATATGATTTCTATTAATCTTCTTTGTCTACAAAATACTTACTTTTCCACCGTGAAAGTAGCCATCGTTGCTCTTGACAAGATCCTCGAAACGATTAAGGTAAAATGGCGCGGTGTTTTTCACGGTTTCGGCCTTTTTCTTCGCTTTTTGCACCGGGTCGTCCTCGCGGAAGAAGAGAGCTATTTCTAAATAAGAAGAAATTAAATAATTGATAATTGTATTATGAATCGTAATCGTATCTTATCATCTCTTAATATAAGGTCATATTGAAATATTCAAATTAAGAAACACTGTTGCGTCTCAGACAAGTTCATGGTCCTCAACTGAGGGCTGCGTCCCTTTACTCTAAACATCACTCTAATGGAAATTTAATTTTCTTTAAATGACCAGTGACGCTATTAAAACATGCCATACACTCTTTAATACACACGGACGGTATTATTAATTTTTTCTCTTTCATTCCAGGTTCAATTTATTTTACACTGCATCGCGTTGAAGATAATTACAATTTAAGTAACCTCGTTAATTTTGGAAGGGCTTACGTTTTCTCAGTTCGTGAATAGCTTCTGCTGCGGAATCAACCTGTAGAACATCCAGATCGGTATCTCCTAATAAGTCGAGTTTCTTGGCGAGGTATCGGCAAATCGGCAATGTCTGAGAGTACTTTTTCCCATCTATTTCGAGGACCGGTACTTGGCCGAAGGGCATTGCTGTGAAAGAAAATGACCCACACCTAATCAGCGTGATGCATGCCATTCAAACACAGCAGAAGTGACTTTATTGCCGGAGAAATAAGTACAATTAAACTAATTGTTTTCTTGCGAATGATACGCAAGCCAACGCAGAGATTATCTGTACCTAGTCATTACGCGAGCCTTGAACGGTCTTACGTGTACTGATATAGCTTCTCCTTTCTCTGCAAAAAAAAAAAAGCAACCCTTTCAGTCTCTCTTAGAACGTGAACACGTGTTATCACTTGATTACCATGTTAAAAGTGTTTCAAGATTTCGAACACTTTCGATTACAAATATTATACTAAAATCAGCATCAGCGATACTCGAAATGAAAACGAATTAAATGTATACTGAATTTCGAACTACTCTAAAAAAGCGAACGTGTAGAAATATTCAACATTCCGAACACTTTCGAATACAAATACATACTAACACCACAAAATCGCACTCGATGAGAAAACCGAACAACTTGTATCCATACAACATTTCGAAAAACACTATTTCTACGTCGGAATTCCTAAACGATAAAACAGCAGAACAAAGGTGAAAACCAAACGAAATTCTAATAAATGTACTAAAACGCGCATTTTTCAAAATGCATACAATTGTGTATGTGTACGTGATCGCAAAGCAGTATTCAAAAGTATCCGAGTTTTCGTAGTCACATCTAATGACATACTGTATACTAGAATGCGTATCTCCATATACAATTACCTGTAAATATTCACAGATAAGGTCGAAAAGTAATATATGCAAAAGATTTCGAAATTCACTATACCGAAATTCGTATATTAAAGTCCCGAATACAACTGTACCCTCCAATTTGAAGATATTGCACCTTGAAGAAACATCGACTACATGTATACCACATATCGAAATGATATTATTACCAGGGTATTTGGTTTCGAATTGCGCATTTTTTATTCCGCAGCCTGCTTTCTTTCACATTTAAACGAGGACTTCTGGCGTTGGATCTCGTACAATAAATTCCAGAAATCGTGCAAGCTACGTTAACGGTAAATGAAGGAGTACCAATTACACGAAGAGGTGTAATCTGGTTTCGAGAACGAGGCCACGTGTCGCATCCAAAGAGTGGAATTGATTTTCTCCTTACAACCGGCTTCGCTGGAAGCGCATTCGCGTCGCGTGAGCTATCAAATCCATAAGTCGCGACTATTACGTTAACGCTGAATAAATGTGCATTAAGAGTAACAAGAGGGGGCGAGATATGCAGTCTTGTTTTCAGAAGGGGGCCACGTGTCGGGTCCAACGACTCACTTGGCTCGATTTTCGCCCACGTCTCGTCTCGCCCCAGACGCAGGGCCATTAGGTATATGCGCTATAAATTGCATCAATTGCGCCGATTACGTTAACGTTGAGTAAATAAACATTAAGAATAATAAGGAGCACGATCTCGTTTTCGGGAGGCCACGTGCGGAGTCCAACGACCCGATCCCGATTCGATTTTCGCCGTTCTTCGGCGTACCTTACGTGCACCGTAAACTTTATAAATCGCACCAATTGCATTAACGTTAAACAAGCAAGGACCGAGACAAACGAGAGTTCCCGAAGTGGCTTCCAAAAGGAGGTCATGGGTACAGTTAATTTCGCGTGGATTTCGCCGCTCTCCGAACCCCCGATCATTCTGGAGTGCAACCTACTTACCTTGGCCACCTTAAATATACCCTTCAATGGTTATATGATTTTTCCGAAAAGTCAATTACAGGGATTTAGAGTGCCATGGGAGGATAAAGGGGCAATGATACTTATGAAAATTCCTTGGCTATTTCCTGTCCCCCGGTGGAACGGAGTAGGATCTTATCATGTTTTAAAGTAAGAAAAATTCCGCGATTCGATTAAACCCCAATTTTAAATACGATTTCAGGAAATCACGGTAATTGCATTAACTATTAACAAATATCGGTAGAGTGAGAGTAAAAGGTGATCTGATCTGATTTTTCAAGAGAGATAGTCTGGTTGGCCAATGTCATGATTTTCACCCAAATATCTCGTCTTGTACCAGAGGCAAATGCCCAATAATGCAATCAAACTTCAAAAGTGAGAGCCGGTTAAAGATAAATACAGCTCAGTACTAACAGAAACATGGAAATAAACTTTAAGAAAAGGATCGCATCAAGAATCACCTGCTTTCACTATTGCCTATGGATTTCCATTACGTTATCTGTATATTTCACTCTCGTCGCTCGATACTGAGAGTTCATTTACTTTCTTCAGATTCTATGAAATCCACACACTGTATCAACCGCGTTAAAGATAAATAAATAATTAGCTGAGAGAGTAACGCCCTAACGCTAATGAAAACGTTAACGTTGTCTCAATACCAAAACATAATGATGAAAATAAATCAGAAAACTCGGTAGAGTTTCGCGCCAAATGCATAAAAGAACACAGTAATTAACTATAGAAAAACAAAAATTGGGGTCAGATGTGAATAATCACGACTGACGATTTTAGTATGAACATCTCCAAGCCAGAAGCACCATCACCGATTGACTTCCTAGACAACAAATAATAGTACAAGTACAACGGTACTCTTAAAAAGGTAGAAATAAGCCTAAAGGAAAGTCGACGTCATCCGCTTTCACCATGGGCTCCCATTACGTTGCATGTACATTTTATACTCCCCCGTTCGACTCTACGAGTTCCCTGATTCACCTACACTAAAAATCACAAGATACATCGACCGTGTTAGAGATAAATAAATAAAAAAATAAAAAAAAAAACGAGAATAACATCAGCACGTGCATTCTGGTTTTCAAATGAGAAAGCACACGTGGCGTTCAAGATACGCATGCCTAGATTTTCGCCTACGCTCCTCTTGCATGAAAAGTGCGCCCATTGTATGCGACATCGGATATTAAAATAGCCGCGATGGCGGTAACTCGAAATAAATTAATATTAAAGGAGAAAAATAGAGGCGATCCGAGGCAGAGGCGCGGAGTCGAGCGACTCACATGATTTGATCTTCGCCCACGCCTCTCCACGATCTAGACGCACATCCTCGAAGTCGAAGTCGCCGTAGCTCAGGAGGAACCTAATTGGCTCGCCCAGCCCCATAATGTCGAAGTACAGAAGCCGGTACCTCGTCATTGCGGCTTCGCGGGGGATGCGCTCGGATAGTGGATACGATGCAAGGATGCGCCAATCGCGTGACCGCGCGACTCGGTCGAGCAGAAACACCGGGCGCACGCGCGGCTCGTCTTGCTCGTTTCTGCAACTGCGAATCGTTTATTAGGCCCGAGCGGGAAGGTCAGGCTAGCTTCGACTCACGCCGAAGTAGAAAGCACCGGGACCGACGCGCGCACTGACGCTGATTTTTTCCTTTGCGCAAGATACGAGGAATCCCCCTTCGCGTCCCAGTTCCAGGCCCCCCTTCATCGGACACGTGGAGTGGCGCTGACCGATCTCTGCCCAGTTCCCGTGTTGACGCATGATACCCAATAAATAGTAACCATGCGGGACGCTAGATGGCAGCACGGGCGAATTAAAGCATTACAGAATGTCCCCCTCTCCCTCCAGCCCCGACACGCGCGCGATACTGGACAAAAACAGATTTAGAATCGAAATACCACGAAAGGCTCTATAGCTGTTCACTAAGAGATTGAAGCTTGTGCTGAATCGCACATTCCTAACTCATTAGCTCATCTCTGCTCATTGTCTTGATATGACATAATTATTGAAGACTTAAAAAATGTATGACATCCACGACATACAGAAACACCTCTTAATGGCATTCTTTATTGCAATATTACTCTATTTATGTATAGAAATATACACGTGTATTTAAGAGGATATGCAAGGCGCTAAGCAATTTAATCTACGTCGATAAAGTAAAATTCATCTGTACCCTTTTCGATGGTAATGCCGTTTTGAACACTCAAGTGGTAACATAAGCTGGCGCGTTCCATTACCGACATTTATATTTATGTTGAAGTCTTTTACAGTCTACGTTGAGAATTACACGAACTGAAGGGTTCTATATGTCATTTCGGCAAAGTAATGATAAAAAGATCCATGTAAAATTGCCGAAATCCCATGAATTCATGACTGTTTATATTTTGACAAACCAACGTCGCCATCTGTGAGGTTTAGCTGCAACTAAATGTTTGCTCTAAAAACACATGTAGCCGCAGGACAAGTCAGGGATACATGGGAAGGGAGCGACGTCTGTAAGAAAGAAAACGCACGTGTTAGTCAACGTATACTTTGCGGAAGAGTAAAACACACGTAGAATGCCGGGAGGAGTATATGGAAGGAGAATGGACGATCTGTAAGAGAGAGAACGCATGTGTTAGCCAACCGTTTTCGACACCACAGGAGAAAGAGAGATGTACAGAGAGATTTTCGGAAGTGTCTTTTCCACGAAGAACTTTATTAAGAAAAGAAAGAAAGAATAAGAATACCACTATGTAATCTGATATATTATTAAGATTCGACTAAAATATTGTTCTAATTGAAAAGAATGTTCTTTGCCATTAATAAAAAAACACGATACACTTTTAAAGACGTCACATCGTACCCAATCGTGCCGAATAAACTACCTTAGTGCGCAAGCGCGTCAACCATATTGAATTTTAGTTCAGCTACTTCTGGGTGTAAGCTATGGTGGCGGTAGTAACACTGAACAAAACATTTCCATAGAAGTGCTACCCCCTGAGACAGTGTGAATAAGACAAACAGAGGATGTGTTTCCAGCATAATGAAAGAACATGAGATAGAAAATGGCAAGGGAAGAGGGAATGGAAGCGACTGCGGCGCCACCACGCAGTTGGCTAACATAACTAAAATATTGGCCAATTTTTCTGAGCATCGGAGGCCCGTATCCTTCTGAGCATCTATGGAGACTTCTGTATTCTTTGGCTCTACCGGTGACGCGTCGGCTTCGGTGACGTCACGCTGATCGCGCTCGCTGATTGACTCTTGCCGCCGACGCCCAAGCGGCCGACCAATCGGAGCTGCCCGTCCTCACCCCGCAGTAGAAAGAGTCGCTACAGAAGTCGCAGTTACGAAAAAAATTCACCGGTGGCTGCTCACCCCAAAAACTGACAGAAAACACTTAAAAACGCCTCAAAACGCTTAAAAACGTCAAAAACATTAACGTTTTTTTTTTCTTATATATAAATCATTCCTCTGCAGTGCGTCTACAGAGTACACGTGCTCCTTAATCGTTTCTCAGGCCCTGAACAGCAAAGCGTTCAGATCAAAGGTTTTTTCTTTATCTAATCTTTATAATTACTCTACATGGCCCTGCACTTAGCGCGTGTTAAGCTGCTGATGAAGTTCCGAAATAACTTCAAGCACGACTGACTTTCTTTCCCATTGCGATCTCGAGGCGAGAGAACAATCTGTGGATGATAAATGGCCCCGAAGGAAGAAATTATTAAATTACACTTTTTCGTTATAAGTGTGGTTTTTTCGGTATCTAAAATTATGCCGATAAAGCCGGGGGGGTGAAAAGGCACAGGCCTTTGAACGGTATAGCGCTCGTTGAAGGCTGCTCCGGTGAACCTTTTTGACTCTTCGCCCGTGCGGGAGGCCGAGGCGCAAATGGACTACGGATGAAAGAAGAAAAGGTTGAAAGCGCGCTAAAAATACTCCGCGCGGAACTGCACCTGTAAAATCATGGCGGCAGATGTAACGCGATTCTTCGCAGAGCCGAGCCTCAGTTGTAAAGAATTGGAGATCAATATAAGAATGAACGTCTTACCGGTGCGATAATCCAGTTACAAAGGTTTTGGAAAAGTATTCCATTACCGAAACTCGATCACCTTAAGCATCATACCTTCAGAGCATTAATTTATTACTCCCTAAAACAGCAAAAATCAGCTGAAAAAAAAATGAATTCAGCAGAATGGATCTCGCAATTATTCTGCAATTGCTCTGCGAAACGGCAGATTCCATTTCTCGAGGACGCCCAATGTTAACGGGTGAAATAATTGTAAAAAATTCGGAAAAAAGGACTAGAGATGAATCAAGTTAATTGGAGTAATTAAACCGGGGCAGGATAGACGGTAGTTTTAAGCTCTACTTATGGGGCAACCCGGCAACTTACATGATCTACTTGAATTCGTGAATAACCCCAGGGGTCTCTCGAGAAGCATCTCCCGCCGAAAAAGCAACATGTATATGAACCAAGTTAAAGGGGACCCTATTACTCCCGACAGCATTCCTTGTGACATAGATCTTCCCTTGACTAGACACTTATGACACGTTCCGAAAAAGATTTCACCGAAAAAAAAAGAAGGGGGGGAGGGAACATTCTACTGAAATACCGTTTCCTCGTTTCTTTTTTTTTCTGCCGGGATATTTATCAGTGAAATTGTGTTTGCGTTTACGTGCGTTAAATTTTACGTAGCCGGGCATTTGTCAGTGTTCTAAATATACGTTTCTGGCGTGAAACATTTATTGTGCCACATGCGTTCCTCGGGGTCGCACATGGGCCGAACATCCCCGAAACCGAAATGTCAACCCTCGAGGGCTGTCACTAATTGGGAAAACTCTCACAAAGGAATATTTTTCAATCCCTTGTCTGGCGCAGACGGGGCGTTTTATTTTTACCCAATTCGTGGAAATGTGGATTATGTTTACTTTGAATTATTATTCGAGGGTAAATAGAACGGGCAAATTAATATAAAAATGAATTCCTGGTCGGAGAGAAATCGAGAGAGCTCGTCCAGTGAAACCTTCATTTCGCGAGGCGAAACAGGAGCTGCGTTAAAACTCTCGCGATGATATTTAACCCCGGAAATCACCTAGACTTCTAGATGCACTACTTACGTCAGTGCTCACTTATCGAAACAATAGCGGCTCTTGTTTCTCCGCCCTGTATACATTCGCCATCGCTTAAAAAACAATCGCCCGTTTAAATCCAATTACACCGATGGAACGACATTGCGAATCAACGTAACGTCGCCTCGACGAGAGCAATAATCAACGCGAAATCATAGGCCGTCCAAATCGTTACATTGCATAGGAAGGAAACAGGAAACAAACTAATGAGATAGATAACGAAGCAATGTACAAATAAATTATCCGTCTGGATATAATCCCAGGTTTCGATCAAGCCTCCCTCAGGTGACTCAGAATCGCTCCCCCGAAACCTCTTAAAGTGATATGAAAGGGCCATTCGAGGGGTTAATCGTTTACGGAACGTTTCTCCGAACTAGACATACCGAATCGTTTTAAATTTGACCACATTAACATAGAAGCCTCAAATAAAGTCCCAATACCCGTAACATTTCACTTTCTATAAAGAAATAAAAAAATTTCTTACACAACATTCTTCTTAATAAAACATCATGGATATCAGGACCTTACTTAAGGCCTCCACGTTCACGAAGTAAAATCTCTGACGATTCACCCAATGCGGAGAAAAGTTTCATAAACGAGCCTCCTTTCGCATCCTCTTAAGGGGATCTGAAGGCATCTGAAGGGTCAATCGTTCAATTTCTAAAATTTCTATAAAAAATTTTCTTTTAAATTTAAATTTCACGGCTGTCAGGATCTTTCTTATAGCCTCCTTGTTTCCGTTGTAAAGTTTGAAAGCTTTCACGTCCCCTTAAACCCCCATCAACGGTTCCTCTTCCTGTAAATCCATCAATCGGTGTCCGACTTCGCGAATCCCTCCCAGATCGAAGGTTAAAAAAAGGTGTTAAAAGTCTATCAAGACCATCCTTCGGAATCCACCCTGACGTGGGCTAATCTAATTGAAGGAACTTCAGGAGAGCGCCCCTGCCTTGTCCCGCGTTTGCGGTCTTCCGGGGCTTTGGAGAGCGGACTCAAGGTGAGCAACCCTCTCCGAGTCGGCAGTGCTCGGGTCCCTCGGGTCCCCGCAGGTCCTCATTAGGGGAAACCTCGCGGAGCGTCCGACCGCTAAAAGACCCCAAAGCGCCGCCGACAGGGGGTGACTGCAACCCCATCTGGTTCGGCCACGAGGGCGCGTACCTCGGGGCATGCGCGCGCCGGAGTCGCTAGGGGTTGTTGCCGCTCCGGGAGGAGCTGCTCGCCAGTGACTCAGAATGCCTCTCTGAACGGACGACGAAGGACTTGACTCGGCAAGGGCGAGCTGCGTATCCCCGCGTACGATGCGCCGGGCCCACCCCTAGCGCCCTAGCGCCCCCGCATCTCCTCGCGAGCGACCGCGACGCGATGGAAGTCGGGCTCGCGTGAAGTGTCCGAACGGTGAGCCGACATCTCTCCGGCCTTTCACCTTTGATGCCACCGCCGAGAACCACCCCTTAGCCATGAACGTGAGTAGTCCCCGAGATCCGCAACGAAGGGGCCGCAGCCATATTGCCACATCGCACTATTCGCGTCACGCTTCCACGCCTACTCTGCACATACCCTGGGTATATACGCTCAAATACCCTACGACGTGAACGCCATTTCACGGCTCCTTATTGTTAGATGCGACGATTTTTACCGCTAGTTAACGTCCACTCGCGACGTAGAAAAATGTGTTAAGGGTGAATTATCGAGAACGAGGGTGATCAGTCGAGCCCTGGTGCCTTGAAACGAGATTCGAAACTCATTCCTCGCTGAAGCAGCGTCGGGTGCGGATCGATACTTTCCCGAAGGGATTCGTATTCCGCTCGCGGAATTTTTCACCCTCGGCCTCGGTCTCCACGGAGGGTGAGAATCGCCTTGTAGGTTACACGGGGCTTTGGCTGGCAAGCTTCGCGAAATTGTCCTTCTAAGCCGTGGGCATGATCGCAAATCCGGGTGCAAGTTTAAGGGTCCTGACGTTCCGTATAATTTTATGGACCGCCCTAATGAATATTCGCGTCCCCATATTGGAATGCCTCCGTGGATCTTTTTCGTTTACTCCGATCACGGTTTTTAAATCCCACCCCAAGGTTATCGGATATGTGTCGGGGTAACCGCATCCATTAACCTTCCCCATAGTACGCATCGAACATGGGTGCCCGTTACTCTCATAAAACGTAGATTTAATTGCCGGATTAACCCCGTTACAGGGAAGTCGTTTTCAAGAGGTGGGCGAACACTGCTCTGCTATCGATCCCGCTTTCGCCATGCAGCCCCTTTCCGTGCCCGTGCCCGCAATAAATTTAATTACGCGCGTAATCTTCGATTCACCCGAAACAATTCGCAGCCACGTTCTATAAAGGTGCGGTTTACGTTCGATTTAAATACTGCGGTATCGAGATCAAGGCATTCGACGTTAAAGGGCAGATATACGATCAGATTCGACCCCCCATCAACTGGAGACCGTACACTGTTACAAAAAGTATTATAATTTTATAACATTTTTGTTGTCAGTTTTATTCAGACATGGTAAATTAATTTTATATCATATTAGCAAGAAATTCACAAAATGTGTCATAAATTTATTACATAAGTGTATTAATTTTCCCACGCGATTTCATAAAGTCTTAACACGATGTCATCAAATTATAAGTTCATTTAGAAATTTCTAACGAATGTATCACCACTTCACTTTTAGGACATTAAATGTATAATTCTACTACAATCTTATGTACTAAAAGTGCATGTATTTTATAAATATCACTAGAGTGTACTGCTGTGCTCGTTTGTCTATGACACGAATTTGTCCAGACAGGCAGTCTTTAGAGGCTTCTCGTCAGCGGTTCGAGATACTCTTCCGATCAGCGGAGTCGCATTTCTGCGTGGTGGTAATTTCGCGGTAACTTATACGTCATGACCCAAGAATCGTGAAGCCAGTGTCGAGCAATTATGACGGTTTAGCGCGTCGCTCCTTGACGCTCGGTGACAATTCGAGCCCTGGGTTTGTCTTCTGCGATAAAGTATTCTTCCGCGATCAGAGGCCGTTTTGCTTGCCGCTACGTGTCACTCGCGAGGTAACTTTCGTCGGAAACCCGACAGTTCTGTGAACGTAATGAAAGTCATAAAGGACAACGATTGCGGACGATTCGAGTGACCGTTTACCTAGCTCGGTGCTCCTCCGTACGCCTAGCGGAAGTAATTAAAAGGTCAGTCAATATTTTTATAAAGGGGACCCATTTGCTGTTAATTCAAGGCTGAGGTTTCGATAAAGGTGATTCTCCTCCGCTCGATATCCTCGCCGGATATGCGGTAGAGAAGGTAATGGAAATAATTTTCCATGATCTTCTAGGATACACGATAAGGGAGCATTATGTTGCGTTGAATTTCCCGGTCCAATAATGGGAATAAGAAAATTGTATAAGCTACTCTGCGAAGAGACCTTGCCATAAAAAGGTACCTCCTGAACATTTTACCTTCTTCGATATCGCCCAGGAAATTCGATTTGCCAAGTTAATTCACTGTATTTGGTCACTGGAGATTGCACCAGGAATATAAGCTGTAAGAAGAAAAATCCGCAGTTACCTAGAAGTAACTTAGTTCAATGCAATGTCGCACGACAAGCAGCTGTAATTAAATACACGTCCTAGCCTTGAAGACACAATGGAGCGCGGCGTGGAGCCGTCTTAGTCCCACTTCGAGCCATTGTCAAGTGAAGCATGTACAACATACATTATTAACGTGCATTATTCGCCCAAGAATTCTGCCCCAATTATCCTCAACATTGCGCTAAAGAAGCCTATTCGGGAGTCCACCTGCAAGGGATATCTTTGTAATTGCAACGACTAAATGAAATGCAGTCATCTGGAAGGAGTCCAAGAGACGTGATCACGGTAAAAGTGGGAAAGTTAGGGACACGGCTTAATCGGAGAAAGGGAAATGCCAATTTTCCAGCGAAACCCGAGACGATAAAGGAAACCTCTCACGATCTTTGCCTCTCTTTATATTCTATAGACGTGCAGTCGCGATAAATAAAAATGCGTCCGTGGTACGGCATCGGCTAATCGAGTGCACGATATCGAGTACTCTAAATTATCTCCCGCTCTTCAATTCTGAGAGGGCCCTCGATCTTATCGGAAACGATAAGGATAAATGTCTATCGACTTCTGAAACGTATTATTCCCGGTAAAAATGTACATTTTTACGTAGGACTTTCATACGAACCCCACACGTGCGTGGATATGGCGGAAGAGGTCGCAATCCCCTCACCGCTGTCGCTTTCAATTTTAAGGAAAGTCTCCTGCCTGCTCAATGAGCAGTTCAAAAGGAAACTTCCCTGTTGTTCCTCTCTTGGACGCGCCTCTTCCAACGCTCACGTTAACGCGTATATGTGCGAACGCATGCGTTACATTCTGATGACGTTTCCATGCAGCCAGTTGTTATTTAGGACAGCACATATCTCGCCTTTGGCCCGAAACACATGTGAATGAACACGGGTGCCGGTATACCCTGCCTAGTTCCCATAGACCTGTGACAAATGGCCCCACCGACACCCCGTAGCCGACCAACGTACGTCAGCTAAGAAATAAATGAAATGTCCCTGCACCCTTCGAAAGGATCTAGGAATCCGAGCACGCCTTTCAAGATCACTCGCAGCATCCAATATCTCCTCGCATTGCACTTTCGTACAATCATTCGAACACATTTCGACCGACCTTAACACATTCGCGACCGCTGACGTGAATTCACGTCATATTAAATTCTAATCCTGATTGCCGCTGACGTGAATCACGTCCATAACGATACACGATACAAGTTTGCGGCAACCCGTTTCATAATTTCATTATTTTCGCCGGTATTCCATATTTGAAACGGAAAAAATTTGCCGGTCGCGAATGTGTTAAGCGTCGAATTTCAACTCCTTCGAGACGAAACATTCAGCAGAAATGAATTCCTATGTAATCTTAAATTCAAATAAATATTTCTCCACTAATACTTTCCTCTCCCCGTACAAGTTGCGTCGAAACGCCATTCATACTCAACCCCATAGATGCTAAAAATTAATGCTCCGCATTTTTTTTCAGGTCCTAACATCGGAGATGGTTCATGGCAACGGCGACCGGATCGGTAAGCGTTCCCCTGGAATGAGACCCAATCGCGTCACGATCATTCAGTCTTAATAGCTTTTCTCATTTCCACGACGTTTCCACTTAAAACCTAATCAACGCCCTCTATCAGTACCCCCCCTACTTTCGAATGTATCTCTTGAAAAATTTTCCGAGATTCCCAAAACCTCATTCACGGAGTGACTTTAGGGAAAGTTAAGAAAACTTCCACCGGAGCATTTTCTCCGATGCGCTCTAAATACTGGTCTGGGAAGCGGACCCTTTTTCATCCCCCTTCGAGGATTTCGGCAGGGTTTTCTCGAGGATTTTCGAGGAGGCATTCACGAAGGCGCTTCGCCGTAGTGAATTCGACGAGCCGTGAGTAGGCACGGGCTCGGGCTCTATTCTGGCCGAGGCGGTATAGTGGCGGTATTATTAATAGAGATTAAACTCCGCGTCGTGTAGTGTCGTGTGCAGGGCGTCCGCAGCTTTCCCGCGCAGAGCTTCTCGTGCAGCCTCGCGCTCAAGACAGTCTGACTCACGTCGTGTCACGATCCCTCGAGTGGTCTCGCTCTCTCCGGCCGGTTCTTTCTCTCCCGGAGCGCGCATCCGAGAGCGCGGCCCACATGCGCGCCCGGCTCGTGCACGTGCAAGAGTGAGATCGGTCGCGCGCGCGCGAGCCTTTATATACGGGCGCGCCGTCGTGCGTGCGCGGAAGCGCGCATCTGTGCGAGTGCGCAGCCCGCATTGCGCGCGGCGAGCACGTCGCGCGAGTACATGGATTCTCGGATATCGCCAATTGGCGCGGCCGTATCTCCCTTAATTAGCGATGCGCTTCTTTCCCCGTGTTACTTAACCCCTAACTAAATGCAACCTCCGCAGTGCCGCGAGGACGTGTGCGTGCGCACCGCGAGACGCGCCCACGACGCCGGGGAGTGACTTTAATCGTGACTTTTGATGGGCCAGTTGATCGTGACTTTTCCGTGTCAGTGATACCCGTCCGTTTCCTTGTAGGTACATCCTCGCCGTGCTTCTGCGAATCGCGGGTGAACGACCGAGTAAAGTGTAAAAGAGGTGGAGGGAAGATGGGAGTTAATTCGGGTTTAGGACTTTTTAAAGGTCTTTCTTTCCCTGGCAATGGCTTGTGACGAGGGTCTAGGGGGTATCGAGGGGGCTACCTAACGTTCGCTTCTATCGAAGGTTTTCCTTTCGTTAATTATCACGCTTCCGTGCTATATTCTCGTCGGGTTGCTCGTAAGTGCTCTTTTAACTCCGCGACTTGCGCGCCAGTTTCGGAATACGCGAAAGACGCGACAGCAAGTATGTTTTTAGGGACGCGTGCATCGACCGGTCTCGGTTCCATATGTATGACGGTTCCGCCGTGTCGCGTAAAATGGGACACCATGTATAATGCAACGATCTCGCATTTTATCACGGTAAACGATCGTTTCCACGTGTAATCGTTGGCTTCGCGAGTGCGTCCGCGCAGGCGCCGACGTATCCCGGCGGAAACGCCTACATGTGGAAACCATCGGGCAGGATTACACCTTATTGTCGGCGCAATATTTCAGGCGTTGATTGATCTACAGATATTCCGTGACGCGTACTCGATTTAAGCCTTCGACGCCCGGCGTCTTTGCGCAACATGTTTCCCAAGAACAAACGATATCAGGGAGAAAGTGTCGCCGTAAGAATGAAATTGGACATTTTCTTAAGATAATTGCAGTCCTCCGAGATAATGAATTTTTTATTTTCCTCGACGTCTTTGTAAACATGTTTATCCATGTCTCGCGTCAATAGCTGGTCGATTGCATAGCTCGTCGATGATCCGTTTAACGTCGTCCCATTATGCCGGCTTGAAAGCTGCAGTTACTCCGCAAGTACCTCCTCAAGACTCCGTGGCTCCGTGAATACTTATTTATGTCCTCGTACTCGCGCAGGAGAAAATAATAAGTCAAGGAATGCCGCAAAAATAGAACCGCGAGAATTTTGCTGACCACGTCAGTGCCGGTTTTCGCGCTTCTCCGTCGGCTTTTTGTACCGCGCATTTTCCCGAGTACGGGTGCAAACGGATATACGGCAGTAACGTGCATTTAAGAGAGAATACTTTTTAAATACCGGATGGAAATGGAATTTTTTTAACGGTACAATTTCTCTAGAAACGTCAACGCGCGTTATGATTATTTAGAAAATGTTGGTACGAGGAGAGTTCGGTGCGCACGTGGTCGTGCCGGGGCATTAAAAGACTCTTTGAAAGTTCTTGCGAGGTCGTTCCTCTTCTATATAAAGGCATATCGTGGATTACACTGAGGAGAGTACGTAACGTACATGTACACGCGACAGGGGAATATTGCCGATATCTCTCGTAAACTGGACATATCGGCGATTTCACATACAACTACCAGCTGGTTATGCGAATTGCCGACAATCAGCCGGTCAAGCTGGTTTTATTCGGTGTTTACGAGCACAGAGGAATCTCGCGATGCGATAGCGCGAATCCTGAGAGGCTGCGAATTTAAATTCACCATAATGGATATTAACTACCGGGCATAGTTAATTGCAAATATTAAGATCCCAAAGGATATCAAATTGTGATAGGAAAATTTCATGGCACCTTAGCTGTTTCTATAAAGAGATAAAAAAATACGCACTTTGAAAACACAGTATTCGCTCCGTAATGGGATCGATTAATCATTCGAATCGGTTTCGAAAGTGCCGCTTCAGTCCAAGATTTATAAGAATCTTTCTTTCACGTGTACTCGGCACAGCAATGCTCTGACCAGAGAAAATCGATATTCCTTTAATTGAAGAAATAAATGAAATTCAGCTCCGATTTATACTACGTGACAAGACCTATTTACCACCGGTGTCAGATTAACAGATCTGGCGCAATGCTGGGCGACAATTTTTTCAACATTAAATCGGCTTCCGAGGACCGTGTCGGTCATTCGGAAAAAACTCTGGGAAATTTCAATGAGAATTAAAAAGCATTAGACGTGCAGGGTAATCCCTCGCGGCATAATTATTTCCGGCTCGAAGCGATCCCCGTTTCTTTGGCCTGCCTACAACGTTGGCGTCATTTCCGGTCGATGGACGAGTCGAGATGAACCTGACCGGAAGTCGAGAAGCGCAGCTTCGAGCTGCATAGCCGATGGGCATTTTCGAGCATTCGGAGGCCGACTTAATGCCTTTACAGCCGTCGATAGATTCGACCGCTCGGGCACGATTGACTCATTACTCGTTGCAATTTCATCGCTCGAACGCTCCGAGTGACGTAATTCCTATTACGAGCGGAATCGAGGGGGATTGAGCCAAAAAGTAGATCATGAGTCTCAAATGTCCGCGGTCCGACGTGATAATAATTGGTGTAAGGTCATTTAATTGCTTCAATTGCGATGGGGCAGTCCATCGAGTTAAGTAGAAATAAAACTCCATCAACGATCCGGCGTATCGTGCCGATAATTTCACTTCCTGTACCTTAGAGACCGTTAAGGCAATGAAACCGGCGAAGCGTAATATTTTCGTGCAATATAATAAGCATTTCGATGTATCTTGGTACTTGAATGAATTCCAAGTTAGAAGATCAGTTAATGTATTTACAGTTTCGGATATGAAATTCCGCGATATTTTGACGCGTGCCCTGACACGTCATACTAGACGTAACGTTACTCAGAATTATCGGATGACTCGAGTCATACAATGCCTTAGAGATAACCCGTAAATGGCTCATTTTGAACCGGGATAGAAAATCTCGGATGACCGGTAGCTATGACTAAACTGCAGTTAAAGATAAACTCGCGCTGGCTTACAGTGCCAAGTAAAAAAAAAAAATTGGCATGATCAAAATACTGTACCGAGTAATAACCACTCGACATAAGAATGGTTTAACCGTGAATTCTCACAAAACTGCGCGTATCTCGAGAAACTCTGTTAATTGTTCCTTGATAATTCATCGGCATGATTCAGTTGTACCGCCACTTCCTTAAAGTAAAATCTGCAGGCAAATACCACCCCTTGAGTGACTCACTTTGTATAATTTTAAAGACGCTTTAAGAATAGGCACAGCGGTATGGTACGGAGTAAAAAAAATATGCACGTATAAACTATTTCAGTCGGCTGATTTCAGATGGGGGGAGGTTAAAGTTAGAACTCATTAAACAACTATGCGAAACAACTCCGACCACCTCTTTCACGTCGAACGCGTTAATCCGCGGTATCCTCGATACACCTTAAAAAATGACTTACTACTTAGCCTACCACCAGCCCCAATTAAAGAAAACTGCTATATGCCGAAAATGCATTCCGCAATTTTCCCTATTTCATACCTGGGGTATAATTCTTGAGAATAAGGGACAGAATAAATAAATGAATTCTGCGTTTCGCTTATTTGTATTCGGTTTATCGGTGCGATGGATAAACGTTGCACCTTTGGCCGTCTCTTTATCGCAGCATACTCTTTCAGCGTTAATCTGGCCGAGGGCTCTCGGCTCGTCGGAAGTGCACGCGCGAAGTACTCCTTCTCTAGGTGCTCGGAAAGCTCGCCACGTAGGTGCGTGAGACTTTTATGAATGGTGCGTCGCAAAGCTCGCGGACGAGTCAAGGGAGTGCATCGAGTTGCAGCGGAAGAGGCAGAAGCGCTCGCTTACGGCGCACATTACGGTGCAGGTAACATTCGCCCACCGAGACATCCCAGAGACGTAGATTGAATTAACCGCGGTCAACAGGGACTCGATGTGAGCCAGACTGTGAAGTGCCGCACCGTGTGAAACCAGCTAGTGAAACCATCTAGTGAAACCATCGGACGAGGGGGATAAATTTGATCGGAGTGCAAGTTACGGGGCGGATCCGATCAATGAAGCTGAAGAGTAAACGGCTGATGACCGCCCGTACCCAAGAAAGGGTTTGAGTCAACCTCTCATGGGTCTAGAATAAATTGCAACCAGCGTAAGGACTGGTAGGATTATCCAAAGGATATTTTCGCCTAAGGTGCGACCCTAGATGTTCATCGGACATTTAGACCCCGGCACGGCGGGAACCGAAAGTACCGCATCCAAGGTATACTTATACACGCGGTAATCAAAAGTGCGGAACTAATCAAAACCGAGCGAAGCGTGCCGTACTCCATCTCCGGTGGAGTCGAACGGCGGCCAATTGCGCGTCTCTCGCGATCAGTAGCCGGGATCGTATCAATGTCGCGAGGAGACGTAAATCGGATGTGCGGCTAGCCGATCGAAGACGGGATATCGCGAGCTGGGAAGGTTCTTTGAATATTTTTTGTGCGTCTCGAGTGGTCGATCGGAGGCGGCGTGTGCATCGAGTCGCGATCAAAAGTGCTGCTCGAGAGCGCACGGCGCTTCGTCGTCGAAGTTGAACGAGCGATTGGCAGTATTTGGTGACAATCGATGTCGCAACGGGACGCAACGTCGGGCTCGAGGCTCGAGTAGGAAGAAGCTGCCGGGTCGGGGACTCGGATAAGGCGAAAGAGCGAATCCGAGGAGGCAGCAGCGGCTAGTATGCCGCTGTGATAAGAAGGGCGCATCCAACAGCGGCAAATGATGCTAGTGCTCTTGCTGTGCGTCATCATGAAGATTGCAGAGTTCTCCGTGGGGCGCACCGTCAGTGCACCCTTGCAGGTCCCCGTCAGGCCCTCCGAAAATGGGAACCGGAAGCGACAGGGCCGACATCGCGGCCGCAAATCGGTCGACAAGTCCGCGCGATTTCCCCGAAAACGTAAGATGCAACTCGGGATTATTTTTCTTCTACCTCTCTCCGAACGCCCCTCGCGCTTTCTAACACCTCTGCACGCGTGGGTGTACTAACTGCGCTAATCCACTACGTGTGTTTGCGAATTGCTGGCGATAAACTTGACCGGTGGAGTCAGACCCCGCCGATGGTGCCAAACGTCATTTTGCTGGCATACCCAAGAGCATCTGATATTATACCGACAGAAATATTCATCACAGAATAGTAGCAATGATAGTATTAAGAATGAAACATTTCCATGGAACAATTTTACCTTATTGGTGGAGCAAGTTTGCGCTACATTGTGTTCCTATTGGACTAGTACGGTTGTTGGTACTTGCGTTCAGTTTGTCTTTTTCCCGGATTTGTCGCCTTGAAGTTTACCCTGGCAGAATGACGTTCGGGGAGCCAAATGCGAATTGCAAAACACTGTTCCGTAGCTGTGAAAATATTACTTTTTAATTCGGTCCTCGTTGTGATAATATTGTCCCACGTGTCAACGCGTGTCGTTTAAGTTACTAACCGGTGAATTTATTTGAGAAAAGAGGGTACTCGTTTTTAGGACAGATAGCCCGGGAACGCTTTGAAATAGGGCGGCCGTTTTGGCCGATTTTATTTCGTGCCCAGCCTTGGTTATGCAACAAGAACAGAGATTTTTGTTACGAGAGTAATGAGAGGATGTGACGGTTTGACAGAGTGAGTGAATAAACGGTCAATCTAAACACTTCATTTGATTTCGCCCCTTCGTCCCGGCCGAAGGACTGCACGTATGTATACATGTTGGAGATGATTGTTGATTTTAATGCGACGGAGTGCACATTATTCACTTCAAATTGATATTAATTTGCCTGATGAGGCGACATTTCGAATGGAAATATTCGAGCTGATTGCTGTGCAGGATAGTAGAACGGAGGTTCGCTAACGTTAATGCTCTTCCGGCTGCGACCTCCAATTTGTATTGGGAGTAAACATTGTAGTCAATTAAAAGGAGAGCGAAAAATCGAAATGGTTATTAATGGACATTTTAAAAACGATGTTCGAGGTCGTTTGTCGGCATGGTGTAAGGCAACACACATAGCGTCGGGGCGTCTGTCGTAATCTGGCGCCGTTACTCGCGCCAACAGCTTCTCTCTCTATATCATATTATACCTCAGAGTTTAACATCTACAGTGCCAATCCTCTCGGCCGTTCGTGCAAAGAGCGATTCAAGTACGTGGAAAGAATTTTTATAACAACTTTTTCCTTTAATCCGTGCTCCAATTTCCCGACAGAATAAAAACACGCTCCCGAACTTCGTAACGCTTGAGTGACGATTCCTCGAGACGTCTATTTTCATTTTTATTCCACCTACCACGTGGACTCTCTTTTTCAATCTTTCCCTTAAATCCCTCCGCTTATTCTTACTCGATTTCTGGATAATCCGTTAGTAAATTACATGCATTGAGGTAGTGATGCCACTCGATCCGATTTTTTGCACCTTCCACCCGTACCACTTCATTGATTCACCTTATTTCTTTTTTTCACACACCTTTGCTGTGTTTTTATCTAAATATTAATAATATAAGCAAATTTACGGTATTACTAGTGTCACATTTTATTACCGTGGTTACATTTGATCTCGACGGAAATGAATGTAAAAATTGAGGAAGGCGCGAAGGCTAATACCGTTCTACAGGCCTGCAAAGCTTCACCAACATTCGTTAGAATTCCCGGCAGCGATGCTCGAGAATATCGTGAGAATCTCTGCGCTTCATTGAAAGTAAACATTTGTGTACATCTACCGTTGTCCCCTGGAAAGAGGGCACCCACACAAGAATTCAGGACGTGTTTGCATTAAGCATTCGCTGTACGATACACTCTGGTAGCGACTGTGCAACTCTTACATAGGCGTAGGCACAATGAGTTTCCAATCGCTCATAGCATTGGCTTCGTCGATCGGCACAGTGTATTGAGCTAACTGTCACCGTACGGACCCAGCCTGGAGAGGTTTCCGATCATTTTTGCCCCTAAGCTAAAAAAAAATGAAAAAAGAACTCGGATAACCCGCGATTCCACGTGAGCAATGCAATTGGAAGGCTGTTGGTCCAGGTAGGAGATTAAAACGATAAAAGTAAAATATACAATTAAATCCAATTTGTCCGCAATCTTCCGCCGTCAGCGTTAAAGCCTCCTGCAACTCGTAGAATTTAATTGAAAATATGAAATGATATTTTCACGGTAAAAAGAAAATAGAAATAAAATCACGTCGAAATTTCACGCGTTCTCCAGTACGGATCCAAACGGTCGAACTTGGACAAAACTCTTATTTGGTTAATCGTCGTCGTAAAGAAAAAAAATATACTTTTGTCTCTTGTCGAAGAGCATGATCGACGATCAATTTTTGTCATTTACTTATTTAATGTACAGGCAACGTTTGCGCGAAAGCCAACGCCTCTGATCAATCTCTCGTCCTGTCGATCGGCGAGACGTATACGTTTTTTGCCATGAAAACATCATTGTCTCCCTCGCTAACGGTGATATAACTACACCCACGTATTTGTAGCAGCTAAACCGCATATGAAATTGAGGCCACCAAGAATACGGCGAAGCATCGAATTCATTTCGCGAGCGACAATTCAAAGTGTCCTTTATATCCGTCCCCCCGACTTGACTCCTTGTCCGTTCTTTATGCTCGTGTTACTTGACCTCAGCATTGAATTCGCTTTAGGGGAGCATAGATTTTCAGTGGTCTTTTGACGCGAGTTAATAATAGCCTCGATCTTTGTCCTCGCTCCACTGGTGAACTTGGAGGATAATGTCTTTCTTTCTTTCCTTTTTGTTTCTTTTCCCGCGAGGCAATAGACGTTGCGCAAATTTAAAGCGACGTGAAACTCCGAGGAAACATTTCTCCCATAATCTCACAAATAAGCTAACGGCCTTCGATTACTCCACAAACCGTCAAAAAAGATTTTCAATATCCCTACGCTAATTGAATATTTTTGTAATATCAAAGATCAGCCCAAACAATACTCGACGCGCGGCGATTGATTGAAATCGGCCGATAGGTAATATCGTTCCGATTAAAAATCATTTCGGTCTCGAATTAATTTATCGATACGTCATTTCGTTATTTCCTGCACGCTTGACACTCAGCTTGACTCCTTGTACGTTATTTATTCTCGGGTTACTTGACCTCGACACTGAATTCCCTTTACGGAGTATAGATTTTCAATATTCTTCCGCCACGAGCTAACAATACATAAGCCAGATCCTCGTCCTCGCGTCTCGCTGGTGAGCTTAGGATATAATCCTCTGTTTACCGAAGAATAGGCATCAGGCCGATTTAAAGTGTTCCTTAGGATTAAGTTACGACCTAACTATAGCTCCGAACTTAATCCTCGTATTTCTCGTCGCCTTCGGTACTACAGTTAACAAACCTGACCCATTCGTCACGCTGTATTAGCATGCATCGGGAAACAGTGCGATCCATTTGTCCCGATATCTGCCACATGAGTTATATCCCAACAGTCCAACTGCGTAACAATATCGTACTTACCTTGTAACAAGCCGATCTCAAGTTTCAAGTGGGTGCCTCGATCCTTCGTCCATCATCTTGAACTAAAAGAGCGACGTTCAACATAACCCTTAAAACAGACACCGAATTAAATCCAACAAATCAATCCCGCCCTCAATAAAACTTCATTCCCGAACATGCGCGACATTCAAAAGTTGCATAATTTCTAAACATTTGTCCTGGCAATATCAAAAACATCCTCGGGGATTTGAAAGTATCTCGAGCATCGTTTCCGGATTCGCCTCGCGTTCGCGGCACGGCGCGGACGGTTTTCAAACGCGCCGCCATGCGCGCGGGTCCGTTCAGCCAATCGGGAGCGAGGAGCGGTCACGTGACGTCGCGCCCCGCCACATGCACACTCATGCATGCACCAACTCCGCGACTCCGCCGTCTCGTTCCCCGCGGCCCAATGAACCACGGGAAACGGAGCGAACATTCCACGGAGTCTGCGGAGGAGACCGGGTGATCAGGGCGGAACGGAGGGCGGAGAGGGTGGAACAACGGGGTGGAATGCGTGGGTGCTCCGGCTACTTTCAAGTGGCGCCAGGTACCAGACGAGACACTACCGTCGGCCATTGTTGCCAATCGCCCACCGCTCGTTATCGCGGCTGCATCCGCGCGTATCGGCGCGTGCCACGGTCGAAGGGTGGCTCGGGGTCGCCTGCTCCGAATTGGCACCTAGGAGCCAGGTGTGTCATTGGCCCAAAGCGGTCCAGGGGAAAGATGTCGGCCGGTCGTTGGCCAGTGCAACGGCTGCGTCGACGGTGGATCGATCGCGGGCTCGTCATGTAAGAAGGTAGTACGCCCGCGGTTGGAACTCGCCTGACAGTCGATTATTCACGAGCGCGCACGACCTTCGCTCTCTTTCTCTCTTTCTCCGGCGGTCCCGTCGTCGCTTTTCTTTACGACGACGGATGTCCCATCCTCCGTTCCTCGTCAACGCGGCTCTGTCGCATCGATTCTGATGTATGTACGACGAAGGTCCCCGATTAAGGGCGGATGTTCGATCGAATGCTTTCGGGTCAAGGGGGATGATGAAAGGAACTGCGGCGATATTGTTACCAAGGTCGTCAGCTGATTGTTTTCCATGTGGTCCGAGAGGGTGTCAGAATGGAACATAAAGTTGGGTGACATGGAAATTCGAGTCGTGTTAACGGAAACGCAGTTCGATAGGAATTTAGTTAGTCTTTGGTGGGTGGATTGTGAATTTTGGAGGGTGAAAGAGACAATAGGGTCTGAAAGCCTATTTGGGTGGATTTGAGAAAGTGAATGTGATATCTTTTATAAATGGATTGTCAACTTAGGTCAAGATTGCTCGTTCATTTTTGAGTCTATGATGATGTTCTTTTATTAATGTTATTGGTGCATTCGTTTTGATACATCTACAGTAAATGTAAGGGGTGAATTTCTATTGAATGGCTTTGATTCGCAAGAGATGGTGGAGGGAACGGTCCCAATCTGGGTACGGAAGTAAAAAGTTAAAAATGGCATTCTATCGATATTTAACCTACCGGTATCTATCGATGGATTGTGATGTGTTAAGTGCCAAAAAAAGAAAATGGACTTTGATCCTGAAACTGAATCAGCTACTGATAACTGGGTGCTGCATTTTAAAATGTAGACCATTTAAATGTAGCATCGATAATTATATTTAATGGATAGAAAAGAGTTTAGTTCTATCATTGTTCTCCCCATTATCATTTTTTATTATTACTGCAATTGTGGCATTACCTGTTTTTTAAGAATTTTTTAAGCGTACTTTTTCATGTATAACTACCAATGATTTGATATTTATGCACTATAAAGCAAATGAAATGTGATAATTTATTCTCAGGTGCCGGTGGGGGAGCTGCAGTAATGGAAGATCCACAAACCCCTGGTTCTGATTGCAATTCGAATCCTGCAACGGATTCCATCACTCAGGACCTGGTTAATTCAGAGTTCATTCAGGATAATTCTGAATACCAGTGGTTTGTTGACTACAGGTAAATATAATTTTCAATTCCATTCTCTTTTAATAATTTAGAACATTCCGCGATGATACGTCGATTACTTATATATTATGAATTCAATTGTATCCGCATCTCGATATTGACATAACGTTTAGTTACAGAGATGGAGCGCTACCGGTTCACCCCAGTGTGCTCACTTCGCTATCTGCATCATATACCCAAGATGATCTGGGGTACTATGATGATCTCGTTCGAAATTTGGATGCTAATTTGGCAGAAGTCGACATGGAAAGTTTTCGGACTGCAGATATTCATACTCTCTTTACTGCTCTACCTGTCATGTGCACTGATCCAGTCCAGCACTCGGAGGTATTGAATTCTATTATAGCATTTTGTATACAAAGGAACGAGTGAATATGTTAAATACAAAAGAGACTGACAATGATTCATTAGGTCGTTGGAAAAACAGAATAAGTATTGGATCCATGGTCCATGATGCTAATTAAGTACTTTTTAATTATCCATTATCACACAAATCATGTACAAGTTATACGGTTAAAATTTCTTATCAAAAATAATGTTTCGTGGAAGGAGTACATTAATTAAGACACGTCATATATAGTTTGACATATAAATTACAAAATTCAATTTGTTTTCTTCTCGGGATAGTCTAACTATCAAAGGGAAAGGTATGCCAGTATTACTGGTTCTGTCATGGAAAAGCTTGACTTTGGCTCTTCGATCAGTCCTCATAGCAGCAGCCAGGTATGCCAATGGCTGCTTGATGCATCAGAGTTTTGCTTTTATGTTATGTTGTTTTGTCATTTTTGTTTATTATAATTTAAAAAGCTAAAAATTATTGTTCAAGCTGCTATGAAAATGAAATTTCAAGATACTAACGCATGAATTTTATTGCTATTTCATCGTCCGCATGAAATACACGTTGAAGTACAAATATACAGGGCCGTCTTTATAAATGAAAATGCCTGAATATCTTTGTTTAAGGAAAATGCAATTGTACACAAAATTTTCTATATGATATAAATAAATATATCTTTTTTCCTAGGGAGAAGACTCGGCTTGTTCTACCACAGATACGATATCCATATGCAAGTCTTCTTTATTATTCTCCCCCGTAAAGGAGACACCTGTATTGCCTCCAGGGGGCAGTTACAGTGTCGACTCCCTGGACTGCGAAGACATGTTACTTACGTGCCAAGCGAACAATAAAAATAATTATACTATCGCTTTTGAAGGCAGCATTGCAATGTATTCCGATGGTTTTCAAGATTCCGATACCCAAGGTGAGTTTGTTATGAATATAATTCAACCCAAAGTCTATAAAGCCATGAATGGCCAGAATGATCTAATACAATAAACCAGCGTAATGTTGAACTAATTGAAATAATATATATTAACAAATTGCTTTCAGAAAAACAAAAATTATATGATTCTCCAGATCCCTACTACGACGAAAAGTTGGATTTAAAAAATATCTTGGACTTATCGATGGCATGTTCCGACTCTAAAATTTACACAACCTGGAGTAACTTGAAACGGTCATCCATGAATAATGCAATGACACGGCATCCTTCTGGTAATAATAATACGATTCCAAACTTTTTACAAGGAAGTGGAAATATAGCATTAAACTCTGTAAAGAGGAGTCAAAGTTTGCCTGATCTTACTCGGACGCGTGATCTACACATTAATGTTCCACTCAATTTCTCGGTGAGTGCGGAAAAGAAAAAATAAATCTTGTGGTGCAAGAGGAATTATGAAAAACAATGTTGTATTAAATTTATTGGTATTTTTTACTCATCACTCTTTACAGGTTGATTCTGCGGAGTCAAATAATCATGCAGTAAATCTACACAGTTCTGGCTCCGTAATGAGCCGTTCGATGAACGAAGATAGCTCGGAAAGTGTGGAAAATGCCTCAACTGGGAAGAAACTTCAGAATTTAAGTTTGGTACGATTGTTTATGAAGCAAAAGAGTACGAGTGCGGAAGGGATGAGTCTGACTCTGGACCAGTCTGATTCTGTGAGTGACGGTGGTTGGCTAACCACGAACAGTAGCGACAGCGGAACTCACAATACAAACACTCAAATACAGAGACATAATATCAATAGCGCCTCTAATCATCAACATTCTGGTAACGACTTCTCCATTAACTGGGTCAAAGCTGATCAATACAACAATGGTGGTACAGAGAGCTTTACAGAAGCGTACGACGATGGTACGAAAAAAGCCTCGTCATTAAAAGAGTACAACAAGGATCCCGAGACGGATCCAGTTGACGAATTGAGCGAAAGCTTAACAAAATCTCTGTCTACTTTTGACAGTGACAGAGGTACCAGAGAACACCAAGAATATCATAGTAAAGTTCATATGAATTCAAAGCGTGGCTCGAAAGGTGCTTGGAAAAATTTGCCGGAAAAGAAGTATACTATTTCCAGGACAACTGGAATCCAGGCAAACGCTGAAGTCGAGGATAATGCAGTTCAGACATCGCTGGTCTATCCGATGCCTGAGGAGAAATCTAATAGCCAGCCAGCAGTACGCGAAACGATATTGAATAAAACGCCAGTATACGTTGTATATCCAAATTATGCTTTGCCAGACTTATCATTCCTTAATTCTAAGGATAGCACGTATGAGAACGTTGCACTGAAGCCGCAAGGCTTCGACAAGGGTGGAACGGATTGGAAGCGACCAGGTAGATCCAGTAGGCCTTTCTCTTGCAACGATATCGATGCACTTAAACAACGTGGATTCTCCCATGTCAAGGATTGGGAGTCGTTGACGTTCCTTTTACCAATTGAGTACAAAAAGATTCTTCACGACGTGCCAGAGGTACCAAAATATGTCAGACTTTCCGACGAAGTCAAAAAACCACTGTTCTGCCTTTCTCCACCTATGCGTCATAGGACACGTACATTGAGTGAAATACTCCCTAATAATACTTCTTCGTCTAGTAGTACCACTACGCAACCATCCTCCGGTTACAGAGGTTCCTCCACAATTCTCACAGACTCGGCGAATCAACAGGGGTCGACGAATAACGCAACCAATCCACTGTATCTATATCGGTACGACAGCATCAGCTCGGAAGCAAGTCTAATGTGCCAGGATAGTAAATCGCAGAGACCGAGTACTCAGTCAAGAACGAACTTTCCTGCACTTCCTAAACGGTCTATTTCTTTGCCACACGGCGAGAAATCTACAAATCGCTTCACCGGTCTTAGCAAAATCCCTCCCAGGCCTCCGTTGCCCAGAAGCATATTGAGGAAAAACAGAGTTTCCACTAATAAGAGGTACAGTATGTTTGAAATGGGAGGTGTAGAGGAGGTCGAGGATCAATCTTCTACGGAGACCAACAAACGGATGTCTTTGCAAGAGCCGTACTGTATGAATAATGATATGCATTTAATAAGACGTGGGAGGATCATAGACTCGGAGAAGGACATCGATGAAGTTGAAGAAAGATATTATGCAGGTAGCTCTTTGAATTTCCTCACTCTGTTCAAAATATTGTATAACTTGTCTTACTTATTCTACATCCTTATGTAGAGAGGCTGAAGGAAGCTATTAGTCGGGGATGCGTGGACGCAGAGATAGATGTCTCCGATAACAGCGAAGACGACGTGAAACAATTGGAGGAATTCCTTAAACGCAGTGGGTTTTCATCCCAAAGCAGTGACGGGGATAGAGATGATCTCGATATTAAATTACGGTCTTATGTGAGAAAATTCTTAGCTCTTAAAATGAACAAAGACGTGTACAAGAACGTAGATATGTTGGAGTCCCAAAAGAAATCTGTCAGCTTCGCTGTACACCAAAGAAGAAGATATTTAGACAATAAGGTGAGATAGAAAGCGAAGAATGAACGAGAGTAATGATCGGTTATTCAATTTATATAATTTATACGTCAATTTCAGGCAAACGAGGTAAGCGGCACTTCTGTTGAACGGAACAATGTCGTTTCCCCGAATAGTGGTTTAAGCGAGATTCGAAGCGAATCAAGGACGATTGACTTGGATGAAAAGAAAAGTACGTCCATTTTGAGATTCTGAATCCAAGATTTCATTAGTATTAAATCGAAATTTAAACTTTGTCCAATATTTCAGAGATGATGAAGAGTACTGGTAAAGCAGTTGATCTGTTATTAAAGTATTGGAACAGTGAACCTATACAAAGTCGACAAGGCTACAACGATAAGAACGAGTGCTCGCAGATTTGTCTCAGTAATTTATGCCCGTCTCTCTACGCTATTATGTCCGATGGACTGAAACCGCATTTGAATTCAACGTTTGGACCGATAACGAACAGCGTCTGGCAAGTGGTTGAAGCTTCTTCTCAACAAGGTCCCCTCACCAAAACCTTAAACGAATTGGTGCAGAAGATCAACGGGGAAGACTTCATAACCGAAGGAATGCTCAAATTCCACGCATTCGTTTTCGGTCTTTTGAAGTAATTCATCTTATATTACCCGATGAAGTATAATTTAAAGAAAAAAAAAATGATAGCTTCTGACTTTATCCGAATTGCCTTTTTTCAGTCTACGGGCATTGGACGCGTGGTTTGCTTACCTTTGTACTCGTGAATCGATCCTAAGGAAGCATTACACCGGCAGCAGCCTCTTTGTCGATGCCTTGAGTAGTTCTACCGCCCGAGAAGTTGTCGAAACCTTTTTGGAAATCCTGCAGCCTCTCTCTTCATGCCCATTCCAGCTGGATCTTCTCTATCAGTATAGGCAACTTCACAATAGTTTTGGAAATACGATCAACGTGAGATTAAATATTTCTTACAAAATCTTTACAAATCAATATCTCCATGAGATAAGAAAATTCACTCACGGTTTTATGGATTTTCAGACCACCGTCCTCAGGAATGCCGAATCGCCCCTGGAACAACACAGTCACGTACCCACGGAAGGTCGAACGGATACTAACGCAAGTCCGAAGAAGATTCGACCGCGTTCCTACGTGGCTCCTACCTATGACCATAAACAAATCGGTGTACACAAAAACGACCTGGATAACCTAACCAAGAAGCGTTGGAGTCACCTTGGAGTCGGTTCAAAAGTGTTCCAAGCTCTTGATAAAGTAGCATCCGAAGATTCCGAAGAATACACGGACAGTTTGGAACACTCACCATTGAACAGAGCTTCATCGAGGAAGGCTGCAGCCACGAGAATGCGCAGCCCAGACATCAAGGCTGAAGATGAAGACTCGATCCCGGCTGAGTTTAAATTCAAGAAACTCCATGAAAAGTGGGAACTCATGATCAGCAATGAAGAACAGGCCGCTGCTCCTGCACCTCCATCTCCAAACAGGACTCCGACGAGCATAGGGAAATCCAAAATACCTCGGCTGTTGCCGTCTCCAACGAAACAGCCTTGCAATCTACCATTGGGGACCGGCAAGAGTGTAAAGTCTCCTGTATCCGGAATTCCTACACCAAAGAAAGTTCCGGCTATCCCAACAGCAAAGGGCGTGACGAAGAAACCAGATCTTCGAGGAAAGGACACGTCGGGACGTACGAGTAGGGTCGATCAGGACACTGTAGGTGTCACGAGGAATCATCTAATGAGGCCGAGTTCGTTGCCCTATAAATCACATGGGGTCACTGCAAAAGAGAAGAATACTATATCACCTCATCGCAGAGCTGCCTCTACGTCTCTACCAAGGCCAACTTCTATGGGGGCTGCTAGACACCCACCAAAACCTGCGCCAAAGTTAGTAAATATAAACGAGAGTGTTTACTATACATTGTGGACATTTCATGGGCCGTATACGAAATCCATTGGCTAGTTCTTAGAGCCATATGCGATAAGTTAAAAAAACGCGGGTTTTTCATATTACTCGAATTAGAATTCAATTCATTATTCAAAATATTATTCAAGTATCCTTAAAGGTTCCTGTAATGTTTATTTAAAGTGATCATTCAATTGTCCACTCTAATCTTAATTTCATAACTTGTGGTATCTTTATGACGTTGCAGGGAAGTCCGTACACTTACTCACCGATTACCCTCGGACAATGGTCACTTGTCCTTCGGGGAAGGGGAAAAGTTGAAAGTAATACTCGAGGTGGATAAGAAATGGCTGCTGTGTGCGAAAGGCGAGAGGAAGGGACTGGTACCGCGCGATTGCGTCGTACCTGTACAGACCTAACCCACGGCATGACGTTACGTACCTCAATTTAGACTACGTAACATTGAATTGACACAGGACGGAAAAGGAAACCTGGAGTAAACAAATGAAGGAACACGCGCGAAAGCCTGAAGTACGTGTACAGTGTATTAAAAAGGGAACGTTGACGAAATATGCGCATCAAGGATAATACCCCGTTCGACGCTACGCGTCTCGGTCGCATTACGCAGAAGAGAAAGATGGAACTATTAAATGCTTCGTTTATATCAAGTGCGATAGTATTATTATTAATGTCACTGGTAAGAAAGTAGAAATACCGCTAGTCATAGGCTTTCGAACCAGATTGTATTTAATTATTTGAACATATACTTATTTATAATCCGAATGTACATATATACAGTAACGACGCTGGCTAAAGTAAGGATGATAATGATGACTAGTAATAACTTATATGACATTATATTTGTAACTGTGATCATAGCGGATAGGCGAATAACTTTACCGAGGCGAAGCTGCATCAGACTCCTTGTTCGAAATCCGATTCTTCGAATGGTTTTATCTTGCAATGCTGATACCTGCTCGAGATATGTCGTACGCGCAAATTCTGTTTTTCGTTTCATCTGGATGTATAAATCACTACATTGGGAGCTTGTGATTCGTGATAACCACATTTTTTACTTGCTTTATGTATTATTTAATATGTGAATGCATAAAGTATAATCGAATAAAACTCATAAGTACAAGAATGGTGTCATTTTCGTCCCCCCTGATGCGATAATAAAAATTGCTATTAAATTGTCCACGGATAATTGTGCTCGTCATTTGAGACTAGCTCTAATGATGATGCCTTTCGATATTTCAATGGTATTGTTTTTAAATATTTAAAGAAATCCAGTGTTACCGTTCATTTGCATTGTACAAAACTGTATTATTATGGATTATTTCCGTGCAGTCTTACCATTCCCGGGCGGCCATAGTGGGATGAATATTAGATGAAACTGTGCTTGCTTCCTCCTAGTGTTCTATGCAACAACGGCACTGAAACAGGATCAATAAATGGTGCATCGGGCGTGCCGGCAGAAGCCGAGAGTAGTTTCCACAATGGCTGCTTATATTCCACGATATTCTCCCGGGTTCTGTAAAATCTTCATCTAAATCTTATTCTTGCAAGTTTAAATAATGCACATCTTTAAGTACAAGCTTCGAGGTTTAGTACGTAAGGGAAATAAAAATTAAAAGCAGAGATCGTTATCGACGTGATCGCTGACAATGCTTTTCATGCTAAGGTATCCCAATCGATGTATTTCCTTCCAACAGAGACTAACGATGAAGTTCATAGCTTTGTAAGTTCATATCCTCATTCTATCATAGGAACGGTAATTAAGAAAGGAAAACAACCTAGTAATTAAACATTACATCGATTCAGGTGGCGAGAGAGTAGAATCTTGGTCGCTCATCTACTCTCTTCCAATAATAATTCCTCCAATTCTTTCGCTCGAATCCCATATTCAATTCCGCAAAAGTGATATAAAAATAAATATCGAGATGATTAAATCATTTCGATGTCGGGAAAGGAGTTAAAAGAAAAGTTCTTTGAAACATCTGCGTACCGAGGTGAAGTACCAAGGTGTACCGAAGGCGCCCACGCAAAATCGGACTCGGCGAACAAACCGTGCGGTTATTTCAATATATTGATTTTATTACAAAATTCTTGTATTTAGGCTACAACATGTAATATAATAATGACGTTCGGTCTAAACCTTTACCGGAACAGAAGGTGAACCGCACCGCATTCGCTATTGCTCCGAAAAGTCGACCCGCTAGAGCTGCGCTTCGGGGAAAGCACATTTGTAAACGCAGGAAGAGTGCATAACCTGCCTAGTCGATCACATGCCATAATTATTACTAAGTCGCACGATGATTCTCAAGCCCTTTCCACATTATCGCCAAGTTCGTTACCTAATCGGAAAAAAAAACGAGCTTAAAGAAGTGCGCGCCATAGGAGCAACATTCGGAAGTCCAATCTAGGAAGAAATATAGTAATCCCCGCATCGTATCGGTGCACCAACGTAAAGTTAATTATTCTATGGCGTTATGCATCCGGCGTATGCTGTTCTATACATGACGTTCGAAGGACATCTTTCCAGTTACACCTTGAGGTTCATCTTCGGATGGATGAAATCACGCCCCGAGAATGTATTTTTAATAAATGCGACGCTAAGCCTACCTCGTGACATTCCACCGAGGTAGGGCAAGTTAACTCGTGTCTCCATAAATCCCGATTAAATTCTAAATTCGACGAAAGCCTGTATAACTCGGCGTCACGAAAAATTTCCTCAAATGCATTCTAATCATTTTGATTTCCCGTTTAACGTCCCCTCCGCAATGTCTTCTGCCTCGCCTCCGTCGTAAGCCCCTCTGCGGATAATTTTTAAGTTCCAGCCATTGAACGAAGTGTAACTGGGAAAGATGCTCGAAAAGTCTCCCCGAAGCGCCGCTCGGGCGTTAACATCCGAAGCCCAATCGAGACCGTAGATGGAAAGGCAAACGTTACATCGAGGTTACACGGTGTAAGTGTAAAAAACAATAAAATTAGTGGTATCGGCCAGACTGCGAGTCCTCGACCGCCTCGCGTGCAAACCTACCCCCCCGTGGCCGTTCACGTTAGAAATAAAGGAAACTATTCCAAGCCGCTAATCCTAAGATAATGTAATATCTTTCGTTTATTCATATAACTTCTATTTATATTAGGTGTATGCACGTACGTGTGATAACTAAAGAGATACATGATTTTCTGCTGCGCAGGTGCCACTAGTGGCGTAAGGACGGCCGAAGGACGCGAGACCCTGCCGAGCGCCCGTCCGGCGACACCTTAGATTCCGATATTTACTTATTTATATTTACCCGAGGTCGCAATCCCCCCGAGCTTTCGAAATTCGAGCCGAAGCCAGCTCGTCGTTGGCCGAGGCCGCGCGCTTCGCCGCCAGCCCCTCTCGACTCCCTCCCGGCCAACGACTGCCCTCGTTCACCACGTCCCATGCAAACGACGCTAATCGGTATAAATTACGAATTACGTGAAATCAATATATAATCAGTCCGCGAATACAACGTACAAAGTATGAGTACGCATCACATTGCACACCAAGCAAAAGGCGGAACCTCATCGGGTCGATCGTCGAGTTTCAAAAGCTTCGAGTCCTTAGACCCTTTGCACTGCAAATTATAGAGAGATGTCGATTCCCGATGTCGAGTAAACCCTCGACAAATCCGTGCAAAGGGTTAAGGTACGTCCCTTTCCCCCTCCTCGCTCGGCAACATCGATCCCGAGTCCTTCGGCGAGTCGCAACTATATTTAATGATTCTCAATATGTATAATTATATGTATATCAAGTAAAATTTGTAAAATACAATGTGTTTACGGCCTATTATAAATTCTTAATCTTCCTCTTTATAAATAATTATAGGTAGTAGTCTTCACACCATTTGTTAATTTATTAATAATCAATTACCGCTCCTTTCAGATTTTTGTTTAATTTAAATATTACATTTGTGCCCTTTGCACTAATTCATTTTAATGGTATATTCTGCGTGACTGTGTATATATAATACATGTAATATATATCTATATATATATATAACTATATGTATATATATATAATCTAAAGGACTTATCGTATATTTACATATATACACGTAACAACGGCCCATCAGCCGAATTTGTCAATAATTTCCCCTTACCACTACGCAACCGGTTTTCGTTAAGCGAACGCAACGTTGGCCGATAGGAGAAGACTACACCGCTACCGGGATTTCTCTCCGCAGAGACCGTAACTCTACATTTCGCGCGTCCCTAAAAGAATAATTTTCGATTTTTAACCTTTAATCAAAGTGTCCCCTCGGCTCCAGCTTCCGGCCGGAGGCGGGCGCGAAGCCGCTTCGTCTCTCGAGGCACACCCTTCGAAAATGCACGCAGTTTGGACCTTCCCTGTCGATCCGAGCGAGAGACCGTAGAAAGAGACGCGACAAGAAAACCGTGAAAAATTGACCGACATCGGTGGCCTCTCGGCCAATCGTGGATTTCCGCGTCGGTGGCCGGCCGCTCGAGAGACCGTCCTCGCCGCACCGATGGCTCGAGAGGGCGGAGGGGGCGAAGGCAGGCAGGGCGCGCCGTGCTCTATAAAATTAGCGAATCATAGAAAAAAGGGTAGAAATCCAGCGGGCGCGCTTTCCCCGCGACTCGCGTCTCGCGGCCGAGGGTCGCTCCGCAGGCAGGGACGGAGGGACTCCTCGCGAGCCACCTAGGTCGACCTCTCGGGCCGGGAGGAAGTCGAAGCGAAAGCCGCGCCTACTAGCTACCGAGTCAGGATTGGCCGCGGCCTCACTCATGCTACGAATCGAGGTCGTCCTCGCGCTGACTGCTAAAGTACGAGACCAGGCCGCCGAACTCGCCCGAGCCCTCCTCGTCGTACTGCTTGCCGGGGCCACCGGGCTCGCCGGGGTGCGGGGGCTGGGGGTTGGGCTGCCCCTGGGGCGGGGGCGGCGGCTGGCCCTCGCCGGGGGTAAAGTGCTCGGCGGGGTACGGGGAGCCCTGGTAGGCGGCCGCGTCGTCGGCCGTGGAGAGCGGCGGCGGCGGGGGGTAGGCGCCGTAGTGGTAGTTGGGCGGCGGGGGTGGGTGGTAGGGCGAGAAGTTGCCAGGCGGCCGGCTGGGCGGCGGCGAGGGCTGCTGCATGCCGTGGCCGGCCGGCGAGGAGCCGGCGAAGGGCGGCATCTGGTGGCGGGGCCCGAGGCCGGCCGGGGCCTCGGGGGGGAAGCGCGAGAGCGGGGGGCCGGTGCGCGCGTATGGCGGCGGCGGGGGCGGGGGCGTGGGGCCGCCCTTGGCCAGGGGACTGCCGGCGGTCGGCGGGATCATGGCGGGCCCGGGCCCGAGCGGGGAACTGCGGTCCCGGCTGTTGATGGAGATGGGCCCGCCGCCCGAGGGCGAGGGGTCCATGGGGTGGTGGGCCGTGTGGTACATCTGGGCCGCGGGCACGCGCATGCGCATGGGCGGAGTGCCCGAGCGGACGGCCGCGAAGTGCGGCGGCATGGCCGGCTGGCCCGGTTGCCGGTAGGGTGAGGGGATGCGGCCGCGGGGCTGCAGGTCGTAGCCCGGAGGCCGTGGCCCCGCCATGAGCTGGCCGGCCGCATTCGGCCCGCCGAAGTACTTGTGGCCCATCGCGGCGGCCGCCGCGGTGAAGGACTGCGGGCTGCTCGAGACCGGCTGGGCCTGCAGCATCCTGGTGATGACGGAAGACTGTTGACTAGGCGGCAGCGGGTACCCGGGCTGCGTCGTGGTGGCGGGCGGTGGCTGCGGGTGCGGAGGCTGCGGCGGCGGCTGTGGCGGCTGGAGCGGCGGGCCCACCGCGGCGGGGCCCGCCGGCGGGGTGGGCGGCGCCGAGCCGGAGGTGCCGCTACCTGGAGTGGGAAGCACACTTGGGAATTGGTCGCGTTTAGCCCCCGGATCGGAGTCGGTCCCCGTCCCGACGGGCCCGAGGTCGGGCCCGGCCTTCGCCGCGGCTTCGGCAGCTCGGGCGGCTTCCAGCGCAAGAGTTTTCTTACCCTTGCCGCGCCCCCTTCGCTTGGGCTTGCTCGGCGTTCCTTCGGGATCGTATAGCTGCCCATCGGACGATCCTGTCATGACGACGGGTACGTGCCCCTCGGCTGTCTTCTCCGCTTCGGGAGTCATAACTGTAGGTAAGGTAGGATTTACGTTAGGAGATACGTTAGCCGTCACATTAACAGTTATATTAGGGCTTATGGTAGATGCTAAGACGGTGGCCGGACCCAAGTCCGGGGCACCGTCGCGTCGCATTTGCTCCGCGATGATCTCCGCTTTGCTGCGGCGACCTCGCTTCTTCTTCTTCGGGGCCTCACCGTCGGTCCCGTCGGGGGCGTTCGGGTCTCTCTGCCTTTCGGCCGCTAAAATCTCTAATGCCTTCAGTCGGGCCTTCTCCAACTTCTTCGCCTCGCGCTCTTCCTTCTTTTTCTTTTTCGCTATCTCGATCGCGGCCAGCTCCAGCTGGCGCCGGCCGTATTCCTCGTCCTCCATCATCATTTGCTCCAGCTGTTCCTCGTCGAGGTCGGCTAGCTCCACGGGGACCAATCCCGTCAGCGGACCCTCCGAGACCTCCCCCGCCACGGAACCCGACGCGGACATTGTCGTACCTGGTATTACGATTCCTTCGCGGACAACGGCCTCCTCCATTTTGACCGCCGCTCCCCCACCGGAGGCCTCCGTTCTATCCGCCTCCAATCCGCTCGATGGATCTTTAGGCTTCGTCGGGGGGATTATCGTCAGTTTCGGCTGCTTCGGCTTGTTCTTACTCCCTGGCTTCGGGCCCGGCTTCTTCCGCGGCTTCGCGCCTCCCTCGCCGCTCGGCGATCGGTTCTTGGACGCCGGGCTCTTGCTCTTTTTCGGCTTTTTGCTTTTCGGAGACTTCGTCTTTGGCTTCAGCGATTCCTTCTTCGGCGAGTATATGTCTCCTGAAAAGATAACTGCCGTTCGTGGGTCGGTTCCCTGACATCGTCCAACGTTGCGTTCGACGAAAAGGTAATCAAATCTATAGCGATGGAATAGGGTTTAATCGAAATTCCGTCGCGCGAAAACGTACCGGAGTCTGAATCTTTCTCCGCTCCGTCGTTCGGGTCTTCTCCCTCGTTGACGACGAACTCGTCTTCGCTCTCTTCCGTTTTCCTCAAAGCTTTTTTCAATTCCTGTAACGACGTATACGGGTTAGAACGATCCTGATTCTTTAAAAATAGGATAATATTTTATCGTTCTTTGTCGTCTCACCTCTTCGCTGTCAGACGCCACTACTTCTTGATAGTTGATCTTTCGGCCACGGGTACGTCTGCCCAACGATTCCTCTTCTTGTCTCGTAGATTCGTCCGGAAGACCTCCATAAATGATCTACAAATAGTGAAAATTAATTAAAGAATAGCGTTACTCAGTGTTTACGGTATTATACGTTAAGAGTATCGAGATATTCTCTGCCATTTGACATTTATAAAATAACGTATTCGTAGATACCTTTCTCCTGATGGGCGAAACCTTCTTCTGCTTTGCCGTAAGTTCCTGCAAAATACGGAATAAGAAAATGAGCTGAAAGTGTTCCCCAGAGTTTAACGTGTAAAAATAGACAAGGAAAAGATTTCATCCTAAGGAATGTACATACCCTCTTTTTCTTTTTCTGTTGTTGCTCATCGACAAAAGGATCCGCCACCTCTTTCTCAGAGCCTTCCACTTTAGCCTCGATATTCGTTTCGTCTCCTTCGCCCTCCGGAGTTCCTAAGACGGTATTCTTGTTTGCTTGCGAGTTAACACCTAGATCGTCCGACTTCCCAAGATTTTCCTGTTTAAACTCCTCGTCGGACTTGTTCTCAATTTCGTTTTCTTGCTCATTTTCATTATCGCTTTGATTATCTGATTCGATGATGCGCTTTCTCTTTTTCTTCTTTTTAGTTTTTGTTTTCGACAAAGTTCGGAACCTCATGGAAGATGCAGTTTTAGTTCTAAAAAAAGAAAACAAACAACATCAAATGAATGCCTCTCGAAATATATCCAAAAATCCAAACACGTTTAATACAGAAAATCTAACTTTCTATTACGTACCTCTTTTTCTTCTGTCTCCAAGAGTTGTCACTATCTTCGCTTCCCGAGTCATCCCAAGCGGACCGAGACTTTTTTCTCTTAGGTCGGTCACTTTCGTCGCTATCGTCATTGACTGAAACAAAAAATCACCGGTGTCGATGCTATCCCTAATAATATGAAATAAACGAAGGAAGCTACTTACTAAAGTCCTCGTCGTATCGGGTCATCCTGGCTCTCGTAGATCTCCTTACGGGTCGCATATCGTTTTTTCTCCCTCGCCTTCTTTCGGCGAAAGCGCTTTCATCAGACGACGTGTTTGGCTCCTCGAATTCCTCTTCGTCATCCGAGCTAGTGCCCTTGAAATCCTCGTCACTTTCAGGATCATCTTCACTGCTTATATCTAAACTATTTAATTTGCGGTGCTTCTTTCGCGCGAGTAGCTTTCTAGCATTCCTTTTCCTTTCTTCCTCTAATTCGTCATAATCTTCATCCTTCTCTGCTCTGTACTCTTCATCGCTATCCCGATCTGATTTTCCTTCCGAATCGTCTTCGCCGTTGTCAAGGTGTTTCTTCTTCAGTGCCTCAGCCTAGAAATAGTTCACACGATATTTATCATTATCCATATATCACATTTAATTGAATTTTATCTGTTGAAATGCAACTTTAAGTTACAAATAGGTAAAAGTTACGTAAAAGCTGAATAGATAATAAAGAATATACCTCCTCCTTTTCCGCATTCACTATCGTGGCTATGTCCTTTCCTCTTCCTTGGTTTCCAGCACCTCGTACTGCTTCCACTTCATCTTGAATAGCAGCATTTATCATGTCATCGTACTCATTAAATTTATATGTACTAGCACAACGCCTTTCGCGTAGCTGGTAAACAGGTTCACTTTCATCGCTGCTCGAACTGTCGGAACTCGATACCGATGAGGAAGATGAAGAATCTGGTAATAAAAAGAGTTTAACAGACAACTTCGTAATAACGGTACATATTTATTTAAAAACTCTCAGTTTAGAGTATTTAAGTAAATCCTACCGTTATCGGACTCTTGACTGGATGCCTTTTGGGAACGTTGGTTTTCACTCTTATGAAGAACATTATCCAAACTAATTCCTACGAACGCGAGTCTCTTCTTTCTCAGGACTTCATTCTCGTGCCTCTTCGTCTGTTGGTCGAATTTCTTCAAGCTCTCTTGAAGTTTCACAACTAGCAAGTTCTGAAAATTTCATATTTCAGTTATACAGGATCAGTTACGTTGCCTAGCGATTAGTTGACGAAGAAGCTTACATGTTGGCACGGGGGACAAAACCAATCGCCTTCGGGTATGAGCATTAGAGCAGGCCTGAGACAGGAACAATGCCAACCCTTATCACACGAATCACATAACAGAATCCATTCTGGATGATCAGCCTTTCCGCATTTCTGACACGCATATTCGTCTTCGGCTTCCTCGACGTCGCTTTGAGCTATATAAAGAAGAGGAGTAGATGTTTGTTAAACACGATAATAGAAAAAGGACGTGTCCTATGCAAGTGTAGTTATCATTCAAGGACGTTACCTTTCTGAGCTGTTCTGGCCCTTCTTAAGGGCTCCGCTTCGTGATCCTTTTCGAGGTCACTTTCCGGAGAAAATTCATGATCGCTTTTGAAAAGTATCGACCCCTCGCTCTCTATCTCTTCCTCGTCCTCTTCTTCATCTTCGTGATCCTCTTGATCCTCGCTGCTAGAACCCGACGAGCTTTGCCAGGGGTTCGATTCGTTAAACTTAGCTGCCATCTTCTTCTTCTTTTTCCTCCGCCGTTTCTTCACTTCGATCTTTACAGCTTCTTTAATACACTCATCCTCGCTTTCAGCCTGCGAATATGATACTCTTTCAGTTGCTGAATTATCCAACTACTGCCAGTACTCATGTACACTTATAAACCCTAACACATTTTGAAATCAAGTTATCTCTACCTCACCAGATAAGAAGTTCCGAGAGAAGAATACTTGCCTTCTGTTTCTTGCGTTTTTTCTTCTCTGAGGTATCGCGCTCTTTCTTCAACTTCAGCTCGCACATAGTTTCGTCCTCGATTCTCCGCCGATCCGCATCTTCCTTTATCTTCAGTTGCGCTATTCTTCTAGACTGCCTAACAGGTGTCTCGTTTTGCAGCCCTTGTGCATCTGGCACGATGTCTCTCCCAATCTCCAGTCCTAAAACCATTTTTCCTGGAGGAAAAGGATATTGTTAACGAATGCACTTCCATCGAACCCAATGGCTGAGTCATTTCGCGGCTTCGAACTTACTTTTCTTCCTCCTCTTCGGCGCGGACGGTGGAGCTCCCGCCGACCCATCGCCAGCAGAGGTCTGGTCGGTATTTATCGTAGGATCATCAGGAGATTCCGACACCGTTGATTTGTCCGTTGCAGGACGTGCAGCTCCTTTAGATCCACCTCTTCCACCCCTGTATCCACCTCTAGCAGCACCTCTGTGACCACCACGCCTTTTCCTACCCCTGGGCCTGCCTCGACTTTTCTTCTCATTCTGCGCTGCCTCCGTTTCTACGGTAACGTCGTTCTCCTCTTTGGTATCGTCCTCGGTCACCCTCGAGGACTTCTTCATCAACTCGTCCTCCGAGCTAATGGTGAAAACGCGACTGTCCTCTACGGACCTCCTCAGATTCTTGTCCGGAGTCCTCTTGGCGCGCATCTTCATCCTCTTCTCAACGGACACTCCATCGTCCTGGTCGTCCTGGATGGTTAAGGCGTCTTCAGGGTTGGACTCGTGGGCGCTGTTGCGCCTCTTCCGAGAGACCTTGGGCGTCTCGGTGCCATCCAACCTCCAGCCCTCGTAGATCAATTCGGACACCGGTTTAACGCGGATTCCAATCCGCGGAGTCGAATCCAGAGAGGGTTTGCTCTCGTCTTCGTCATCGATACACGCCAGAGGGTCATCTTCATCGGGTTGCGCATTGAACACGTCCTCGTTGTCCACTCCCATCGATTCGTCGGATTCAATGGTGATGGTCTTCACGTCGATGCTCTGCAGCTCAGGGGCTGTTGGTACCTTACTCTTGCCCCTTAAAGATCTTCTTCTTGAAGCCGCGTCATCGACTACGGGAGGGTCCAGAGGCTCTATCGAGCCCAGCAGATCGCCTTGGAACTTTCTAACTTCTGACTTCCGGAAATTCTCAGATACATCCGGCGAGTCCTTCGAGGCTGTGCTCTTTAAGTCGATCGCGGTATCTTCAATGTCGACAGGTGGTTTGGATTTCAATGGAGGAACGTCCTCAACGCCTGAAGCGTCCCCTACGCGTTTACTGGCTTCTTTTTTAGTTTCCTCCTTCAGGAAAGGACTTTCGGCGAGATTTTCGTTATTTCTCGGAGTCACCAGGTGGGCTGAATTCGAGGAAGTGTTTTCCAATCCTTCAGGCTCTTGCACCTTGTTCAGGCTTTCCGTATTTAGCTCGACCGGTGTTTCTTTTTCGCTCGAGATCTCCAGGCCCTTGACATTCTTGGAAACGGAACTGTCGACAACTGCCTGGGAATTCTCTTTTAAGGAACTTTGAACGCCGGCAGCCTCTTCTGGTAGTATTGTCGTGATACCTTCAACCGATGAAGGCAAAGAGTTTAACCTGTTCTCACCTTTACCTTGTTCTTCCTCTGGAGGTCTTTTTTCTGGAAGCTCCTGAACCCTCCTGCATTCTACTTCATTCTGGCTAATTAAGGATTCGTCGTATTTTAATTTTTTAGAAGGTTGAGTAATCGCCAGTTCTTCATCTTCTATCGCTTCGGATTCCGCAACCTCAACTCCCTTTGTAGGGTTAATTTTGAGTTCATGGTTTGTCATTAACTTTTCAGTTTCAGATTCCCTACTTTTGTATGTGTCTAGTTTAATTGGCTCGTTCTTGGCGATAGCTTCTAGTACGGTATAATTCCCTTCATCTTTTGAAGATTGATCGTGGATATCACCTTCAAATTTTTCAGGTTCGTCATTCGAGCAACTATCTTTAAACTGTTGAGACATATTCACGGAATCTAGTGTTAAAATATCACGACCTCCGGGACGAATCAAAGTGTCTTTTTCGACCTTGTGGTGTTCCGTGGACTCTACCACACTTTCAGACGTTTTCACGTTTTCACTGGGCCATTCTTTATCAGAATGTTGAACCGGTGCCTCTTTAGCGGATGTAAAGTTATCGTCAAGAGAACTTTTTTCCACTTTCTCACCTTCCTCTATTTTTCCTGCTTCCTCTGACTTTTCTAAAGTCTGTTCTGCCTTCGCATTGGTTTCCTCACCAGAATTTTCATCTTCGACAGGCAAATCCGTCTCACTTATTTCTTCATCCGGCTCGGGTGACTTTGATTCGTTAGACGGAATGCCCGTTCCCTTCGTATCTTCTTTACGTTCCTTATGTTCAACTTCATCTTCGGCATTTGATATGTCTTCTTCTGCTCTAGCACTCAAGGTTGGTACCACCGTGTCTTCCTCTGCCTCCTTTTTGCTGTCTTCGGGTCTTTCCACGTGCAGCTTGTTTTCTTCAACTGCCTCCTCCATTTTGCTCGACAGATCTTCGCCAACATCTTCCTTATTCGATTGACCAAGTTCGTATTCCTGGTCCTCGTTGGCCTCCGGCTCAAAAACATCATTGCTTCCTTCTCCGAGAGAATTTTCACTGTCATAATTGGCAACGAGCGATCGTCCGTTCTCGTTCGAAGGGCTCTGCATCGATGACTTGTCCGATTTTGAAACGTCTTCTAGCACATCGAAAACCTTCGGCTCTTGTCTAATGACCTGCTCTGCATTGGAATCATCATTCGATTGAATGCTTGGCACGCTGGACTCTTTTTCCGCGAAATATGGGTTATCATTTGCAGATGACAATGATTCTTCCAGCGTGCAACTTTCATTGATTGGGAGAGCATTGTCGATACTTGATTCTTTCTCTTCCTTATCTTTCAAAACATCTTTAAACGAGTCGATTTTCTCGGTATTCACAACATCCGCGGCCCAGGGAGATTGATTTGTACCTGGAATAATTTTACTAGCACATGATTTTTCATTAGAGTTTGATGTGAAGTCATCGCTACCTATATCTTTAAACGAGTCATTGGAATCGTACAGTCTATCATCGATCACCATTGGTTCGTTTGAGTCTTGATCACCTGAACTTGGCGCTTCTGATGCACCGTCGGCATAATCGTCAACTGTATCTATCGAGCCAGAGGCATTAACTTCTGCTTTACTTTCAATGGTTATTCTTTCTGGAGACTTGGAAATATTAGAGTCAACGATTGCTGCCGGTGACACTCGGCGAGGATAAAATTCTCCTTCCTTAGGGTAATTGCTACCCTCGGCTAGGTTTTCGAAAAACTCATTTTTCGTGCTTCCTTCGGTAGGACTGTCTGTTGTATGTTGTGGCAATTGCTGTTCAATTCGTAAAATCGATGCATCACCTTCAGCTGTATTCTCACCCGGCTTTATAATTGAAGAGGCAGGAATATCGTGTACAGACACCGCCTTTTCTTCCACATTTTTACCGACATTCGGTGTTTCGACTTCTGTCTGAATAGGAACATCGACGATATTGTCTATCGACTGCTTATCCTGATCGGCTAGTTCAGACATTTTCGGTACATGTTCACCACTTTCGTCAAAAGTTGTACTTTCGTCTAAATTAACCAATTCTTTTGATCGATCATTAGAAGATTGTTCATCGGTTGCTATTAAATCCGATGATCCGAATATACTTTTTTCTGCTGCATTGCTTTCGTCGTCTTGATTAGATTGATCCTTGTCCATATCCAGTATATCGCTACTAGTCTCTGGACAAGAATTGTCACTTGATGAATTAGTTGCTTCTGTTGCTGGAATGTCAGCTACTTTTAATATTTCACCACAGGTATTATCGTCTTCGATGTTTTCCAGGCACGTGGATGCTAATGGAGTATTTTGCTCACAAAATGTCGTTGGAACTTTTTCATCTACTTTGCATTGATCATCGGGTGGTTCTGCAGCTGACAAAGTATCTGGGTTTTCGTGGCCAATAGTTATATCTTTACCTTCTAAATCCTTATCTGTAACATGTTCGGTTACTTCAAGATTATCATTTTTTGGATTTTCTTCAGTCACTTCTCTCTCATCCGTTGAATGACTTGGTTCTGTTTCTTCTGGGGCCACACTCTCCTTTTCAGCCACCTCCGCGACTTTCACGTTGCTTTCTTCGGGCTGTTCTGCTACAGTATCGTCTAAATCATTGTTTGATGTGCTCTCATTAAAAAGCTGTATCTCTGCATTACACGCTAATTGTTCTTTCGCTGAATTGTCTTCCAAAGGTTCCTTGTCCGTTTCAGTTTCGGGCAGCTCATTCAGCGGCGTGTCTTTAGACAATTCTTGTGAAGTATTGTCTTCAGACAGTTCTTTTGTAACATTATCTTTGAACAATTCTTTTCCGACATTATTCTCAGACGATTCTTTCGCTACTTCATTTCCAAACTGTTCATTCAGCAGTTTATCAGATAGTTCTTCTGTGCTATCTTCGGATAAGTCTGCCACTGTATTGTCCTGAAATAATTCTTTCGTTACGCCGTGCTTAGATACTTCTTTTATCGTGCCTTCAGTGTCCTCGGGGGTTTTATTTATTGCGCTGGAAATTTCTTTTGCGGTACTATCTTCGGACATTTTATTTGCTGAACGGTCTTCAGACATATCATTTGCCAGGCTATCATCCTCTGACAGTTCCATTGCTGTAAGGTTCTCTGAAAGTTCTTTTGCTGTATTGTCTTCCGACAGTTCTATAGCTGCAATTTCCTCAGACAGTTCTGCCGCTGTTTTGTCGTCAGACAGTTCTTGCGTTACGTTACTTTCGATTATTTCTTCCTCTGTGCTGTCATTGGACAGTTCTCCTGTCCTGATCTCGGGAAATGCTTTCGCTGTACTGTCTTCAAATGACTTTTCAAATGTAATCTCAGATTCGTCATTTTTGTATTCCTGATCTAAGTCTACGTTTTCATCGATACTGGAACTTCGTGAAGCTTCCAAGCTGCCTGTCGATGCTTCGTTTTTCTCATTGAAATTTTCTAAACTACTGCTACTACTGCAAGGTACTAATACATCGGAAGACGACTCCGACTCCTGAATTTTAGCTTGCTCGCCATCCTTCTTCCCAACATTGCCGCTTTCTTGCGTGGACTCGTCAAACTGTTTAAGACAAATTGAAGACGGCTCTAGTTCAGTAGAAACAGAGGCACTGGTTGAATTTTGATTATCTTGACATTCCGATTCCTTTTTCGAATCAGCAACGCCAGAACTCCCTTGATCCGTCTTTTCTACTTCAGCATGTTCTGCCGATTTATTTTCTGCTAAAGATGACACAGATCCAAGGGTATTCATTGCTTTAAGTATGTTATTATTGTTCCTTGTAACGTTAAAGCGCTCTGTTTCGTCCGGTTTATTGGAATCGGCAACGTTCTCCAATAATTTTCCTGACGACGCCGGATTCTCGGAGATCATTGCATCGGTTCCCAACACACCCGAAATGGTAGATGCTACTGCTCTGTCAGTTTCATCATTCGATTTGTCGGATTTCGAGGGGTAGGATATACAATTAGGTCCAAAGAAAAATTGTGGCGATTCGTCAGGGTCCTTGCGCTCCTCATCTTCGGGCGGAACGTCTACTTTTCCGGAGAGATTATCACTCGTGACCGGAGGGGTTTCTTCCTCATTTTTCGATGCAGTCACGCCCGGCAAAGCAGAAGAAATCGCGACATCTTGATCCTGACTGATGTCACTTTTAGTCAAAGGCGTCTCACACCTTGAGGATTCTTGAGTAGATTCAGGGACTGGCACATCGTCGATATTTTCCGCCGTGGAAGTGTCACATTCTACGTTATCCTGGTATTTCGAAGCGTCATCGTTGGGGCAGACATTGATATCATCCCTCAACGTATTCCTGCCTCGGTTCAGCGTAGGATCTGTAATTACAAATTCACAATTACGTACAAGTAACTTCCCCGCAACCAACTGGTCATCTTTCTCATTTTGATACTCTCTTTCGTTAGTACGTATGTCGTTTGATATGTTACCTTCCGCCGATATGCTACTGTCACATAAAAATTGTTCGGTTGGCTTCCCAACGTCCCACCTGGACAGCCTCTTTATCGGTGACCCAGCTGTGGATTTTGAGATCACTTGGACGCCGAGAGTCGGCTTAAATTTTGGCTTAATAGTAGAGTTTAGCTCCGTAGTGTTTCCGCTGCTATCCATTAAGTTAATACTAGTTTGCGGGTGGCTCCTATTTATCGTCACGGAATCGGCCGACACCTTGTTCAAAAGACTGTCCTCGGAGAGGATCTTATTCGGCGGCAGATTCGCCGTCGTGGAGCTGCAGGATTCGTTTTTTGATTCGTTGCTTTCCTTATTGTCGGTTGAGGTTTCATCCGCAGGATTTCCCGTCTCGCACTCGCGGCCGGAGCCTTCTCCGTGAAAAAAAATCACAGGTTCTTCGATGGCCTCCCCTACACCAGGATTGACAGTCTCGCAGTCGCTGCCCGACCCCTCGCCTTGGACCATCATCAAGGGTTCATCAATAGCCTCTCCGACTTCGTCCCTCCAGTTGGTACCGACCAATGGTCTCTTATCCATGGTTCCCCTGATCGGTATTACATCGGCACGCAGTCTCTTCGTGCCGTCCGGTTGGAGTTCCTCGCCTTCCATCGACCTCTTAACTCCCACAGCTCCCATCCTAAGAGATGTGATCTTACTCGGATCAGCTAGTATCGTGTAACCCGGCAATCTGTGATCTTCCTTATTCGGTATCCTTGCCGTATTGTGATACGCCGATGCCATGTCATAACCGGCAAACGGCATTTGCCGCTTACTCAAGTCGGTGACCATGGCATGGTTTCGAAGCATAACCGTTCGCGCGTCGTAAGGTAAGTTTGGAACCTCGGCTTTGCCGGGTTTCCTAGTGCTGAGATCCATTTCTCGGTGCTGAAATTCTTGAGGCCTGTATCCGGAAGGAGGGAGGTCCATGGGCTTGGACGCTTTACGACTAGAAAGATCAATGCCGGAGAAATCCATTGGTCTGCCAAGGTTACTCGAAGTCTCCCAGCCTCGAGGCGAGGTCGAAAGGTCCATTCCTCGATGACCTCTCAGAGCGGTAGATTTATCCCGCGCAAAGTCCTGCGGTATTCTGTCCTCGTCACCAATCAGCATCGTCCCAAGACTCGATCTCGCCAAATTCTCCGCTATTTTCTCCAATGACTTGGCCCCGCTTGGTTTTTCACTGGCAGAGAGCTTCTCAGACTGCATTTTGACAAGGTTCGCCGCTAGTTGATCGATTGGCTTAATGGATATCGTGCCGTGCCCAAGTACAGAGGGGAAAGGCATGGTGCTTTTGCTTGGTAGTTTTTCATGAATTTTTAGGGCCAGCTCGTCTTCAGGAGGAAGCTGCTTCTTTGTCAGCGACATCGTACAATCGGCGGGAAGCTGCATGTCCAGGTTTTTAAGCTCAGGTGGTTGTTTCAGATCCGGAACGTTGCGTATTTTTAATGGTGACGTCTTGATGACGGGCGTTTCGATCGACTTTACAAGCAACGGCTCGATAGTTTCCAACTTCGGAGCACTGTTACCGACGAATCGATCATTCTTTTCCAGTTCTGCAGGTTTTGGAATGTTACACGCCTCGGTTATAACACGTTGTTGGGGTTCTTCCGCAATTCGCGGTTCCAAGAGAGCTTCGGATTGTTCAGCAGGTCTTTGTAGCCCTAGCAAGGACGGCTCCACGTTGAGTGTCTTCTCTGTTGGTTTACGAGGTTCGACGATATCTTGAGAGTCGTCTTCTTCCATCTGTTGCTCAGATCGGAAATCGTTAGTTTCATCGTCCTCGTCGTCCTCTTCTTCATCGTCTTCTTCCTCTCCCTCGTCGTCATCCTCGTCTTCGCCTTCTTCGTCATCTAGCTGCCCATTATCCTGAGACGTACTGACAACTTTTGCAATTGCAGTTTCACAGTCGCCCATACTGTCGCCATTAATACCATTTTCCCGATGCCCTTCTTCGTCTAGGCTTGGTGAGGTAATCTGACCGGTATCGATAATTGGTTTTTCTGAAATTTCTATGCTATTACTGTCTTCATTGATGGGTATTGCCCCGGCTTCACCGTTTGATAAGGTGCTTATGAGATTGACAACTCCTTCACGGTCCCTGCAATTGTACATTATATTTAATAAAGTAGGACGCAAATATAAAAGGGAAACGTACTTCGAAAGTTTTCTTAATAAAGAAAATCATTACGCAAAATATTTCATCGAACAGATTTGTTTAATACGAAAACATACTTTGCAACAAGTTCCCAATTTTCTTCATCCACGTCCTCACGATAAACTCTTATATTACATTCTTCGTCAAGTTGACACCAGTATGCCAATCCACTCTTATCTCGTCCTAATGGCTCCACTCGCAACTCAGAGGCTGCTAATTTATTCACTTCATTTTTGAACCTTTGATTCAAATCAAATTGGGCCTCCAGGAGAACCTAGAAAAACATCCGAGTTTGTAACGAGGAACAAACTTTAAGCGAATGGATATTTCCTAAAAACAGTGAAAATGCATCTTAAAATTTGTATTACCTTCAAGAGACGCAGTTTAACCGCAACACGGGCCTTCTTATAACCAAACCGTTCGAGTTCCCAACCATCCTGATTGGAATACGTGTGGCAGAACTTCACCAAAGCTCTTTCCCACTTTTCCGGTGAAACGGTTTTCCGTGTCTTGCGCAGAAGTTTTATGTGTAGGTCAACGAGTGGCTGAGGTACTGTAACAAAGTTTCATATGAACTAAAAGTTAGATAAAGAACGTCGAATCGTTCGTGTCAAAATTCTGCCCATCATATTCCAATAGAAATGAAAGCCAAAACAAATTAAAGGTATCTAGGTGCACGCATCCTCTTCAGCCTATCAAAATTCATATTCTGTTCATAGATTTACTTCTACTTCGCGTTACGTCTCCTAACTTAATCTCAGTTGTTCTTATTGCAAGTGGTTGAAATATCAAACATTAATAGATCAACGTGGCAACATTTTTTTAAATTTAGTTAGGCGCCATCTCAAATTCCTAAACATTCACGAGATATTACGATAAATATTCTCCCCTTTTAAGACATCTGCAGCAGGAAAGCCCCTTTTAAAACTTTAGTCAATTTTCCGCAATTACAAGTAGCCTAGGCATTTAGCATAAACGTCAATCTCTTTTACAGCCAGGTAATGTTAGAACCGATAAAGAATAAATGGAATAAATATTCATTATCGAGGAGGATCGAGTGCCGGTCCAGCGCGCGTCCGAGCCGCCGAAAAAAAGAAAACAAATAACAAACGTCGCGCCGCCGCAAGTGCGTCAAATCCGCGAAAGATCGGGCCGCGGAGAATCACGTGTCGGCGGGGAATACGCCAGCGGAAGGCGGGAGAAAAGTCAGAGCCGGTCGCGACTCGCACCTGTCAAACGGGCGCCGCGGCGCGAGTCGGCCGGAGGGCGGTTAAGGGTCGGGCGCGGGTGGCCGCCAGCGGAATGTCGGAGACGCGCACCCTTCGCATCCACAAACTCGAGGGAAGCCCCGCGGTTGGATCGTCGGGGCGGATTACGAAGGGCGACGGAGAGCGCCGCGTCGTCCGGCGCCGGGGTGCCCTCCCCGGAGGGGCCGGGTGCCCGGAAAGAAGGAAGCGCGGGGGAGAGCCGTCGCGGGGGAGGCACGCCGCCATCGCGCGGGTCTCGCTTACCTTCCTGGGCGTCCTCCAGCATATCCTGAAGGCGCGCGATGTCCGGATACTCGATGCCACAGGATTTGCCGAAGCACTCGAGGAACGAGCAGATCACCGCGAAATTTGGGTCACTCGCGCAGGAGGCTTCGTTATCGGCCGCCATTTTTCCGCCGCCTCTGCCCGTCGCCCGCGTACACTACGCTAGGCGGCCTGGCGACTCATTTTGCTCCGCTCCCGTCGCTCGGTCCCTCTCTCTCGCTCGTTCTCGGCCGGTCGCCCCGCGTACCGCCGTCCCTCTCGCGGCGGGAGACCACCCGACTCGGCCGATCCTTGGGAAAACGACGCCGGACGCCTCGCACCGCCGCCGCCGCGACTATAAACACCCGCGCCGACCCACGTCGACGCGCACCGCCGTACGCCGACACACACCGACGCACCCTCGCGCTCTTCGCGCGTCTCCCCGCCAGCGGTGCTCCACGCTAATTCCCCCGCCAGCGGTGCTCCCCCGCCCCGCGCGCCACTCCGAGTCGCACTTCGGCCGTGGCTCGCGCGCGCTCGTTTTTCCCCTTGACCCGCGGACCGCCGCGCACCGTGCCCGCCGCCTCGCTCGATCGCTCGTCGTTCCTCCGAGCGCGTTACGCCCGCATCGTCCGCGCCACGCACCGAGGCACGCGCGCGTGCACCGTCACTCTTCGCCCGTACGTCCCGTCGAGTCGCGTCGAGTCGCGAGAACTCGGCCGAGGCCCTCGGCAGCGCCGTGGAGAATGTGCGAGCGAGGTCCCCCTCCTCGCGCAGGCCCTGGACATCGCCTTCGGGTCCGGGTTTGCCAACATCGGCGGGGGACGTGCTCAACCGGTTGAGTACCCGAGCGAAGCCGATCTCCGCTTTACCGACGCTCCCGAGGACGCCCGAGCGCCCCCGAGCGCGTCCGAGGCCCGTGCTCACCGCTCCTGCCGCGCCTCGATTGGTCGAACGCCGCTCAAGATGGCCGCCGTCTTTCAAATGAGAAGAATGCGGCTTACGTCTCTTTTAATGTTTCCAGGCCGCTCCGAGGATTTATGAACGCGCGCATTCTGGACGTTACGGCCGCGCTCGTGGAAGGACTTTTGTAATTTGAGGAAGGGATTATGCCGATTTCACGTTGACCGCGTCTGTATTCGCGTAATTCCGTGGGTGTTTACCCATATATCCTTCGTGTCATGTATATACCAGCATATACATGTCGCTCCATATGTCGGATCCATGCGAGCGGCTATGGGCGCGGTAAGGGAACGAAGCTAGAAATATCCCGAAATTTTAAGCGTAGAGAATGGCGAGGGGAAGGCTCGCGTCTCGAGATTCGTTTCGCTCCTGCGAGATATAGCTTTCTGGATCGGCGGTGCATCTAATGACGCACTTCCGCGTGGCACGGTACAAGCCGGAATGACCGCGCTTGCCTTCGATCGATCCTCGAACGTGCATTACATACAACGGAATATACCCACGCTGGCCGTGAGCGGTCGCGCCAGACCGCGATTCTATCCTGTTACAAGGTGCTTTATTCCGGAAGTACCTCCTCCCCGGGCGGTTCGGGGTGCGAGTTAGAGGAAGAACCGAGAGTCCGCCGCCTTTTCTTCCGTTTCAAAGAGTCGAGCATCCCTCCTGCACGTATCGCTCGTGCGAAAATGCGCGAAAGGCGAAATGTTGCAACTTTCTGCAATTAGTCGACTCCTGTAATTCAACCGAACTTAGCCGAAACGACATTGAACCGCGACTGAATCGACCAATCACGGGACGCGATTTATCGCTTCCTGTCATTAAAGCGAGCAGGGAGGAGACGAGTGTCGCGACGTTCCGTATTTCGGAGCGGCATTCAAAGCTACGTACGATTATTCGTAATTACGAACTATTGACCACGGACTCTCGTCTTCTCTCAAGGGCGAGAAAGAAAAAATGTACATATGTACATACATAGAGGGCGCTTCGGATGTACGTGAATATAGCTTCAACGGGCGACTGTTACGGTGTCTCCTGCAACGCCCCTACTCCACCCATCGAGAGCCCAGGCCATCTTTGTCACTTTTGCATTCACTATAAGTGCGACGGAGAAAAATATTGCGACAGAAGTATAAAGGTATAACCCCTCTCTGCGATCGAGTCGGGCAATTAAACACAGAGATGAGTTGGGAGATTGCTCACGGGCAGGGTCGTGCGATCGCATCCTGTGCTGCCCTCTGGTTTCGTACGTTAGCTTTCACCGTTTTTTGCCCCCAAGGGCGGCGCAACGAATTTCTGATAGGAGCTCGCGCACTCGCGATGGCGGTACCATCTACCAGTCGCCGTTGGCGGCTCACGTACTCGTGATGGTAATACCATGCGGCAGTTGACGGTGGTGGCTTACCTACGCTTACNCAAATGGTATTTTGTTGATGCATTTGTTAATCATATCGCGTCCCAACCAGCCAAGCGCCAAGCTACGGGTTGAGATGTTGAGCATATGTGCGTTCGGCGCTACATTCGACGAATATGCATGAGAATCGAATACTGCAAAAAATCGTCCCGAGGCTTACCTGACAGCGAATATAAGCCGAGACATTTCGCGTATGATTTTTACATTTCCCTACTAGCGTTATCGAGCGTTTTTAGACCGTTTTTTAGCGATACCGAGCGTTTTTCAACCGTTTTCGAGTGTCTCTAGAGCGTTTTCACGCGTTTTTCGAGCATTATCGAGCGTTCCTCTAGCGTTTTCGAGCGTTATCGATCGTTTACGCGCGTTTCTCAAGTGTTTTAGAGCATTATCGAAGGCCGTACAGGGCCGTTGCGTGTTGTTAAGTGCAGTAGAGTGCCGAAGAGTTGCCGGAGAGTGCCGGAGAGTGACGGAGAGTGCCGGAGAGTGTCAGAGAGTGTCAGAGAGTGCAGGAGAGTGCCGGAGAGTGCCGGAGAGTGCCGGAGAGTTGCCGCAGAGTGCCGCAGAGTGCCGGAGAGTTGCTGGAGAGTGCGGGAGAGTCGCCGCAGAGTGCCGGAGAGTGCCGGAGAATGCCGGAGAGTGTCGGAGAGTTGCCGCAGAGTGCCGGAGAGTGACGGAGAGTGCCGGAGAGTGCAGGAGAGTTGCCGCAGAGTGCCGGAGAGTGCCGGAGAATTGCCGCAGACTGCCGGAGAGTGACGGAGAGTTGTCACAGAGTGCCGGAGAGTGCCGCAGAGTGCCGCAGAGAGCCGGAGAGTTGCCGGAGAGTTGCCGGAGCGTGCCGGAAAGTGTCGGAAAGTTGCCGTAGTGTGCCGCAGTGTGCCGGAGAGTGTCGGAGAGTGCCGGAGAGTTGCCGCAGAGTGCCGGAGAGTGCCGGAGAGTTGTCACAGAGTGCCGGAGAGTGACGGAGAGTGCCGGAGAGTGCCGGAGAGTTGCCGTAGTGTGCCGTAGTGTGCCGCAGTGTGCCGGAGAGTGCTGTAGAGTGCCGAAGAGTACCGGAGAGGGCCAGAGAGTTGCCGCAGAGTGCCAGAGAGTGACGAAGAGTGCCGGAGAATGCCGCAGAGTGCCGGAGCGTTGTCGCAGAGTGCCGCAGGGTGCCGTAGAGTGCCGGAGAGTGCCGTAGAGTGCCGGAGAGTGCCGGAGAGTTGTCGGAGAGTGCCGAAGAGTGCCGAAGAGTGCCAGATCAAAAGCGAGCAGTGTTGGTAAGCGTAGGTAAGCCACCACCGTCAACTGCCGCATGGTATTACCATCACGAGTACGTGAGGCGCCAATGGCGACTGGTAGATGGTACCGCCATCGCGAGTGCGCGAGCTCCTATCAGAAATTCGTTGCGCCGCCCTTGGCGACAAAAAACGGTGAAAGCTAACGTACGAAACCAGAGGGCAGCACAGGATGCGATCGCACGACCCTGCCCGTGAGCAATCTCCCAACTCATCTCTGATTTAAATCAGTATCAATAGACCCCCAGTATTTTAAATATTTTTAATGTAATGGTATTCTGAATTATTAACTCTTATTTCTTAATGAATTGAAAACACTGTTGCCAATTATAGTACTACAACCTGTTGAAGATAATATTTTCCGCCGGACTATGAATATATTGATTATATATGGTCACAGACTATATTCACCTGTATTCACCTGTTAAATAGTTTTGAGCTTCAAAAGAGCACCGCTTATCAGAAAACGATTATAACGCTCAATTATAATAAAGGCTCTTTATTGAATCACGTACCCAAATTTATTTACAATTTATATATGTATGTATGTATAGATAAAAGTATTTTAGTAGGCATTTATTACATTTTGTAGATTTCATAGATTTAATGTATTGACCTTACTGTCAAATTCTGTGTGATAATTATTTATACCTTGAGAAAAATAGGTTTACATCACTTTTGCCATATTCTGTACATTTTATCTCTTACCATGCACTGATTCTTGCAGACCCACCGGTACCCTGTATCATGGTTTCAGTTTCATTAATGATTTTTTAAATAAGATACAATAGTGATATGAAATACATGTTTTGTTTTGCATGGTTAAAAAGTGATTTGATAGTAAATTTAGTGCACAATCCATTAAAAAGTGAAAAATAGAGATTACCTTGTATGTTGTTTCAACTACCAGTAGTAAGGAAGAATTATATAACAGAATATAACTTTATTTTTACTCTTATTTTGTTACACGCGATTAGAAAAATCATCTGTCAGCATTAACTATTTATGCCAAAACGTTTATATAATATATGCCAAATATGTTTCACCTTTTTCCTGAAATACAATTAAATTCATAAAACTTGTATTCTATGAGTGATCACTAAATTAGTCAATGGTAAACAATTCATTTCTTACCATGTACAACATTAAAGTGAGAAGTTTAATTGACTGTACTTTATGAATATTTTAATGAAAAATAGTCTTTTGCGTTTATTTTGCATATCCACTATGATCCAATTCACCAACAACTTAGATGTACAGATGGAATAAAATATATGTCTAATGAAACTGATATAGTTTACTTAGTACTGTGATCTTTCTTCATACTGTTTACTGGGCTTAAATAAATTGGAAAATATAAAAAATAATCATAATTATGGAATTAAGTATTTCATTTTAGTAATTGTTGACTGTCTTTTTAAAGCCATTTACGAGTCAAAAGGAAAGCAATGAGAGCAATCTTTTGTTTTTTCTGCAATTCAGCTACGTTACTACTTTCATAGACTCGCCATACCAATACGATCTCAAATGGTATTTTGTTGATGCATTTGTTAATCATATCTAAAATGTTTAAAGCCCGTATATTGAGATTATTCATACCAATGTTCCATACCAAGTGATATGAATAAGTTCAATATATTTGCCTTACTCTATAAAATAAGAGATTGCAGTCATTTCAGTATACAAATGAGGAATCTAAGATATAATGTCAAGAGTTTCGTTCGATAGGGTACAGTATTACAAATGAAAGAAAACAATGTAAAAAAATGCAATGTCGTTGATACAATGCACCTATAAGAATACATATAATATAGAAGCACCGATATTTGCGCAAAGCAAATATGTACATAACCAATCAAGTAACATATAAGGGACCTCAGTTATTTTCAAGTAATATAAATTTTCTATTGTTTCGATTTTGAACAATGATGCCTTTGCTTGATTTCAAGTAATGGTTCCTTTCTTCGCCATTAATAAACTGAAAGTTTAAATAATATGGCCTACTTATTTAATTTTCATAATTCTACCTCCATGAAAGTATAAATTTGATATATCATATGTTACGTAACATATTGAACTGAGTATATTTGACTCGCATGCCGATTATAAGTAATCTGTATCACTTTCAGCACTTAACAATGTTTGTATAAATTCTTGTTTTGACAAATCACTGCTTTCTTCCAGTCTCATTTTCTAGATGTCATTGCTTGTATAATATATCCGAGCATAATGTAATGTCAGACCAAAACGATACATATATAATATTATCTTCCATTTCAATCATTAAGGAAACCAAACGTTTTATAAAACTTACGTAATATATACGATAGTTCTGGTCTTTCAAATTTAAATGTTTTGTTGAGATAATGCAATGAATTTAGTGAACACTTTTGAGAAAATCATAAAGTATTAAGTATTAGTTGCGATGTAAAGTGGGTATTAATAATTTTACGTAGTTTCTTAACAAGCAATTTCTTGGAAAGGAATGGAGCAAAAACAATGTAATTGTCAATTGCATGTTTTAAAATATACTCCAGTTTTCGTTCACGTTCGAAATGCGTTGTTACTCCCACGAATTTGTGGGATGAATTTATACAAAATGTCATACTGCATTACGCTTATTGGAATTATTTCCTTTAAGCTGAAGTAAATGAAAATCGAAAGCCTTAACAGTATACGAAAATAGTATAAAGTTAGCAGTGGTTTCTTAACATGCGACACACAGTGTCGATTGCCTTCAAAGTAACAAATAGTGGCGCCAATTTCTGACAGTCCTAACATTTGTATGTAAAAAGTTCAGTTCATAGAAACACTGCAACAGTTGTTCCGGACTACGAGGTACGGATATAAAATCACTTTGCCGCTTTTTGTGCTACAATTATTTTGAGCTGTTGCTTGTATTTCTCCGCTTCCTCCTCTTTCTTTAGTAATTGCTTACGATATTCGGCGGCTTGCCTTCGTGCCTCGGCAAGTTGCCGATTAAGCACTGCAATGTCCATCACAGGTTCTGGATTATCTTCTTCGGTGATCTCTTCTATGTCATCGTCTAAATGTAGAATCATTGGTTCCGACGTCATCGTTGATGAATTTATAATTTTATTCTAAGAGAAAGAAATGAAACAACTTTAATTTAAAATTCGTATGCTATGGAAACGTTGTTTTGGTTTTAAACTAACTGTAGCACCTGAAATTTTTAAATACAAGAATAGATAAGAAATGTACCTTTGCCGAAGAAACGATATTTTTGGCCTGTGCCAAGATAGGTGTTGCCGATGTATTATTGGCAAGTGAAGCTAAAAATAGTTTTCCTGATTTATTGTCACTGGAAGTTCTCTTAAGAATATTGGGACCTCTAGGTGTGAGGCTAGGCGTGTTTTGACCTATTATTTGATCAGCACGAATCGCAATCACTTTCCTTGGAGTATTTATTCTGGTCCCAACTTGTAGTCGTTTTACACCTGATGGTGTTTTTGTTAGATTTAATGCCAGCTTACCAGCTTCTACAAAATCAAATAGTATATTTGAAACATTAACACTGCAATATATACTTTAACTTAAATACATATAGAAAGTCATACCCGTAAGAACAACAGTTTGCCCACTTTCTACGGCATTCTCTACTATCGTTGCATCATTATCCACAGGAATCATTGTTATACCATGAGCTTGCAGTAAGCGTAATGGTTGATCCATTCCTGCAATTCCTGAGCCATCTTTGTGCTTATTACTACTGCTCCGGCTTACATTGTCAGATATACTAATATTGTCAAGATTCTTTTCTCGATCTTCATCATTAACCGATGATACATGAATTGGTTGAAACATCATTCGTGACTTTTTCGTGACTTGCACTGGAATAATATGACAAAAATTTATATATTATTTTTTAAAAGCTCACAAACAGAATGACTCACAGCTGAACAGTTAATTATTATTTATACCTGGGGTAACTTTTCGTTTTTGTTGTACATCAGATCGTTGCTGTTCCTCTTGTCTTTCCGCTTCTAATTTCATTAAGTTATGGGTAGCTACTTCAAGTTCTGCTGAACTCGCTTGATTTTGTTGCTGTGATTGAACATTCAGTATTTCTCTCTCTTGCTGTAGAATATCTACAAAATCTAATCGGTCATGTTCCAGAGCAAGACTGATAGGTGTCTTGTCAAACTTGCTAGTAGCATTAGGGTCTGCTCCATGCTCTAGTAAGATATGCATGACTTCCACGTGTTCACGTTCCACAGCCCAATGTAATGGTGTCATTTTTAGCTGTAAATAATGTAATTTTGAGAATACATATGTATACTAGTTTTATATCACAGGCTTTTCTCTGATATGCTTATTTACCATATCTCTACTATCAACATCAGCTCCATAATTCAGAAGTAATTGGGCCATCTGATGATGACCTTCGTATGCAGCCATATGTAAAGGCGTGCGATCCACCTTTGTTCTTGCATCTCTTGAAATTCCAGCTCTTAATAACACTTCTGCAGTCTCAATATGATTATTTTGTGCCGCTAAATGCAATGCACTCGTACCAAGCTAAATAGAAATAATATCATGTTCACGATTATTGTTACTAGACAAAAAGAATAAAATAATGAGCAAATGTATTAAGGTGCACAAATTTAGCACAATGTAACTTTGAAAATGCCTAAATCTGTCACATAGCTGCAGTTAACCTATTAAATCAATATTTTAATGCCAATAAAACAAATTAGATTTACTGACCATAAATGAATAAATTACTGAATATAAAGTAATAAATGATTAATCTTCATCTGTTCACATACCCAATCTGTAGTAAAAGGTGCACCTCTGCACATGAGATCACGGACAGTTTCCGTATCTCCATTTCGTGCACTAAGCAGAAGCTGTTTTCCTAGTTCAACTATCGATAAGGCATCTTGTCCCCTTGACCGCTGCGTCACGTCGCATGAAAGGATTTCCACCTGCAATGAGTATAGCAATAATTTTCTACCTTACCATGAAATAATATTCCAATTAAATTAATCAAGAGATATCGATGTTCACTTGAGCCGTGGAAGCAGAGCATACCGGAATAAGTGTGTCCGGGTCGAGCCCTTCGATGTCGTTGCTGCAAATGCTTTCGGCCTGCATGTTAGTGCTTTCCGTTTAGTCCCCTTTTTGGTATGGGCTAAAAGCTGATAACCCATAACAGTCAGATGTAGGCCTGAGTTTTCTCCAAAAAGCGGGGCTCCCTGCAGACGTTCCATTTAGACGAATTAGTAGCACTCGACCTTGAGGCACGTTGGCCAAAAGTAGGTCGAGATTATCGAAATTAAACAGAATGTACGCTCAAATCGGCGCGACAAGCGTCGCAATTGCTTTGCACTGGGCAAAAGGAAGGATATCTATTTTTCGAAAGTTTCTCGCGTACAGGATGTTTTTATTTAGCCATCTCAGTCGGAGATGAACTTCCTGTTCCTGTCCATTAAACGGAAGTCCCTTGCCATAGGCTCCGCGTTTTGCGAGCGAAAGTGACGCTTCTCGGGCTACGAAATAGCGCATTGGCTTGTTGTACTTACGGGTGGCCCATTATTATTGGGTTTTACCGTTATTTCCTCGGTTTTTCCGGTGAGCGCACGCCGTTTACAGGAAATCTCGCTAGCCACAGCCTTCTCGATTTACAGTACTGCCAAAGTTTCGTAAAAATGGCGACCTCTTGGCGCCATTCTCGCGTTGACCCTAGCGCCATTGCCGATTACTTACAAATTATGAACTTTATCTCGCCGCATTGGTAAATCTAAAAGGCTGAAAGGCGCATTTCTCTATCCAGGATCTTTTAAGTCACTCTTTTTAAGCTGAGCACGCCTCAAAAATCGAGTACCGCAGCGCCATATTGCGACGCGCACGCCAAGCATTCGTCACACGACAGGTAAGGTTAGGTTTGCTTTGTGGTTCTATGTAACGGGTGGCGTACAAATGCTCGCGCCTCGTAGTGACGACGCGTGACTTTAGAAACCTACCCTAACACTAGATTACCAAGCAGGTCGAGATGACTTGTTTCAAATGGCTCATGTTATACAAAAAAGATCTGCCGGTTGTTCTAGTGTTAACCAATCACAGTCGGCTGCACAAGAATTAACCAATCGTGGTGTTTACACTTCATTGACAGAGTTCATTGATGGATACGCATTTTTCTGTCAATCCATTTTTATTACTTATTATTAGCTGATTGAAGTGAGTTAATAACATAAAAATATTGAAAAATGTCTCAAGTTATATATCATATATATTTATATACAGTAATTCCACGTAATTCTGGGAAAATGCCATAATGCACCGCATTTATTAAAATTACGCTCTTATAATCGTCGTAGGAGTAGTTTTCGTTTTTTCAATGTTTCTTTCGTATAAATATTTTTTTTTGTACAGAGAGATATGCAGTGAAGTCCACCTTTCATAATGTTTCGTACATGACAAAGAATTTCTGCTTACGTGGAGTAACTTGAAAGAAATGATACGATTACCCGAAAAATTGCGGTCCATGAAATCCTTACTAAGAGTTTTTTTAATGCATCGATGAGCATCATGATACAAATGAGAGGGTTGGAATTGTTACGGAACTGTTTCCCTGGTACTGTCCCTTGCATGGCTAGACACGACTCGGATTTAGGTCAACCCCTTTCAATTTCATATTACGCAAAATTTGTCATCCTGTCCGTTCTGTTATTTCTTATCGGCCCGTAAAAAAGTCTTTTTTCGCTGACTTCCAGGATCGTAGTTTATTGGTGACAAGTAACAGTCCGATGCATTTCTCTTTAATTTCAGCGATTTATCCTGCATCCCGTATAATCCCCCGGAAAAACGGAGTTCAGGTTGGCACGGTTTAAATGGCAAAACCTGCGGGTTCTCGATGCTTAAAACCTTGAAGAAACGAACCACGCGTTTACATCCGAGTCTGCGATAAGCGCAGAAAAGAACGGGGCTTAAGAATTAACAGGGGCAAGAATTACGAGGCGGTAGAAAAATGGTAAACGTGGTCAGACTCCCTTTTTGTCCATTATCCTCTGTCCTTTGCCGTTGTCACACCTCTTCAGACCTGTTAGGACATTTTACAATTCCTCAAGTCGTCGTTCTCGCTTCTTAATTGTCACCTCAATGACGAGGCAAAGAGAGACTACGTAACTTCTTCCCTAAAGCTCCTCTCGTAAGGAGACGATTCTTATCGAAGCGACTCTCCCTTCCTCGCACGTGTCTCGAATGATTTAATTAGCACTTAATCGGTGGAAATATTCTACGGATGCATATTCACGAGGTAGCAAGGTTTTTAAGAAATGGAGATGTCCTGGAAAATGGAGATCCAGATTACGGTAGTTAGGAGACTTTATTAATTAACTTGACGCGGTCCTCGGGCCGGGTCTTCCGATAAGGATCGCCGGAGCGCGGATCGCGATATACACGTCTGCGGATTTCTTGAAAGTTGGCCTCTCGAAAAGTTGCATACTCGAAAAAGTAAGTGGGCAGTACTTTTCCATTTCAGAGGGAGCGGTAAGCAGACTAATTGCTCGTAATGCACATAAGCGTCTAGTACTCTATACTAATTGTACTCGACCCAATCTCCCGTCTGCCAGTTCACTTCGCTCGCCCGGTCGCGTATAGAACACGGGAAATTGCAATACTCCCTCTCTCTTTGCTTCCCTGCAGTTTCCGTCATTCCACCTCTTTCTCTGCACTTTACATCTCCAGTTCTCACTTTCTCCCTCTCTCCTTCCCTTGCCATATACTGCATTTGACCCAGAATAACGTAGATAACGGAGCAGCAAGGTGCAAAAACAATGAATCTGCCTGAAACACAAGTAGAGATTCTTCATGGAAGAATGTGCGTGCACGTCACGGTTAAAAATGGGTCGTAAAAATGGCCGGGATTTTTTTTAACACTTTGGGGACACGTAGAAACCCTTAAAAAGGGGATACTTTACCCCGAGCCGACTTTACTACGCGCGAACACAAGGACGGCGGTAATTAACATTGCTGTTTTGTTTTCCCAGGATTGTAAAATGTCCTAGGTGCAAAGTACACGTTTCTCTTTTTTTCTTTTTTTTTTCTTTCAACCTTTCGTACATCTCGGTACTAAAAATCTCAATAACATTTACGACCCATTTATTATGGGGCAAAATGTAAGTTTGAAACTACGAAAGTAGGATACATGCATTTTCCGAAGCTCGGCGAATAAAAGTTTCCAAATCTCACACATTCTTAGGTCCAGCGGACTTGATAAAGAGCAGGCTTTTCTTTTTTTTTTCCTCTGCGTTAAATTAACCGAATACCGGCGAGGGCGAGGCATCAAAATTTTGTACATTCATTTGCGATGCGCATTATTAACTATTCGCACGCTATATCGCAGCACGGTATTATGGGATAAATATTTTAGGAGCAGTTAACGAATAAACTGGAGGGATCGGTCCTTGTATACCTGCTGATTATATTAGTTTATTATCAGAAATATATTAGGAAAGTAATAAACTCTCTCACAAATATTACCGAGAAAGGCGCTGAAATATTGAAGCACCGTTAGTATATTCTTATTAAATATTTTCCATGACTGAAACAAGGGTACAATATTCCGGAAATGGCCTCACGCCTTCAGGTGATGTGAAAGTGGCATCGAAGAGGTTTTGTTTATAAAACTTTTCTCCCAAATCGATTTACCGAATAGTTTGAAACTTTACAACGTGAATAGGGAGACTATAAGGAAGGTCCTGAAACTCATGAAATTTCAATTCTTTTCAAATTTGTTTATAGGTATTTTAAAAATAGTTTATAAAAAATGAAATTTCACGAGTTTCAGGACCTACCTTAGAGTCTCCATATTCACGTTTCAAAGTATGAAACGATTTGAGACATCCAGTTCGTAGAAAAGTTTTATGAACGATTGAGCTCTCGGATGCCACTTTCACATCCCCTTAAAGGCAACGTTTACGTTAAAAATTCATTACATATATTTTTGTATGAAATGTACCACTGGTATATATCCTGAGATATTTTCGAATGAAACTCCGTTCGGTGCAAGGTGCACTGTTCTCTGCGGATTCCCGAGTATCCGCAGTTTGAGAAGAGAGTGCATGGCACAATGCACCTTCTCCCGTATGCACCTGCCTGTCATATCGGTGCGAAAGCTAGGTCAGGGAAGTATGTACGCGAATTGCTATCGGGTGCGTGCTCTGCCACATCGCGTTAACCACTCCTTATATCGTAATCTCAGGAGGTAGCTGCCCGGAGCGGCCACGAAGCAGGCTTGCATGCACAGAACTGGAGTAGGTTAGAAGGATCGTGAATTTCTTATGAACCTAAGTGCACACCTCGAGAGGGTGGAAACATTCGCCCGGGGTCGAAATGACGAATCTCGAAGATGGACCCCGTGAGATAATAAAAACGGCGAAGAGGTGTCGTCGGAATATGCTCAGCACTTATTATTCCACATTTATTTACGATCAAATACGTGAGATAAAAGAAAGGTTTAAGAGACCGCGAAGGCTTCTGAGATATCGGAGTTAAGAGGGGATGTCGAAAAATTCGGGTTTGGTCTCAGTGGACATCACTTCCGGTTCGATTGGACGAATCCTGTTTATGCCTCGTATCGAGGATACTATTAGCGAGATCACGTTTTGTTGGCATAATGTGGGATTGTTTTGATAAGCCCGAAGTACGACCGAAGCAGATCTGTTCGGCATTGAATGGACAACAATTGCGCACTGTTGATATATGACAGATACCACTTACGCTCGGATACATTTCGATAATTGAAATCGATCACCGATATCTGGTTGCGCCGCCGATGAATAACTTCATTCGGCAGTTAAAGCGTACTCTATCAATCATGCCTTTCGGTTCTGTACGTTCTTCACCTGACGAATAAAGATACACGGGTTAAGGAAAATTAACGCGTTCCTCCGGTTTCGGGATCGCAATTCGTAGTAATCCCGCATTTACTTGAAATAGAATTGATGAGAGCCATCTAGGTAATTTGTACTCCGAGTAGTGATTTTTTTCTTCCTCGCGCTGATTTTTACAGAGAATTGAAGTCCCCTCAAAGGGAATCGCACTTGACGGAGGCGCGAAAACTGCCATCCGTCAGAAAATGCAATTGATCGAGGTAAAGAGCTCGTCCTTTAAGAGTTGTGGATATTAAGTATCATTTCCTGGGTGCTCTCTTCTATTTCCCTCCGTTCTCTTATCGCGAGGAACTCGATCAGCGAATCCCATTATTTCTACGTGGAAGTTATTTCACCGCATAACGATACCGAAATGAGGGAGTTATTTCTTCGATTTCTTCTTCTTTTTCTCCTCGACGTGATACGGCCCCAACTTCCGGCGCACCATGACTCCTCGCCACCAAGCTTGGATTTTGATTGCACTCCTTTGGACGAGCTCCTCGTATTCCCTTTGTTTCCTCAAGGTTTCTTTTTCCTCGAGGTAGGTGTCTATGAATTCTTGCCTATCCCTGTACTGAGGGTAGAAATGATTTTTATCAATGCAAGGAAATTTTATCTCGAAGACAGAGAATAGGTACATGTCCCATAACATACCCACGTTTGCATATGAAATATTGAAAAATAAATGACCCAAGCAAAGATTAAATTTAAGGCGCACATCTAGCCAAGTAAATATGATNTAATAAACATTCTATCCCACGGAGTGTAAATACGGCGGGCCAATCGAGAGTCCAGCTTAGGCGTGCTTTGGGGAAGGTTTTCGATATTGTTTCCAAAAACAGTGACGATCCGTTATCAAGGGACCGTTATTGCATATCAAAGAGTGACGGCCAAGGTGTAAAGTGAAAACATAGCACAGCAATGTAAATCGGCCGGCTTATTGGAACCCTATTCCTCTCTTCGGGCCGGTTAATGTATTCGGCGCGATGAAACTTTTTATTTCTGAATTTTCATGAGCCAACGAATCGGCAGGACTCTTAGCTGCTTGCCCAGCCGGAGTTCTCGATACCCATTCGATACCCTGTCTTGGGTTACGGTCGGCTCCTTTTGCGTTCAGGATTCGCGATTCGATTACTTTGCATTGCGAGTCTACTTGTACCTCTTCCCTCAGGTGCTCGAGGACGCTCTCTATTGCGTTTATTTCGATGTGCAATTCGTCGATCATCCCCTCGTACCTTTTCACCTCTTTACGGTGTTCCGCTTTCCAGTATTCCATTTCGTTCTCGTTAGCCTGTGAAAATAAATCTCTTAAACGTGGTTTCTGTCAAAGTGGATTTTTTTTTATTTTTTCTGAACTGGAATGCGCCAACGCGACGATTTTTAGTATTGTATATGCATTTTTAAAGAAAACTCCATCGTTGCGCCTATTTTATAAGGAATACTTAGAATGGCAAGGCAAAGGATGCAATTATACGGTTCATCGATCTACGCATGCCTCCTTTCATCCTTACAGCCATGTCCTCCAGCAGGAAAGCTTCTATCTCCCTTGTTATTCTCCTCTCATTTTTCATTTTGACAGCGGAATTCTGCAGGACGGTATTTAATCGGTCAAGAACGATGTCAAATCGTAGGGAGTTTTGTTCACGACGAGCCGTCTCCCATCCCTTTACGTATCTGGACTCTGCGACAACTTTTATTTTCAGTTGTTCCATGTCGCCCTAACAGAGGGAGAAATTGTATAAAATGATAATTTGTAAAGTAGGAATGAGATATTTTGTAATTATGTATGAATTTTATTAATAGGGGGAGAGAAATAATCAAAGGAATCGATTCTAAGCATTTATCATGTATATTAATAAATACCTGTAGACGTATAAATGTGTCCTGTAGCTGTTTCTTTTCCTGATTGCTTTTTATATCTTCATCCACGATCGCCGCGCGTATCTTTTTTACGATTCTTTTAGTTTCTTCACTTTTACACAATAACGCATTTTCTGCACTTTCGTCGGAGAGGATTTTTTCAATTTCTTGAGGCAATATATCAAAGCGTCCTGTTTCATCGATAGACTCTTTTATATTCTCTATAAGATTCTTGATGTATGAGCTACGAAGGTATGACATGTTGTTATACATGTGAACAATGAATCCGAAATAGGAAATCCACCATTCTGGAGTTACAAGATGCATTTTTATTGTACGAAAAATATTGATCACCTGTCATCGGATAATTTTTGGAAAACTGCTTGTTTATCTATGTCTTGAAATGCTGTCAGAGGATCGTATCCAAAAATTCTCACGCTTGCAGCAGTCGAACGTCTAAAATTGTGAAAAAAATGGATATTAAATATTTATTTGTGAAGTAAATAAATAATATAATAAATTAGAAACCTTCATCACCTTACTTCTGGTGGAACAAAGTCTATATGAACGTCATGTTTAATTACAGGAGATTTTAGAGTTTGTTGATAAATTGTCAACATGTCCGAACATTCTTCCAAGACAGATAAAATCGCCTTACGTTCCAGAGGACGAAATTGCGGTTGCAGTACATTCTCAAGAGAGATCAGATTCACCTGTGCTAAAAAAGTAGCCATTATCCTTGGATTTCTTCTAAAAATGAATTTCTGTTAAGGAAGCGTCGTTTTTAATAATTAATCCAAGGTTTGATCACCATTGTGAATTTTGTTTTCGATAAGCAGACCTTACCGAACATTATGTAGTAAATCCAGTGTACGTGCCCTTGCTTAAGATTATATTGAACGTGCGAAAGCTTCGATGTCACACGATCAGTTATCAGCATTACCTTTTCTGCCCCCTCTTCTTCCTCTTCGTCAAACACTTCCCAGATTTCCACACCCGTGTCATCATCTGACATATTCCGAACAATCGAAGTCGATTATTCGCTGATTCCTACACTCACAATTATTGGTGAAAAGTGATTGATTATTTTACAAGTATCGGTGCAATTGTTTCTTACTCGGCGACGTAGTATCGATACAATCATACCTCAGCTACGTAGTTTTGTGAAACTTCATTTACAGTGGTTGCTACGTGCGGCGAAGTAGTTTGATCCATTTCTAACGTTTCCATGGAAACGGCGTCTGTATCGTGAGGGCGATATCCTGATCGAACGCGATGCTAAATCAGAATACGCAACGTGAGAGGTTCTTAATATCGATAACGCGCGTGAGCTAACCAACAAATGTCCGTTTAAGATAAGGTGACTAGCGTAACGAAGTAAAAGTTAACTAATAAAGAGAGGCTATCAAGGTTTGACGAGCCTAGCCGAAAAGTAGCCGTGAAAAAGCCTAAGTTAAGGAGCGTCCCGAGTGACGTCCTGAGTCCACCGAATCCTGAGCTGAACTGGAGTATCTCGCTTTGTTAAAAAGACGCTTCACCTGCGTCTTGCCTTCGGGTGGGGAGCAACATTGTCGCCGAGTGTTCCTTGAGTTGCAGGGTAATTCGCAAAAGTGCGTCCATAAATTCCCTGAAGAAGGCTATCTAAAACTTCGTAGATTTTTTCGAGCACGTCTCCGTCATCAGACAGTAAACCAGTAAAGAGGCCCTCGCTGAGTCTAACCCTCATCGAGGACTCTCACTGATTTATGTTGATCATTGGAGACAACTTATGGCCGCCCTTGCCCAAAAGACAGCAAAAATTCTCGAAAACACTCGGGCGACATGTGCGGTAGAGGTGGAGGACTTCCTCTTGAAGCTCTGCGGAGCTCATCCTAAACAGCGTCGTTTTCCTGAAAATTCCTTCAGCCTCTCCAGGCCCTGTAATAGAGTTACTCAATTTTATAATACAATATGAATCGTCTTGACATTAGAAACTCGTCTCGAATTTGAAACATATATTTTTTATCCAGACATCCACAAATTACTGAGCATTATTTACATTCAAATTATATCCACATCATTCAAAGGTTAATTATCGCATCGAAACTGGGATGTTGATCTACCTACTAAGATAACGTTGGTTCAGAATATAATAATAATGTGTTTCAGTACTTCATCACGTTGCAATTACTGCTTACGAAATCCTCATCCAGGATATTTCCTCTAAGGTATAGGTAAGGGTAGAGCTTAATCTAACACAATTTAGTTTGAAATTATTTTTCTTTGTTTCTAGATCCGTTGAAAATACATTTCCATGGTCTGCATCGGCTGGAAGGATTGCAGAATCCATTTGGAGTTTATTAATCGGCGAAGAGATTTCGCGCGAGCATCCGATATGAATTTAGTACGGCCCAACAGGAAATTTGGCGCGGCTAATCGTCCTTTTTCGAAAGCAGGGGCATGGCGAATATTTTCACGGACTTTTTAGTGGTCAGAGCAGTGGGCAGTAAAATGGCGGGCTGATATTCATCGGCAGGAAGTTCCGCCGGTATACGGGTCACTGTGGGCTCAATGAAAAGAAAAGGTCGGTCAGTCCACTTTGATTGGAAAAGTTTTTCTCGAGGAGAGAACAAGAGCGACCGGGAGAGGGAGAGAAAGAGTCAAATAGGGTGGGCCAGGGGGAGGAGCGAGAGAGACAGCGAGTTTAATTGAATCTGCATCGTCCGGAGGTCTCGCTATCCCGCAGGAACCCGACATACCATGCGAATCGTGCATACTCGAGATGTTCCGATATACCTCGTATACATACGTCGATCCTTGCCAAGAAATGTCCGATTTCCTTTCTCGACCCGGAGAAAAACGCGTCTTTACTCACGGATAATGTACTTCGACTCCCGGGAGACCTGTGGCTTGATTTATAGAGACCGATTATCAGCGATGTGGATGGCGTTTGCATACTTAAACCCGTTTAATACTTTTCCAAAAAATAGAGAAAAAAACGGCAGGGAGTTCGGCATGGCGAATCTCCGCCTCGGCTTACCTCCTTCCCGCTAATTGCCTGGAAATAAGTTTAGAGATCTTTTATCTTCAGTATACTTTATATTTACGTGTAATTATGCCGGAGCCGATGTTCAAGTATAATCACCATTCGTGTATCAGCTTTTGATCTTTCTTCTAAATTCGAAATTGGGACGCGTTTGATAATTCGATGTCAAATGGAATATTTTTCCATACCCACATGACCCACCGAGCTGGGTAAAATACTGGATCCAAAAGTGTTTTATTCGTTTGAACAGCTGGACAGGAAGCAATTTGGAGTAGGACTTTACTCAGCCCTCATAGCACGTTCCGTTGTGCACTGGAAAACCGTTGATCAAAGTAAAAGTTCCTAAAGGAACGGGGAGGTCAGTTTAACTTTCAAGTATTATTAGGGAGTGAATTGTTTATTTAAAATGAACATAAGGCACCGCGTTAGAAATAATAGACCTTTCCTTCCTTGTAGAGATCTTTCAGGGTTCTATTTTCATTATGTGGGATTTTCTAAGCACACGGATAATTACCGCGATATAATTACAATTTTCAATTATGGAATACGTACAGTCTTTGTATTCAGAAGAAAAAACCTTAGTCCCGAGGGAACGTCTCGATCTGGCAACATCGGGGCTCACTTAAGAGCGCCTCCGTGGTCTGGGCATATAACAGCTTCTTTCATTCGGTTCTCGAAGGAGTAAAAGGCACACAAGGGAAGGATCTCACAGGATGCACTTCTGCTGCAGGCATTTTCGTTCCCTCTGACGTGGCTCGTTACTCGATTCAATATCTTAGGCTCTATTTGCGTTGTTGATTTTTTTTTCTCCCCAGCGAGCATTGTTGACCAACAGTGGGAGCGAGGCAGGATTTCTGAATACCCCACGGAGAAAGATGTCCTCAATTTTTTTTTAAATAAAAGTCGACACGGGCCAGGGAAGGGACCGCTAGGACGAAGAATAAAATCCTGGGTCGTTGACTAGAAACATGTCCCTGCAGATTATTTGTACCTATCTAACAATTGTTCAATTGCACCGTTCCCGACATACGAATCCCCTGGGTCCCAGGATTTGGCAAAAGTGTCTAATCTCTTTACCCTCCCGACTCCTTGACCTATTCTGCAGTAGGCGCAATGGAGGATACTACGTCGACGTCATTAAACGCATTTCAATGGTTAAGAATAGGTGTCGATTAAGGAACTGAAATATACGGAACACCTCGGTAGTCGTATTCGTCGCTCTTTCGCGAGCTGAAGAGCACCTCGCTGCGACAATATTCAATAGCCGTAAATGCCGACTGTTTAAAATGAATAAATCGTGGCAAAAATGAGGCTTTATGCTCCTTCGGGTTTCTAACTTGGGCCGGAACGATGTCGTGAAGTCTGTAAAATGTGAAGAGACATCAGTGTGCCTGTGGGTAACACCTTTGAAGAATTGTAGAAATTTAATGCCTTTTTTATCACGCTCGATTTTGATTACCCGTAAGGTCCTAGACGGACAGAGAAAGATGGCCTTGGGACAAAATGTCAAGTTCTCATGCATCCAATCTCTTCGGAATCCTAGTTCGTTAGCTAGTCTCCTGCTTGGTTACGTTTTCAAACGTCCCAGGGGATTCGGGTCCTCTGGTCCCCGAAACTTGGCAGGACTCATCTCCTCCTTGACCTCAACCTCTGTCGCAGTGGTTGCATCGGCGATGCCCCCGAGAAAACCTCTCCTCTTCTTCTGGATTGCCCGGTTCCATAATTAGAAAATTGTATGCATTAAGAGTGCACTTATTCTCGGTGAATTGCAAAGGGAATAAGGCCCGTGGTAGTTGGCTGTCGACGGGCGTCTCCTGCTTCGTAGAAACGTCATTCTTTGATGTTAATAGAGATCCATCGTGGCGGCTTCTCTGGAATGAAAATCATTACCTTAAAGAGAGGTTTAAATTTGGAAGGAATGTTTAGGCAACCTGATAAAAATGTTAGACAGTCAGGCAGTCAGGTGCAGGCGGTCGCTCAATGCTTCGGGACGGGGTTTATGCATTCCAAGTGTACATACACATACACATGGTTCAGTGGCCTTCGACCTCACTGCTCGACTGTATCGGCTTCTCAGGGGTTGCATCTATACAACTCGGAACGAGACTTACCCAGTACTTAAATATTGAAGACCGGGGTGGAAGATAGTGCAATGTCATGTTTATATTTTGGTGACCTACAAAGCACGCACGCCGCGTACACCTCGTTCTAAAATAGTAAACGTAATAAGTGCCTTACCTGTAAAGAGTGCACAACATTTCCACTCGACTAATTTCTCTCTACCTATCGAAGTCAAGTGCCCGTATGTCAATGAAATTCTGATACCCCTAAGAAGTTCTCCCGATCATTAAAAAGTCCTTTTCAATCTCGGGAGGGCCTTCAAGTATACGGGATATCCTTTACGATATAACCGTAACTCGAAACCTAAGACGGGAAACTTGTTAAAATACGCACCACTCACTTAAATCGCCCGTCGTTTTTCTCGTAATTTAACATTTTTCTCAACATCTACTACTAGACGTAAGAAATATTAAATAACAACGAAATACTCGCGTTAACATCTAGTGCCAGGTGCCGCAAACGTTAAATAACGGAAATCTGCGCGGGACACGCATCAGATTACCAGGGGGCATTTGGTACTTGGTTTTCCCGAGGAATGGTGATTCTAATTTAATAATATCCCTCAAAATGAGCAGTCCGGTCCCTATATTCCTCTCTCCACGATATTCGGCACAAAGCCGCCTCGGAATGAGGAAGTGAAAAACGGGCCAATTTTTGGGCGGAAATGGCTCGTTCGCGGTCCGAGTGCACGTGTCCTCGACCTCGACCGGCCGCGCGGGTCCCTGCAGCGCCGCACCGGCGGAGGTAACGGCGCGCACCCTCTGGCGGCGGCTCGGGGAAGCGCGCGATGGACCGAGCCCCTCTCGCGGAGGTTGGGCTCGGGCAGAGAGAGAGGGCGAGCGGTCGAGGGAGGGCGGGCTAGAGCGAGAGGTAGCGCCTGGGCGTCGCGGCGGGCGTCGCGACGGCGCACGGGGCACGGCGTCGCGCGAGGGCGGTGTCGCTGGTGTGCCAAGGGCCGCTAAAAACCGTGGGATCCCGCACTCTCGATACTCTCGCCCCCGCGACCGACGGATCCCCAGGGGGCGCCTCGCTGACCCGGTGCAGTCGTTCAATCGTCACGGGCCGAGCA